GTTCTAATGAGATCTCTTCCTTGGTATCGTAAACTGCATGAATTTAAGCGTACTACCAGATTTGCAAATAATTCATAACGTTTTAGTCTCTCTTCCGGTTTCTGGATTCCCTGTATACGATCTTCAAAAAAAGTTAAATGTAACATCAATCCCCATCTTCTGTTTTTTTATTGTCCTTTCTCCGTACTAAAATCTTCTCATTCTTGTCCACTCCCAGTAACCCACTGCGTCTTAGTGCCTTGCTTGGGATGAAATGATTAAAGAAAAAAAAAAAGCTGCAAAACATGAATCTAAAACATATTCTTACCTTTCTCTTTATTATTAATCATTTTCCTTACTTACCTTTATTTTTTTAATTTTTATATTTAGTTTGTGTTGTGATCAATTTAAATAACAAGCTGAACGTCGTCTTAAAATTTAGCAAATTTAAAAAAAGAATTTTTATTTTCTCACGTTCGTGATTTTGAGACCTTTATTGATATCAGTATAAAAACCAAACAATTGAAAAAAATGTTTATTTCTTAGTGAGGTGTGTCACTGTAGAAACGCCAGATGACAATACGACCTTAACCCAAGTCATAGCGTCCACAACCCTGCACCGTATTGTTTAATTGTGAATATTTTCAATAGCTGTATAGTATGTCTCACCATACTTACATGTGGTTTTGAATTCAAAATTGTCCTTCTTCTAGACTAGTTGCCAACTACGGCTAGAGAATTCAGTTTACCTTGTTGTTTAACCTATAGCTGGAGGAAGAGGCGATGGATTCACACTTTTCCCAAGAGTATTTGTGCGAAAGTGAATGTAACAAAGATGATTGGAATTCAAACTTGGCTTGACGATTTCTCATTTCAAGCCGCTAAACGTTATTCTGCCTACATATACCATCAAAGATGAAAATGCGGCACAAATACAAAAAAAAAAATTAAAATTGTGCAATTAATGGAGAAGGTTGTGTAAATAATCAAATGTAAAAAAAATGGTCTGTAAAGTTCCATTCAGGAAACTTCTATAGGGTGATTGAAAAGTAACTCCCTATTTTATGTAAGAGTGACCAGCCAGGAGTCCTGACTTTTTTCTTTGGAATTGGTTAAAAGAGCAAGTCTACTATACCATACCAAGACTTTGGCAGAACTTGAAGGGTGAATACAAGAAGTTATGTCTTCCATACCACAAGAGTTCACGGTGAAATCAGTTATTATGATTCCTGGGCGATTCGAGAAGCTGGTAGCGTAATCTGGTGCTCGTATCGAATTTTAAATAAAACCTCATGCTAAATGCTTTCCTCTCATACATTTCTTGTAAAAATTATAGTTAATAAATAAATTATAAGTATTTTAAAATGGGGAATTACTTTTCAATCACACTATAGTTGAGGGTGATAGGGATCAAATTTGGGTCATTACATGCGAATAATGAACATTATAAAATGCAGAATATATAACTTACTCAAGGTATTCCAACCAGGTGTTTTTATGAGCTTCGTTATGTCAATTGCTTTGATGTATTGTTTTCGAGTAAGTAAAAAAAAAACAAAATAACAAAACCAGAACAAAATAAAAACTACTATTTCATATTTACATATGCAATTTGCTCCTGCTGCTGCTGCTTCTTCTTCTTTTTCTTCTTTTTCTTCTTTTTCTTTTTTTTCTTCTTCCTCTTCTACTACTTCTATGTGCTGCATCCTTTCATGGCTTTCTACAACTTCCTATCTTGTGTGGCTCTTAGAAGTTTTTTTCTCTCTTTTCTAAGGCTCTCACCACCATACACTCCCATAAGCTCGTCAGGTAAGTCACTGCCGTATTCTATATCTCTTGCCCTATGAGGGTTAAGTTTTCCAAGCCCTCCTTCCTATGTGTTCAAGGAATTTCAGATGTCTTTTCCTGGTTCTATGTAGAAGTGTTCTTTCCGTTGCCATTTTCTTTATGACTTCCTTGTTGCTTACTCCGTTCGTGGAATTTTCTGTAGAACCACATTGCTGCTGCTTTTAGTTTTTTTTTTCCTCATCTGTAGGAGATAGTTCGGCATTCATGCCATATAACAGGATGGATATCACATAGCAATCCGACACTCTTTTCTTTGTTTTTAATTATTTTTTTTTTCGTTTTCCAACACCTTGCTTACTTTTTGCAATGTTTCTTTTGGAAGTCTAATGTGTGTGCGGAAATCGGTGTCGCATTTTCCATCTTCGGTTAAAAAGCTTCCCAGATCTTTAAACTTTTGCATCTGCTTGGTGTTTATATCTCGAATTCGTAACTCGCATCTTGATTTTTTTTTTTTTTTTTATTGATGGCCATACTTTCTGTCTTCTTGCTATTGACGGTTAGTCATTTTATCTCTTTTTCTTCTCCCACCATGTCTAGGAGGTTTTGTAGTTTTCTTTCCGGGTCAGCCATCAACACAGTGTCATCTGCGTAGCTTATACTGCTAATATTACGCCCAACGATAATAAATCCTGATAGGTTCTCCAGTTCCTTTATGATAACATCGCTGTAGAGGTTGTATAAATCGGAGGAATGACACATCTTTGTCTCATGTCCGTATTTGCAATTTAAATGTCAGAAAAATTTTCCATTTAAAAAAAATGTAATTATTGATGTATATAACTGTATATTAAAAGAAAAACATGGGGATATCACCCGCCCCACTGTCCTCACCACCAAACAGACCCCAAACTTCAGTCTTGATGAACCGTTGTACACCCAATGAGGCCCCTCAAATGTCTATTGGGACTAAAGCTCACGCCAGACTTTCATTGGATCTCGTATATTTCTCATTATGACCTTTCAGAATGTGGGTGATTATCGCTAAAATACTGGAAAAATAATTGTTTCTTTGTAACGCTCCGGAAAGAACCTGGTCACTCCTACTATGCTCTATCTTTAAAAGAGTCAGATCAGCTCCAAAATGGAGTATTTCTGTCATATCTGGGTTTGAGTTGCCCAGTTCTCATTTTCCAGACTCGATAGAGTTTTGTGGGTGATGAATTGTTTTCCACCTTGCAGTCTCTTTCCCATAGACGAACATTGCACAACCTCTCACTCCTCTATTGCTATTTCCTATTTCTATGGCAAATGTTCTGACGAGCTACGAGCTCCTTAGTTCCACCAGTTCAGACCTTTACAGCTAAGACTTACCATGCCACGTACGCAGTGTCAAAACAATCCTCATCCGCTTTGTATTCTATTGGTAAGAAAGAAGTTCCATTCGACAGTTCCTTCCCAAGAGCTGCTGTTATGTGGAACAGGCTCCGGAGAAGTTGTTTCCCTGAACATTACAATCTACCTCTTCAAGTCTAGAGTCAACCGTTATCTATCCAAATACATTGATAATATGTACTCCTTACTTTGTTCCTTTACACACATACAACAACTTTATTCAGTAACCCACTACCTTGAGTGGCTTTTGAACCTTATACTAAGTGAAAAATAATATAAGAAGACTGTACGAATGACTGTTTTTCATTAAAAAGAAGAATGTTGCGTATATAGTGAGAGTGAAAGGCATCACTTTACTATGAGATTTAGTATGGCATTCTGAAGAACCAAATGATTGATTCGGATAAGTACTCTTCTTAGCTAGAACAATGCAGCAATTGATGAAAAGTGTTGGTCTGGGAGTTATTTAGGAGATGGGGTATTATACATATATATATATATATATATATATATATATATATATATATATATATATATATAATACTCAAAATGTGTGTGAATATGTATGTGTGTATGTGATCGGATGTTGTTTATGCGTTTCCACAGTTTTCATCCGATTTTGACGAAATTTTTTTTTGTTTGATAGATAATTCTTCTGTGCCGGTTTTTGAGTCCAAAGTTTTGGCGACAATGGCTCTCCACTACTTCCTGTCCATTATAACTCTCAGCAACGTTTTACTATTTACTATCTCTTCTTGGATATATATCTTTCATAAAAAAACTTTAATAAAAATAAATAGTTTAAATTATTACAATTATATCTATAATTCTCAAAATGTGTGTGTGTGTGTGTGTGTGTGTGTGTGTGTGTGTGTGTGTGATCGGATGTTGTTTGTGCGTTTCAACAATTTTCATCCGATTTCGATTAAATGTTTTTGTTTGATAGATAATTCTTCAGTGCCGGTTTTGAGTGCAAATTGGCTGGAAAAACACTACAACCTTGAAGGGGAAAAATCTAAAAAACTGATGTTTTACACTTTGCGCAAAAATAAAAGGCAAAATTTAACATTTGTAAAGAAACAGCGCCTAATCCATTTAAGGGAGTTGAAATCTAACGCAAAACATTATTAGAATTATAAAAAATATATATATAAATTATCGTATGTTATTATTATGACGGTCCATGAAAGAATCCTTGCAAGATTGAGAACGCAAAAACAGCCCATTTCAGCCCCCCTTCAAATTGTTAACTGTTGGTTCAATTTCTGGTGAAAATTTTTACAAAAGTTAAGTGTCGTCACAGGTCAGTACCTAGATGGGTGACCTCTTGGGAATACCAGGTGCTGTAATCTTGGATGTATGGATGGCATAATGGATAACTGCTCAGAATTGGAAATCATAGAGCCAAGTTCAAATTGCAGTCAGGTTCATTATATTCACTTACACACAAATACTCTTGGAAAAGATATGAATTTACCTCTTCTCCCCCAGCCATGGGTTAATTAGTAATACTTGTATCAGTAAATCTTTGTTATCACCTGAAAATTCTTACAATCTAAAAATATTTTCTGGCTTTAAGTAACTAGCAAAAGGTTGATAAGCTGTAAAAAAAAAAATCAACCAATCAAATAAACCCTGGAAGATTGCAAGAGGCATCCAAAGTAGTTCTTTACTGTGCAAGATAAAAATGTACTAGGAGAATAGAATTATAAAGTTGCCTTCAAGATGTCAAGATAATGGAACAGAAATGGTAAATTTGTTGTTCAATAAAATTTATGTTGAACATAAAAAAGTGTCTTTTGTTTTTGATAAACAAAAGAAAATATCAAAGAATTTTATCCATGATCTTACACTTTTTATCTCTTTATTCTCTTTCTTTTTTTTTTCTTTCAATTCTTTCTTTTTATCTATTTGTTCCTCCTCATTATTTACTACTCTTTCTTTTCCCTCTTTTTTTCTCTCTTGAAAGCTTTTCATTTTCTGCCATATTTCTCTTTTACTTTTTATTCTCACTTCTCTCCTTTTGGCCAGTATTTATTTATTTTCATTTTTAAACACGCAATATTTCTTCCATTCTTTTTTTTAATTTATTCTTAAACTCAATATTTTTTCCTTTCTTTCCCCTCTTTCTTATATTCTCAATATTTCTTCCTTTCTATTCTCTTTTCAGTATTACTAGTCTTTCTTCTTTCTCTCTTTTTTTTCTTTCTCTTTTATACGCTCAATATTCCTATCCTTTCTTTTCACTCATTCCTATATATCTGATTTTTTAAAAATATTTCTTCTTTCCTTTTCTCTTTCTATCTCTTATACTTTCATTATTTCTTCCTTTCTTTCCTCTTTCTTTTTTCTTTCGCTTATATTCTCAATATTTATTCTTTATTTCTCTCTCTCTCACTCACTCTCTTATACTCTCAATATTTCTACCTTTCTTTTACACACTAAATATTTCTTCCTTTCTTTTCTTTTTCTTTTTTCTTTCGCTTATATTCTCAGTATGTATGTATTCTTTATTTTTTCTCTCACTCTCTCTTTCTCTTTCTCTCTCTTATACTCTCAATATTTCTTCTTTTCTATTCTCTCGCTCCCTTTTATACTCGTAATATTTACTAAAATTGACTTTGTACAGCAGAAGGCCAAATACATGGGAATTGAAAGATCAGAAGGTTGTGCTGTGCTACTCATATAAGGAGGTATTACTTGCCTTGAAAAACACTGAGCTCTTTGTCATGTTTACTTACAATTCGTTTTTATATTCTTTCTTGCTTTCTTTCTAATTTTTTATTTATTCTTTACTATTTCATTTGTACTCAAAATTGATTGTGTGTGGGACTAGCAAGAACACCCCCACAAAAACATGAAAAAAAAAACCACCCCCCGCAAAAAAACTGATGTTATAGAAACCATAGTAGCAATCTATAGGATAGTGTAGCTCTGACGCTAGACTTCACAATGGAATACAATGTTAATACAATGTTTACAGACATTTACTTTGTATTATTTATTTATTTATTTATTTCATTTTACTTATTTTTATGGTTTTATTCTTTTTCATGTTCTTCTAAAATCTTTATTTTCTTTTTCTTTTCGTTCATTTTTTTTTCTTTTATCTTTCTTTTCTTTGTGCATTTTTCCTCTTTTTAATTCTTTTACTTATTTTTGTTTTGTTTTTACCTTTTATTTTTTTTCCCTTTTTTTCTTTTTTTATTCATCCATTTTTCTTTTTGTGCCTCTCGGCACTGATTTTATCATTGCATAAAAACACTGATAACATATATTTTTTAAATTAACTTTTAACTCAGAACAAAGTTCTGTCAACCTATTGACTGGATCATTCTGAAAATAAAACGTTGTGCCACACCCAGAAAAAAATATTTAGACTAAATATTACATTTTCTGTAAGAACATTTTTAACACATCATTTGAATAATATGTGTTATTCTTAATATGTTACAATGTATTTCTTTTATTGCTTTTTATACATAGTGTATGAAAATTATTCAATGCTTTATAAAACAGTCAGTTGTGGTACAAAAAATATAGAATTTAACAAAAAGATTACTGTACTTTCCAGCTTATAAAACACTGCAGCATGGAAGACGCACCCTAATATTGAAAAGAAATTTCTAAGAAAAAAAAAAACGTCATTCTCATACAGCAACACATTCAACATGTGCCCCTCACATATTGGCGCCATGTATTGTTTACATTAATCACTCGTCCGATTTTGTTTGTATGACAATGACATACTAGTCAAGAGCAAAAATGCTCCCATCGATGCTAGTAAACAGAGCATGTTTAAGCTTATAGCTCGGCTCCTGGAAGGTTTATAGTTTTGGAAATACTTGTAACAAGTACTGAGGTTAAAAGGCAGAATTAGATAGATAGCTAACATCATAGTGTAATGACTCAACATACAAATCGTCGTACCTATCAGTCAAGCTAATTAGGTGACCGTCCAAGCTTACTTGAGCCTGGGCATTGCCTTACATTCGTCTTGGAAGACGCATATGTATTTTTCAGGGTACTTTTTAGGAAAAAAGTGCGTCTTGTAAGCCGGAAAATACTGTATATACAGGGTACCATGGGTAAATTGTCGCCATTTTATATATTTAATTTCACACAGGCACATTGTTTATGATTTTGTTGACTGCACAGTATAGTAGGGTCAGTTGGGCACCGTCAATTCATTCCACCAGAAATTTGGAAACAGCATACTGTACTGCTTGGCATTCGCGCCAGAAGTTCTAATACGAATATTTCAAAGTGTTTGGACAGTGCAGACGATTTGAAAAGAGTTCGATGAGTCTAATGGTGATTACGAAGCTACAGCAGCTGGAAAAACTCACTCTGACCATTCTGATAAGAAAAAAAACACCCGAATTTGTCGGTGAGGGCCTCACACTTAAAACGGAGACCTATATCAAGTGCTTTGAGGGTGGCCGCTGGAAGACCCTATGTCGAGCACCATGCGACACAAGCAGGAGAGCCCAGTCATGGTTGTTAAACAATTTCAACTAACTCCCCAGACTGTAACTTCCTTGATTAATATGTGTGGGGTGCAGTTGAGTGAGAGACCAACAAAATTCCTTGTAAGACCAAAGATGAACTGAAAGCAAAAATTATGACAGCATTCACCAACTTAAACAAGGAGACCGCCCAGAAGAGATGCAGGAGATTCCGAAGTTGTCTGGAGGCCATGGTTGTAGCCAATGACGATTTTATTGAATAAATGTTACTAAAATAGCATTACACTTTTTAAAATCATTCCATCCCAAGCAAGGCAATAAAGATACTAAGACGCGAGGGGTTACTGCGTAAGAATATCAGAAAAAGAAAAATATTACTAGGGATCGAGAACAATAAAAGAACAGGAATTAAGAAAAAAAGAAGATAATGATTGACACTATTTAAATCTTTGAAGATCAAAGTTGACTGGAAAGCAAGAAGCCGGAAGAGAGTTTCACAAGCGATAAATATGAGAGAAGAAACTGTTCTTACAGTTATATCTAGCCATTTCAGCTGTAAAATGATGTGACGTTTATTCTAGTAGTTAAATTTATAAAGTCGAGGTTACAAAGAGGAAAGCTGATCAGAATAATTACCATAAAAATATTTATAGAAAAATCACAGCGAAGCTACGTTACGGTGGTGGGAAAGTGACTGAAGCTGAGATGACAGGTAATTATCAATAACATTGAAGATTCTTCTTTGGGTTTTATCAAGAAACTCTAAATACACCGCAGAGGCACTAGATGAGATGTGACAGCAATATTCAATGTATTATAAATGGTGAGAAAATCTGTTTAGCATGACACAATAAGCCAACTTTCCTAGCAGCAGACCTAGCAATTTATTAGATATAATATTTCCCCCATGATGAATATAATATTTCCTCCATCATAAATATAATATTTCCCCCATGATGAATATAATATTTCCTCCATCATAAATATAATATTTCCCCCATGATGAATATAATATTTCCTCCATCATGAATATAATATTTTCTCCATCATGTCAGCGGAAAAACGTTAGCCCGAGAAAGCGCAAGAACACACTCTCCTGGAACTTAGCATCAGCCATATTGATGGAAAGCAAAAAAAAAAAAAAAAAAAGATTCTCTAAGACAATTGAATAAGAGCTGTTTTGTTATGGAGGAATTAAAATTAACGTAACGTTTCTTGCCAAAATATTTTATTTACTACTTATTTCTTAAAAGTTAAATAAAATATTTACCTTTTGTTTTGTAAATTAAATATATTTATCAACGATATGTATGCATAAGTTACCAACACTGCTGTACCTGAACAAGTGGACTGACTGGAGCCATGCTGTTCAAGGAGGAATCATGAATGGCGGGAAAAAGCGAAACCAACTGTTGGAGATCAGAAGATAACGCAAGAAGCAGAAAGGGCAATATCAGACCTTCATTCTACGTTCCAAAACAAGTCTGCTATTGCGATATTTCAGATATTGACCTACATTTGATTTAGGTACTCTAAATTTAATTCTCTAAATAACATCAGAAAATAGTCAGCAACGTCTTCGTACAGTTGAGTTAGTTCTATGCTTTCTAGTAGTTAAGTAAAAAAAAGTAATGTAGAAGGCAGTGTGTACCTCTCCCTCTGGAGGATCCTGGGTTTATTGCCCGGTGACTGAGGCGTCCCCAAAAGGGAAAGTGCTGAGAGGGGCTTGGTCAAGTTTTAGACGGTATGGCATTTAAACCCACTTTTGTCACAACGTGGGTGCCCTGTTAAATAACTATATAAAAGGCAGAGTTTGACACAATATTTACAACCTATACAAAATCCGTGCAAAATGCAGCTCAAATTTGAATTTCAAGATTCAGCTTTTCTGACCAATAAAAGAAGAGCCAGTTGGCTAATCAGTGACCTTTCAATTTAATAATCATTCTGATTCAGTTATTCTACATATAAATCTAGCATTCTTATTAAAATACTTCAGTAACAAAATGAAGCGGAAACTGTTCAGATCGAGTTAAACGATAATTAGCCAATCAGTGAACAATCAAATTAAACACTTTTTAATCTCATCATCTTTATGAAAAAACAAACTCTGTTGACAACATTATGTCACCTGCTAAATTGAAAAGGAACAAAGTCTATACTACGTAGCAGTAACCACTTCAAGATGGTCACGCTTGATATATGTTATAGAGTAGGATGGTTGATGGGAGAACAAAGTAAATAATAAGACACCACTTGTGAGGTGAAAAGAGGAGTTTGTTAAGATAATTCTTTTTATATTTAGGCGAAACACCTCTGTGGGCAAGAGAAGCAACTTGCAGTCGGTAGAGGCTGGAGTTGATGCGTATGCCAGGTCGGTTAAACGAAGTCAATGGTGGTGACGTTGGCAGCTTGCCCGCTAGTTCTCAGCTGACTTCGGTGTCGTGAGAGGCGTCCTTAAAAATAGACAGGGTAGATCGTGAATCATTTTTTGTCATGCTTTTGCTTCACTGGCAATGTTTGTGATTGGCTCCTTTTATATTGTATTTTATTTTTTTATTTTTTATTTATTTATTTGGTGGGTATTTGTTTTGTGAGCTGGATGTAATGCTCGGAGACCCTGCACAGCGAGAATTTGTTTTTTATCTGACAGGTTTTGATGTAGAGTGAATCCAAAAGAGTTCTTGCTTTGAAACAGAGTATAGCAATAACTATAACAGCTTTAGGGTGACTTTTGAGCGTCTTCATTTAGTTGGAATTGTCAACAGCATTAGATTTACGTACTTTTTTTTATTCACTGCGAGTTTTATTCATAAAATAAGCTAAAAAAAAATAAAAAAAGCTTTAAATGAACTAACTTTGTCACAAATACATTCTGTTCCTCCTACAAAACTTCACTAATCAAATGGATCTAAGTTCTATAGAACTAAATAACCATCCAGTTACCCAGCAACATTTTGACTATTAATGTATGTCAAGAGGAAATGTTAAACATGTTTTATATCAAACAAGAACCTCCTAGTTAAGTGTATTTCTTGTCTGTATTAATTGATGTGGAGCGAGTAGCCAGGGTCAAATGCAAAATAACTAACAGAACTGTCCAACAAACAGAATTGACAAAGTTTGCAATAAGAAAAAGAAAAGAACAGGACAAGAAATAATATAAAGCAAGCCAACAATATATGAAAGGCAAATTCACAGTAATATGGCAAAGCAACAGTAATATGGCAAAAAGGTCACAAAGCGCAAGCGAACGTAGCATTCTGACTTCAAGACAAGACAGACCGGGACTGCGTTAGAAAAAACCGAGAACTAGCCTATTTTATTGGCTCGGAAAAATTTCAACATGAATTTGTGTGCTTCTGCCTATAAAATGGAGAGTGGCAAGTATTTTGCAGTAATTCTTACCAGGACTGAAACAAACAGTTGATTTGTTTTTGGGGTTTTTTTTTTGGTTTTTTTTTTTTGGTTTTTTTTTTTACAACTTTTTACCTTTTGCGGGTTATTTCAAATTTGAAAATATTTTTGGATTGTAAAAGTTTCTTGGGAGATAATAATTTATCGATACACGCCTTACTATTTAACCCATAGCTGGGTGTGAGAAAAGGTGGATTCATACCCTTCCCATGGGTATAAAATGAATGTAAAGAACCTAACTGGAATTTGAACTCAACTTTCCGATTTTCCAGTCCCGAGCCATTATCCATTACTTCATCCGTACATCTAAGCTTACAGTACCTGATATTTCCAAGTGGTCTCCCATCTAGGTACAGAACAAGCTCGACGTTGCTTAACGTCGGTGATCATACAAGAACTGGTGTTTCAATGTGATATAGTCGTAATGCTTTTTTCTTTGTAACACAAAACATGTTCAAAATACAATGTCTTTCTGTATATGGATTCCTATGCCAAATTCAACCAACAGTAAATTTATTCACGATAATGAATTACTATGAATTTACATATATAAACATATTAACTTCATATAGATATATTTGTGTACGAATGTAACAGTAAATATTTTCCTGTACATATACAAAGTCTACTCTAATCTAATTCTTTTTAATTTAATATTCTTTGTTACAGTTGCGACATAAAATCCTACTATTATTATTAGTGATTAGAATTTACCGTTATAAATATAATCTGGAAATCTGATCTATCAGATAACCTCAAATGAAAATTCTTTCCCGCCAATGTAGAGTCGGTTTTAATGTATGTTGCCACTGGACATTAACTACAGACATAGTCTAACCTTGATGGAACCTTAGTGGTATTATCACTTTACTTGGGATGAAAAATTTAAAAAAGCTGGTGGAACTAAAGGGTAGAGCTAATATGAACATTTGCCAGGGAAATAGTGATAATATAGCGATAGGCTTGCAAAGTGTTATAGTGGAACACACCTATTCTATAGTTAATAGACTCTCCCACCTATAATAAGTAGGAGTAGTAAGAGTAACAAGGGGTCGCTCAGTGGGTCAGTCAGTCAGTCGATGTCGGACGACGGTTAGTCGAATACTACAGTATCAGCGACCACAACTAGATTACTCTGCGTTATACCTATTATATGAAGTTCCTAACGTTTTGTACGTCGAACCTATTTTAGGACCGACTTAGTACAAATACAAGCCTCCACTGTGAAATCACTCCATAACACAAAGTTACATCTCTGTGAAAGAGGTTGCAGAGTAGAGAATAAGTCATCAACCACATCCCCTATTTCAAATGTCTTTTTCTCATCCTAAGTACAAGTGTCTTTACTATTACAATTTCCTTAAAACTTCCCACTAAGTAATTATTATTTCATATTATGGTACTTGCAGGGTTCCAACGTAGAGACTACGGTAATCTTTAACCTTCGTGTCCACAAAAAAAAAATGGTGTTTTTCTTTTTAAGGCAATTCACCCCAAAGAAGGTAAGAGTGCCACTAGCACGCAAGGGAGTACAGAGAATTGAGAACAAGAGTAAAGAGGCGTGATTGAGGAAAGGATACAGAGAAAGACGGGGAACAAGCTCGGTGTGTCAGATGTCGATTGACATTACACTTGAATATTTGAAGATTATAGTCATCGGGGAAGCAAGTAAGGGGGAAGGGAGTTCCACAGACGAGAAGTGCGAGAAAAGAAGCTGTTCGAAAAGCGACAGTTACATTTAACCATTTTGACAGTGAATGTGTGAGACCGAGATGCCAGCCTGGTACCACGTGTAAAAATAAGTAGTCTGGGAATCAGCGAAAGTAGTTCGTCGGAACAGTTGCCGCGAAAAGATTTATAGAAGAGACAGAGGGAGGCCACAGAACGTCTGTGGGATAGTGATTGTCGACTATATGCCAGATCAGGACCTATCATCTTGCATATTCATCTTTGAATTTTGTCAAAGACCTCGAGACGTACAGCGGGAGCACCAGACCATATATGACAACAATATTCCATGCAAGGACGGATGGTTGATTTATAGATTTGAAGGATGGGCATAGATGAGAATAACTTGCTGGCACGACACAGAAAGCCAACTTTCCTTGCAGTAGATGAAGCTATTGATTCAATGTATTTATTCCATCTCGTGTCAGTGGACAGCGTGAGACCAAGCATGCGTAAAGAGGCGATCTCGAGGAGTTGGGAATCAGCCATTCTGATGGTAGACAGGAAGGGTTCTCTGTGGTAGGTAAAGGAGAACAGTTTCGTTTTAGAGGCATTAAAGTTTACAAGCCATTTCCTGCCCTAGTCAACCACAGATTGGATGTCCTTTTCGAGATTGTTGTGGTAGGATCCACCTAATTTGCATAGTGGAGTACCGACCATATAAATATGGTTGGTACCGAGAAGAGAGGGAGGAATCAAGAGATTCAACCAGAGACTCTGCCCGACTGCGACTCAGTCAACACATTCTCCAGGAACGGTCTTACCAGGAATATACAAAAGACTATATGTAAATATTGTGTACACTTTCTTGTTTCAATACATTTTGTTCTAAGTACATTTTGTGTTGCATTATTATTCCATGCATTAGTCAAGTTTCGACAGAGATCAATAGCCATGTTAGTTTTGTCAACGATACCAGATTTACTATTAAACCAGGAGTAAGTAGTGGTGTCGTCCGTGTAGAGGCCAAATTGGGAACTGATGACATCTGGAAGGTCATTGATGAAGATCAGGAACGGTGCAGGGCCCAAGATAGAGCCTTGGGGACACTAGCGTTCGTGAGGTGGAGGAGAACCCGTTTAGGACGGCCTTCATTTCACGGTTCGACAGGAATTATTGTATTAAGTCAAATAATTGTCCTGTAATACCGTATCCCTGAAGCTTATGAAGAAGACCAAACCCAATCAAACGCTTTAGAGATGTCTAGAGCCACGGCTCGAGCTCCATTATTGTTGAGTGCTTGATATATAAATTCAATTATGGCCGTGAGCACGTTAGTGGTTGATCGAGCAAAGCGGAAATCACCTTACTTGTCGGAGAGCAGATTATGTGAAGTAAGGTGCTTAACCATTTCGGTGTTGATTAAAGCCGTGTCAAAAGGACGATTTTCCCTTGACATTGATATTATTTTAACTACCTTCACTCCTCAGAAATGTTTATTATTTCGAAGAGCGATGATTAGAACTGTAAGAAAACCTAAAAAGATGAAAGTGAATTTATACATGTTCTTTGTTCTTGAGAATTTACAAAAAAATGTTAAACACCAAGTATTTATTTATTAGATTTATTTATTACATTTATTATTTACAAGAATAATTTTATTTTTAAAGTATTCTAAAAACTAATACAATTGTATTAAAACTAAAGCAGTATTTATCATTTACCAATTTATAAAGAAATAAATATGAAAGCAATTTTTTATTCATAAATTTATAAACATTTATTAAATTATTAAAATATATGAAACAACTATAAGGAAATCCTTATTATTTACAATTTTATCAAGTACATTTCGATTGGCAATTACCAGATGATTTGCCAATCATTTCAATAAATAATATAAGTAGTGTAAATAAACAATTTAATAAATAAATAGTATTTATTATTTTTGTTGTCAATTCTCGAGAAATATGAAAATATATAAATTCACTTTCATATGTTTGGGTTTTATTAAAATTTTAATCATCACTTTTTAAAACAATAAACATTGCTAAGGAGAGGAGGTAGTTAAAATAATAGCGATGTCAAAGAAAAAACGTCCTTTTGAAACTTTGTTGATTTGTTTTATTTTTTTGTTTTTTTTTTTGCGAGTAAGAAGGTTAAAGATTATTGTCATCCCTATGTTGGAACCTTACAAGTACCATACTACTAAATAATTACTTATGTAGGAATCCTTCTACTCGGTTTTTCGTTGAATGTTAAAATTTAGAGTGTCGGGATTCAATACATTAATAAAATATCGTTAGAGGGTCGTTCGTAATTTGGCCGCCTAGAATAATCAAACGCTTTTCATTGAAGGAATAAAATTCAGTAGAAAAAACGACGTAGTTTCAACAAATAAACATTGATTTAATATACACGCGGCTGCCACCAAACTCCACACAACTCTCGCTGATGGCCTTCATGACCTCATGTTAAAAACGACAGCGTTGAGAAACAATTCGTATCTCTCGTATCGTATCTCGTATTTTTACTATGAATCACGCACACGCATGTTGACATTTTCATACAGACACACATATCACATTTTATTGTTTCTCACACACGTACACAAAGACAGTTTATATTTTATTTCAGAACTTTATCAACCCAAATAAAAGACATTACTTTCCAATCTATTATCAACTGTTTGTATTTCTATCGTTATATTAAATCAATGTTTATTTGTTGAAGAGATCTAATAAAGGAGACCAACAGCTGAATCGATTTTAAAATCATTGATCTGAGAAAACGGTTTGTCAGAACATTGATCCCTAGGGATAATAAAGGGTCAAACATTGTTTAGATTTACGAAGTATAAGAAGTTGTGAAGAGCCATGACTGCCTATGTCTTAAAGGAACACAGCACATAGACAAAGAAAAATTGTTGCGTGCGTGTCGATTTACTTGATCAGTAATCCAAGGGAGATAACACAGATTTATATATAGCCTCCCTTTAATTGTTATTATATTTAAATTCTGTTAGAAATAGGAAAAATATACCTTCATCAGAATTAGGAATGTAAAATGTATTTAAATAAAAGCGGATATTAAATGAGTTGTTAAAATAGAATAGGAAAAAATGCAATATTAAGTCAGTACATATCACAATATATAATAATGATATATTAAAATAGTTATTAATAGAATCATATACTACAAGACATTTTCCAAATTTTAATAACATCGCTTCGGAAGAGAGTCGAGCCCACGATCTTGCTGTGTTATGTCGGAGTATTTATTCCTTTTCTAAGTGCAGTATAACAAATAATGAAAATATGAATATAATTATTTGTATATACAATAAATCCTCATTATTCGAATTGCTACGATTAATTTAATATATAATGAATTTTTAAAAAGATTAAAGAGTATCAGAACTTCGTTCATGTATAGAAAAGAAACTATTTCCAATACAATTTTTTTTTAAGTGTTTCACCCCAAGCAAGGCGGGAAGCCACTAGGACGCAAGGGGTTACAGAAAATTTGGAGCAAGATCAAATAGCAGTGATATAAGAAAGGATGAGGAGAAGGGTAGTGGATAGATCAAGGCAACTGGAGATGTCGATTGACATTACATTTGAATAGCTGGAGATTATAGCTCTCAGGGAAACTGGAATAGGGAAGGGAGTTCCACAGGCGAGAGGTGCGAGACATGAAGCTATTGGAGTAGAAGAGACGTCTACATTTAGGAGTTTCGACAGTGAAAGGGTGAGAGCGGGATGCCAGCTTCGTAGGACGCTTGAACTCATGAAGTCTGGGAACCAGCGAATGCAGCTCCCCGGAGCAATTGCCATGAAAGTATTTGTAAAACAGACAGAGAGAGGCGACGGCGTGTCTGTGAGAAAGTGACTTTAGACAAGATGCCAGATCAGGGCCAATTATATTGCATATCCGCCTCTGGAGCCTATCAAGAACCCCGAGGCAAACAGAAGGAGCTCCAGACCATATATGGCAGCAATACTGCATGCAAGGGCGAATTGTTGATTTGTAGATCTGGAGGATCGATTTCGGGAAGAAAAATTTCCTGGCGCGGCACAGGGAGCCAACTTTCCTTGCGGTGGACGAAGCAATTGACTCAATGTATTTGTTCCATCTCAGGTCAGCCGTCAACGTGAGACCGAGAAGCTGTAGAGAGTTGCTCTCGAGAAGTTGAGCGTCAGACATTCTAATGGAGGGCATGGAAGGATCTTCACAACCGATTGGAGGTTCTTTTCGAGACGCACGGCCAGGTTACTTTTGTTAGTGACACTAGATTTGTTTCTGAGGCAGGAATAAATTGCGTAGATGCCAACTTGGGAATTTATGACGCCAGGAAGGTCATTTATGTAGATAAGGAGTAGAGTGGGGCCTAGGATGGAGCCTTGAGGAACACCTGCCTTCGTGGGATAGGAACTGGAGGAGAATCCGTTGAGAACGACCTTCAATTCACGGTTTGACAGGAATTATTGTATTAGGTCAAACAATCGACCCGTAATGCCATAACCCTGGAGCTTGCGAAGAAGGCCGGCATGCGAAACCCTATCAAATGCTTTGGAGATGTCTAGGGCCACCGCACGAGCTTCCCCGTTATTTTGAAGAGCTCGGTAGACAGTTTCAGTGATGGCCGTAAGTACATCAGCTGTAGATCGGGCAAAGCGGAAGCCATATTGCTTGTCTGAGAGCAGATCATGGGATGTGAGGTGGTTAACCACCTCGGTGTTGATTAGGGCTTCGAAGACTTTGCCGAAGAGGGGTAGGAGACTGATAGGACGGTAGTTAGAAGGGTCAGAGGGGTCGCCAGAGTTCTTGAAGACAGGAACAATCGAAGATGACTTCCAGCAGTCAGGAAAACAAGATTCCTTGAGGCAGTAGTTGTATAGTTTAGAAAGGGCGGGCGCCAGTTCAGGACGCATTTCTTCAAGACAATGGCTGGTATCCCATCTCCACCACTAACCTTGTTGGGGTCTAAATTGGAGATAACGCCCAATACTAATGACGTGGTTATGTGTAACCCTCTCAATACGGCTTCAGTTCTAAAAGGGAAGTCGGGTACGGGTACACCGGAAGAGTCGAGCGTCGAGTTGAATGAAAATTTCCGAGCAAAGCATTCAGCCTTGTCGGCAGAAGAGGTCAGGACTTCGAACTGGTTGAACAATGGAGGTATAGAGGGTTTGCAATTGTTCAATACGCTCTTGCAGAGACGCCAATAATCTTTGGAGCCAAATTTGCGAGATGCAATACGCTCTTTCATCCGAGCAGCAAATAGTGCCTTAGCATCGTCGAGGACACGTTTACACTCATTACGGGCGGAGGCAAAGAGACGTCTATTGCAGTCAGACATGTCGCTACGGAATAGGTGAAAGAAGTGGTTCCTATGGGCGATGGCGGCTGAGCAAGCAGCGGAGAACCAGGGGGAGGAGCGCGACTTGAGCCTATATTTCTTTGAGGGGAAGAAAGCGTCGATTCCAGCTTTAACCCAGGATGAGACCTCAGAAGCACATTCTTGGACGGGGAGCGTAAAGACACGATCCCAGGGGACATCTCGGAGGAAATCACGGAACGCGTCCCAGTCAGCTCGTTGATAGTAGAACGAAGTTATAGCGGTAGGAGGTTCTTTGCAGGGGGTGGAGTTGGAGGAGATGTTAACAGATACTACCGCATGATCAGAGTTACCAAAAGGGCAGAATTGCGTGGCTCTACAGGACTCGGGAATAGAGGTAAAACACAGATCGAGAAGAGAGGCTTTACCTTCCCGGTTGAAGGCAAAACAAGTGGGGAAGTTAACTATCTGCGTGAGGGATTGAGAGACTGAAAAATTGAGCGTTTGAATGCCTGCGTGGTCAGTAGTAGCATTCTTAAGCCACATAGTATGATGGCCGTTAAAGTTGCCAAACACAAATATGTGAGCAAACGGGTGGAGGGATAGAGCCTTGTCTATGCTGTCAGAAATGCTATCGAGTATCCCACAGTCTTGAGAGGATGGAGAACGGTAAAGGAAGAAGAGATAGCTTACTGCATTGAGAAGAGATAGTCGGAGACTGGTCTGGCGATTCGAGAGACAACTCTCTGGCCAGAGGGAGATGGTCCTTGTTGTAGACACCAAGACCGTGCATGTGGGTTATAGAGTCTTTTCTGAGGAGAGGAAGGTAGCCTGGGATAGAGAGATCAGAGGAGGGGATAGACGACACAAGGTTAGTCTCACAGAGAGCCAGTATATCCGGGCAGTTTGCAGTGAGTAAAGATTCCATACTGCAGAAGTTTGTTTTAATGCCACGGATGTTGGAGAACGAAATGTTGAGGGGTTTAGGTGATTTGTGAGTGGCTGGTTACATATCCACATACATACCATGGTAAAATACGCACAAATTTTATTTTCTACCCACTAACAGACAATATTTACAAACATGCGAAAAAGATCCCACAATACACCGTTTAAATCAGTATCTATTTATTAGTCAGAAATTAACATCACTAGATGAAATATTTTATCAATCAGAGAAAATAAAACCCTGTTCTTCTCGAGCTTACTTTCGGGGAAAAACCGATAAATACAGATTTTCAGCATTTGCTGCCGAAAATCTGTATTTGTCGGTTGCGACTATCATACGCCGTACAAACACAAGAGGAGATGTGGCTACATAGCTTTTCCTCCCTACTAAGCGCGCGCTGAAAGAAACCTGTATCGGTAACTTCAAACAGATAATCTCCAACAACAACAACAACGCGGACGTCCAGCGAATCTTCGGTGACGATAAGTCTTTTCTAAACCGTAGAGTTTTTTCTGTTGACCAACTACTCAAATACTTGAAATAAACAAAAGACTATTTTTACTTCTTTTTCACTCTTTTGAATTCATGTTTGTATATACAAATGATTTATATTTTTAACAGGCATATCCATGCTTTCTTTATCTTCATTATTGTTTGGAATTCGGACGTTCAGATTTTTAACGTAAAAAACCATGTACGACAGAATTTTCTCAGCCCTTCATATTTGAACTTGGAAACTTATACTGGTTGTTGGCTTACGGCCATATCAGGTTGAAACACCGTTTCCCGTATGATCATCGAAACAACGTCGAGCATAGCCAGTACCTAGATGGGTAACCGCTTGGGAATAACAGGTGTTGTGAGCTTAGATGTACGGTGGTGTAATGGATAATGGCTCGGAATTGTTAAATGGAGAGCCGAGTTCAAATTCCAGTTGGTTTCTTCATATTCACTTACGCATAAATACCCTTGGGAAACGTATGAACCGACCTCTTCTTCCCGCCAACTAGGTCTTAATTATTAAAACGTGTGTTATTATTATCTTTAAAAAAATTCTTACAGACAAAAATATTTTCTGGCTTTAAATAACCGCATCAATTAGTCAATCATCTTGGTTTTTATTACTCACAACGTTTCAATATATGATAATAAAAATTGGTCATCTAAAAAAACTCCGACAAATAATTTCCTAAGGGTTTCACAAATTCGGACAAAGTTCGGTGAATAGATGTGGTGAATACGAAATAAAAAAAAATAACTCTTTTTTTCTCCACTATTTTCAAATTCGCGAGCCCATGCGAAAATTTAATTTTGACTAATAGAAAAAGATATTGGCTCCGGGCTGAAGAAAAGACCAAGGCAAACTTTAACGAGCCTATGTGAAAATTTATTTTGACCAATGGAAAAGGGAGCGGCTTACAAAATGAGAAAAAAGTAACGAGCCGATGTGAAATAGGCAGAGAAAATTGAATCAAGGCAGAGAGAGCGAGAAAGCAGAAAGAAGCAGGAGGCAGAAATCCAGTGTTCCATGCGTCTGAATAACACCAATGTCAAATTACATGCTGATACATTATCAGCCTCTAATAAGAGCAAGGCAATTTCAAAGCTAAGTACCTTAAAATATATCTTTTTATTCATGTTGAAAACAACCGTATAACTTTTATGTGAGAAACGGACTCTCTTAATTTGTTTTAAACATTTTGGGATATTACTTTGTATCAGATGATTTAATATGAACAATTTCTCTGCTTGACAATTCCTCGAAATTACGAACTTTAAATATTTGATTCCTTTTCCCGAAACAAGCTACTAACAACCTCAAATGTGTAAATTTGTAAATAAATTCCTTATCTTGTCTAGTTAAATATAACACTTGTGTTACCTCGACATTATCCCTTCACAGAAAGTACCAAGTACAATATTTTTTTTTTTTTGAAATGATGGGGGCAACAATAACTATGTATTGGAGGGTTATAATTGTTTTATAACACACGGGCGGGGGTTCATAACGTCTTCAGTAATAACAACACCGACAGCAACTCGTGTAACGGGTTTTTAAATTATTTCATATCTCTCCTCTCTCTCTAAAAAAAAAAAAAAAAGAAACAAAAACAAAGGGCGCAAAATCTAATCCAGAAAGCCAGATAAATATTAATTCCTTATGCATTGTAGATAACGTAATGGTCAGATAAGTAAGAATATATTAGGTCGAGTTATATATATATATATATATATATATATATATATATCCAATAAGTGGAAGTGGAAGGCATGCTTCGATAACTGCATTTCTAAATAAAATATTTCAATCGCATTGTGATTACCCACCTGATGAAACGTTAAAAAGTTTTCGTTTTTTTAACGTTGAAACAAGATGTAAAGTTTTGTAGTGGGTATGTGCATGTTCTAATGTAACACTGCATAATATATATATATATATATATATATATATATATATATATATATATGTGTGTGTGTGTGTGTGTGTGTGTGTATTTAGGCGGCAAATTTCCTTTTAGGCATGTCTGATTAAATAAATCAAAAACATTGTATTTGCTTATTTTTAACATAATCCGTTCATATTCACAGATATTTTATCCGTTTATTACAATCAAATAATGCAAGGAATGCATTGTAACACTGAAAATCCCTTTTATGGCCCAAGTACTTCCCATCTCTTTCTGAGATCATCATCAAGGGCGCAAAAACTATGTGTAGCTATCCATTGCTGAATTCTTTTCTTTTTGCTTTTAAATGTAACGGCTAATAGTGATGCTTCATTAGAACGTGAAAAATTATCCACTATGGATGTTTTTCTTTTATGTTGGAATGTCGTGGCCAAGCGCGTATCAAAGCGTGAAAACTGTTCTTTTTATAGCTATTTTAGAAAATTATTACAGTATTCGTAGCTGATTCTATTCAGTAATCGGCTTCAGGTTTTTAATGTAGATTGCTTCGAGGATCTGTAGTTTTAATTTGTTATTTTCTTAGTGTAGGATAGTTGTGTTATATGTCAATATTTTTTTATACTGCGAATGTGGACAAGAATGTTGTAATGTCTGTTCCAGAATCACTGTTTAACATTTGCTCTAAGCAATTAATAATCGGCATCTTCACAAAGAGTATTTTCTGTAAAATAAAAGCTTTTTTACACAATCTGTCTATCATATAATGACCAAATATGCCTAAAATAAAAACAAAAGAAACAGAAAAAAAGAGACGATAAGACAAGATTTGAAAGTGGGTTATTTATTTCTAAATTAAGTATCGAAAGAATACACAAGTTTATTTGAGTCGAGTTGGTGGGGAAAGAAAAAATTAACATAAATTATTCAGTTTGTTGTAAACAATTATAAATTATTAGCAATTAAAAACTAGAGTCTCTTAACACGTGAATCCATGCCAGATATATGTCCAAGCAATAATGCGAGTATATAACCTCAAGTCGTGATGAGAACACCAAATTTTGGATTCTATAACTTCCATTTGTGACATCTATAATTTTAAAAATTATTTCAAGCAAATTCTGTTTGGGAAGAATCAAGTTAAAATTGCAGATAATTTGATTATAACTGTTTATAGTATATATATTGTTAAAAAAAATAACGTCAAAAGGTATTTACTGCTGTTTGGCAATGACTGTAAATTGAAAATATTGTCAGCCTTTTTGCAAACTTTCTTAAGAATTTTTGCTTTAAAAAAGAAACTGTTAGAAATACGATATTCTTTGCTAGTTGTAAAGGAATCTCAAGACGGAACACGGCATCTGAAAAAGAAAAAAAAACATTGCAAAAATGGATATATACTGAAAGGAACATTGTTACTGTCGTAACTAATTATCTCCCTTTTCTTTGGCCTCCAAATGTGGTGTAATAGTTAACAAGATTAATCACGACTGGGTAATTAGCTTTTATTATTCCATGTGTACTGTAAAGACCCATAAAATTGTATCAGGTCCTATATCTGTAACCAGGTCTGGGTGATGTTCACACCTGTTTCTTGTTTCCTTCCCGTAAAAGTTGCATATTTTCCAGTGCAGATATTGGCCCAGACTCACATGCCGAGGTTTATAACCAGTGGATGCTAACACCGTGTAAGGTGATACAAGATGGTCAATTGTTTCTGGATATTTATCACAGAATCTGCATTTGGCGCCAATACAATTATTATTATTATTCTGGTGATGACGATGATGATGATGAGGTGGAGCAGTTAGAACATTCGCTTTCCAACCATGAGAGCCGGGTTCGAATCTAACCGTGGCCCATTTGTCAGGGAGGTGACTCTTTAATGTTACCGGCCTGTAGAGGCGATCCCAACGTGCAACACCTTTGAAAAGTGTCCGAAAAAGCATACCACGAGTTGACCCAAGCCTTGTGAGTGAAATTGAATAGATGGAACGGTCGGTGGTTGAGCTAGGACAATTCAAAAGGTTTTGAGCTGGCTTTGTTCAAACTGTTGATCACGCCAGATAATGCGTTCTCTCTCCTCGAAACTGTAACTAAGATCTGCTCAGCATAGTTGCAGTATAAACCACAGGTGGGCTCTGTGGGTGTTGAATAAACACAAATGTGCCAGAGCGGCCACCTGCGACAGGCAGACAGGCATACTAGGATACGAGCTGCCCGCCATTGCTATTACATTACTATACATCTAATAAACTGCCCTGTCAACTTTAGTTATTCCAGGTTGAAGGAGACAGCTGTAACAGCTCTTTTTACACATTCTGCTAAACACTGCTTGTCACACCTTGCAGATTGCTTATGGATTAACTTGCATGAGCCGACCATTTGTTTTTCGCTAGCGCAAGAAGTTCAAGGACGGCGGAAAGGATATGAGAGAGGATGTGAGATGTGGGAGAAAAATGGCCGTCAGAACATCCCAGTTGATTGTGATAATTCATAGTATTCTGGATGTAGACCGTCGTGTGTCTATAAAGACAATAAGCATAGTTTTAGAAGTTGGTGTGGCAAAGATCTGGACATGAGCAAAATTTGTGCAAAGTTTGTTTCCAGGATGCTCAGTGGCGAACACAAGAAAAAGCGCGTTGGTGACAGCAGAGAAATGATTGATGGCATCAAAACTTCCCCTCACCCAGTGATGTGCAGAGGTTTGGTGATGCCTGGGGCTAACTCCTTCATTGTATGTCCCTAATACTCAAATAGAAGCGGAACTACTCCGGTTTCGCTTATCAAAACACGGATCCACATTAGCTTGTGGAACTGTAGAGTGCCTGTACAACGAAGTTAACAGAGAGAATTTCAGATTTCAAAATCTAAATTCTTATTTCACTTTTGATTGTATGCCCTCTCGAAATGGATGCCCGGGGCCATTGCGCCCTTTGTCCACCCTTTGGCACGTTACTGCCCTCCATACAGTCCAGACCTTGCTCCATGTGGATTTTGTTCCCCAACCTGAAGAAGAATCTCAGGGGAAGTCGTTTTGAAGACATTGATGAGACAAAGCAGACTGTGACTGTGATTTTCTATGTGTAGCTTAAATATGGCTGAAGGCCTAAACCATGAGGAAACCCAGTGAGGATCGAACTCACTATTTAGTCGTAACTGATCTAGTGAGACAACCTTGCTAACCATTACACCACGTCGAAGTTATTTTCTAAGCGCAGCTTAGATGTGGCACAAAATGATTTTTTAAGCGTAGCTTAGATGTGGCACAAGGCCGAAAGTGTGGTGCACCTAGTGAGGATCGAACTCACCACGCATTCGTTATTGATCTAGAGAGCTTGCTAACCATTACACCACATCGAAATGCTCTATAGTGATTTACTAAGCGTAACTTTGTTGTGGCGTAAAACCTAGATTTAGGAGCTCACATTGAGGATCGAACTCACTATTCAGTCGTAAAAAAAAACAAATTCTGGAATGTACCTCGTATGAAAGTTTTGATCAAGAGAGGCTATTTAAGAACGTGACTCAATATTATCGTCGATAGTAATTCGATTAGATCGGGCTGGTTTCAAAATTGTCATTCGAAATGCTGACTTTTATCTGAGCTTGAGAATCAGCATCAGCTCTTAGGGGGTTAAGTCTTAATTACTTCAGCAACCGAGTGGGCCCATAAAGAGAGACATGTATGTTGATAAAGAGATAAAAATGCGTATATTGTTGAATAATAGACGGAGACGATTAAAAACAACACTTACATACGATCTGTCGCTGGCTGGTCAGAATCATCCAATAAAAGATATTGACTTGCAAATTCTTGGTAGGCCTTTGTCTTGTTGGCGATATTCGAGAGATCCCGACCAGCAAGCATCAGATCATTATTGGGATTTCCGTCGCAATTACCGCAGATTCCTTCCACATTACCAGCATATCTCTTGGGTAGAGTGATTATCACGGCGTGTATGCCATCAAATCTCACTCTTAGACCACACTGAGTCTCAAGCTTCATGAACTTGCCTTCCATCTCCACCGACACTGTCCCACTTGGGTTTTTATACGGCATTGGCTTCATCTGTTTATCGACCTAATAATAAAATAGTGATTTTGATTTAGATTTATACTGTTGAGAGATTTATACTGTTGAGAGATAAATAGAAATTAGGTGTGCAAAACACATACACACATACATACACACACAAAAGAATAAAACACCCTGTAGTGACACTGAATGTAATATCCCCTTCTTACAGGGCTTACGGCCACATCACGTTGAAACATAGGTTCCCGTACGATCACCGAAGTTAAGCAACGTCGAACTTGGCCAATACTTAAATGGATGACCGATTGGAAATATCAGGTGCTATAAGCTTGGAATCGGGTGGCGTAATGGATAATGGCCCAGAATTGTTACTGGTAGGGCCGAGTTACAATTCCAGTTAAGTTCGTTAGGTTCACTTACACGCAAATACCGTTGGGAAAGCTATGAATCTACCTTTTCTTTCCCCCAGCTATGGGTTAATTAGTAAAACTTGTATCACTAAAATCATTATCTCCAAAAACAAAAAAATAAATAAAATTGCTTACAAAATATTTAAATTTCGGCATTAAATAACCTATAAAGGTGTTGATATGCCGCTAAACAAAACCAAACAACCAACCAAACCCATTCTTACAGGACGAATTTACAAACGCCCTAAATAGTTCTGACGGCCACGTAACGACAGCATCATTTGTTGTTTTTCAACCTTTTCTTCATTGTGGCCCATTTTTCGTTTGATTTAGTTGAATTTGTTTGACGATATATCAACACGTCCATGGGTTATTTAATGCAGAAATCTAAATATTTTGTAATCAATTTTTATTTTTATTTTTCATTTTTATTTTTGTCGATAATAATGGTTGATTGATTCAAGTCTTAATTAACCCATAGTTTGGGGGACAAAAGAGATGGCTTCATGACTTTCCCAAGGGTATTTGCGCGTGAGTGAACATAACGAACCCAACTGAAATTAGAACTTAGCTCTCCAATTAACAATTCCATTACACCACTTGCACATCCAAGTTTACAGCACCTGGTATTCCCAAGCGGCCATCCATCTAGATACTGGCCAGACTCGACGTTGCTTAACTTCGGTTATCGTACGGCAATCGGTGTTTCAACGTGATATAACCGTAAGCAGGCCCATTTTTTGGTGTCGAAACATTTCAGACCCACATACGCACAAATAGAAATTCCAGCTAACAGGAAATACATTTTATTTACAAAAGTAAAATGTAGTAGAAAATATAAATCCTGACTAACAACTACGCCGTTCCTGGTGTCTCCGGTCCCATAAAAAATATTTCTCAGGACTACTTTTGGGCCGAAACAGCTCACATTGAGAATCATTGATGTAGACCGCCAGGGAGTCAAATTGGGTAGCCAGCAGCGGTTACAACGAGCGATAGTAGAACATATTTGAAAAATAATTGTTATTCTAATATATATATATATATATATATATATATATATATATATATATATATATATTATTTATCTATTAACTATGCTTGTTATTTACCAATAACAGAAAAATGTGGCTGGTACACCTGCGCAGAAAATGCCGATTGCAAAAAAGTTAATGGAGTTCCGAAATGTGTATGTGTGTGTGTATGTGCGCGCGCGCGCGCGTGTGTGTTTATGTATAACATTTTGTATGATATATTTGTGCATTCTAGTGTTGTGTATACAACGTTTTTTAAGGGCAACTCATTTTTGGAATCAATTTCTTGGAATCTTTCCTTCTGTTGCGTTAAGGTGTTAGTATGTCACGGTTATACTAATGTCTAATGTGGGTCTTGGAGAGTGAAGAAAACCAAGGTATATCTTCTCGCGACTGGAAAAAAACCTGAAAAAATAACTAAGAAATATACATGCATGATAAACTCGGTGCAAAACTTAGTATTGAACATATCACATGATCTTAATATTTTTCGACCAATCGCCAGTAAGTACAAAAAAATGAATGAATAAATAAATAAAAATGAAAACTCTTTTTTTATTCAATTAAAACCTATAAAACAGAAAAAGATTTGATAACTCAGAACTCGGATTATCAGATAACACAGAGATGTTCACTTGTATGAAAGATGCTAAGAAACACTGTTTTTCCTCTGGCGAAGAAAAGATTACGAGAGATTAATGGTACATCAGTAGCCAATTTCACGGCATATTACTCTCATATCCAACAATGACTTATTTCATATTTTTTTATGGACAGCTTAATATCAAACTCTGTCTAGTTACATTTCTACTTAATTTTTACAGACATTCAATACTCTTGACTTGTTTTTACGGAAACTTTTGAAAACAAAAATGTATTTTAAAAAGTACATCATACATTTCATTTGAAGTCACCAAGCCAAACCACATTGTGTACTGAATTTTCTTGGTTCTGCTCACGAACGTCATTGTTTGAATTTAATCTTCTCTCACACAATTCGTAATCATGCCAATGAATATTAGGAACTCAATATATTTTCGTGGCAACTGTTCTGGCGAGCTATTTTCATTGGTGCCCCAACTGCATGAATTTAAGCGTGCTACTAGGTTGGCATTTCGGTCCCACCCTCTTACTGCCGAAACAGTTAAATGTAACCGACTCTTCTACTCCAACAGCTTTTTTTTTTCTCAAACTTCCCATCAGTGGAACTCCCTCCCTCTTACTTGCTTCTCTGATAATTATAATATTCAAAAATTTAAATGTAATGTCAATCGACATCTTCTGAGAATCCCTTGATATTGGTTCCCGCCCTTCTCTTTATCCTTTCCTCAAACACCCCTCTTTACTCTTACTTTCACCCTGTGTAACCCCTTGCGTGCTAGTGGCACTCCCGCCTTGTTTGGGGTGAAATGCTTAAAAATTATTCTGTCTGTATTTCTGGCATGAGGAGTTATTACTAATTACAGTTGGACATATATCTTTATCTTTGTTGTAATTATCCAGCCATCTTCAGGTGTATGTCGATCCAGGTAACACTCGGAGAATTTCGAACCGAAACTTTAATTTAACCCACGGAAGTACCTTGTTCCCACTATGTTGTCCATCTCTAGGTATATCTCGTCTTGTTCTTATTTAGTGCGTATCCTGTTTCCACTGATTCTGAAACTGTACTACCAGGCCAAGGGAGTGAACTCATAATTCATAAACCACCAAATTCACGAACTGGATATCCCGAGACACGTGGAACGGAGACATGGAATAGCCCTCGAGCATGCGCTAATAAGATTTAAGGTGAATAACCCCATTAATAGTAGTAGACATTCATAGAAACAAACATGGACGCTGATTTGCTGAAAATATGATTTCCAAGGGTTAGTTTGGAAATCGGTTTTAGTAATACTAAGAAAATTTTCTATAATTATAAAATGTTAAATTTACTAAATACAGAGGGATCTCGGTTCTTGAAGGTCTGACATGTCGAAAAAATCGGTTTTTGAACAGAAAATTCGAGATGAAAATGCCTCGGTTGTCGAACAAAATTTTGGTTTTCGAACAACATTGCCGGACCGAGCTGAACCTAGCCGAACCGAGTCGACCCGAGTAGAACCGAGTTAACCCGAACGGAAAAAATTCTGAGTCGACCGCCGTGTTGTATACATTCGTGTGTTGTGCTGTGCTTTTCTTTTCGAATTTTATTTTACTGTGACTTTTTTTCTTCTCTACATTGATTCCAATTGGAAAAATAGTTTCTTATTTCTATAATGTCTGCTTCCGCTAATGGTAACTTATGCAGGCAATTTCTTGAACTGGAGTTTTCATTCTGTGAATAAAAATATCTGTTGAATCTATAATGCCTTTCATGACATTTTTTTTTCAGCATTTATATATTTTTGGCATGACATGTTATAAAAATACAACGCATACGAAGTACATTCAAGGCTAAGCGCGATATAACACATCAACTTACGTTTAAGTGTTTGTAAAGATGGAGTTGGTACACGTGACCAAAGACTTTGATATCCACCAGCCTTGTGAACGCACGAGTTGGAAACTTCGAGTACAGACGGTGTTCATTCTTGACTTCCACCGCGAACGGACACTTGGAATCGCCCACTGTACGGGCCATTGTATATTTACAATCGCCGAGAAGATACAGACTGGTGGAGTCGAATGTTATATAGTGGGGATCACCAGATGCTGAGCATGAACAATACGCTTCTGAAAAATTGGAAGAAAAAAAAAAGAAAAAGAATTGATACAAAGTCGATATCTGATCAGCTTAGTTTAGTCAGGAGGCCATGTAAACAAGAAACCTAGTAAAGATCGAACACGTTTAGAAGCCAAAGATTTTGGAAAACCTGTAGCGATATCAATTGTCAGCTGATATCTTATTAAGGTCACATCTGCAAGAAATCGTTCTGACAATTATTGTCTTGACAAAGAAGGTCAGCTGAGTGAAGTGGAATCCCAGAACATATTGTTCCAGCGGACCATTAATCAAGGAGAACGGAAAAACAAGACTTCATCTGAGTTGTTGTGGAAATGTCTGCCAAAACCCTAAAGACAAGAGTAGGGAATTGGGGATCCAAAAAAGAGAGATAAAATTGTCCAAATTACAGCTGTGAAGTGGCGAGAAAAATAATGAAGAAATATGGGTTTCCGGTACCTACTAAAATCTTTTCCTTCTGTTTCATTTCCAGTGGCGCCTTGCGTCTTGGTGGCATTATCACCTTGTTTGAGGTGGTGCCTCTAACTCTGTAACACTCTACTTTGAGTAGCTCTTGAGCCTTGTACAGGATGGACGCCATTGTAAAAGTAAATGATGGAACGTTTTACAAACACACACACACACACACACACACACACAGAGACAGTGATGTATCTGCTTTGTACTCACCATCACATACATCGATACCATTGCCAGAAAATCCATCCCGACACACGCATTTCGGAACTCCATTAACTTTTTTGCAATCGGCATTTTTCTGAGCAGGTGTACCAGCCACATTTTTTCTGTTATTGGTAAATAACAAGCATAGTTAATAAATAAATTATATATATATATATATATATATATATATATATATATATATATATATATATATATATATATTAGAATAACAATTATTTTTTCAGATATGTTCTACTATTTAAACCATAGCTGGCAGAGGAGATGGACTACTAGCTTTCGTAAGGTTATTTGCGCAAGGGAATGTAACGAACCCGACTAGAATTCGAACTCGGCTCTACAACCGCACATCTGGATTTATAAGTAATTCATTTTCGCTGCGTTTGTTAATAGTTTGATCTTTGCTAACTTACTTACCGAATCTTCATATTCGTTGAAATTCACTACATCCTGAAAGGAGATGGTTTGGTTTCGTTGGGTTTGTTTTGTTTTACGGCATATCAACCTCAATGGGTTATTTAATGCATTTTTATTGCTGGTAATATGTTTTTCTTCAAAAATCTATTTCTGGAAATATTTTTCCTTGAAGAAATCTATAGCTGGTCATATTTTTTTCAAAGAATGTATAACTGTTTGTATTGCTGGTATTTTTTTTAAAGTATTGCTGATAATAATTTTTCCTTAAAAATTATTGCTGGTAATATTTTTTTATTACAAAGTATTTCTGATATTAAAACCTTTTTTTTTTTAGTTTGGGTGTTAACTATTTGCCCATAGCTGGGACCCTAACAGGTGCTACCAATCCGGGTCAGGGTGGACCTGGGAACACCAGCAATTAAGAGGTGGTTCCACGCGCCTCAAAACCTCCTGATCAGAGGCTTTGATGTTGGACGCAGTTTATTGTCTTACCCAGGTCGACCTGAAAGGACATGGCACATAAAAAGAAAGGAAGTATAGTGACTTTACTGCCACCCTTATATATCGGAAGGACGAATAACGTCCTGCAGTGAAAATGATTTGGGAATTTCAGTTTAAAGTATCAAGCAAAGAGTTTAACAAGTGGCTGATGTTGTCCATTCCTGCAAATCATAAACGCTATTTCGATCTATATGAATTGAAATGAGAACGTGAAAAGAACTGAAGAATGAAAAAAATGAACGTTCTTTTTTTACTTACTTTTCAGCGTCAGGTCGCTTGGGCTGTCTGTAAAGAAAAACAAAATCTTTATTCAGTTATTTTACTTTACCGCCCACTTTTATTTACTTCTTTTAACTTTCGGCTTGGATATCTCATAAAGCTGAAGCGTAAACCGCTAAAATGATAAAAATTAAAAAAAAAACAAACTAACCGAATATTTGAGCGGGAATCCACATTTTCCATTCTGGAGTTCAAAAAATTCTCCGAGTTCTTTTGGGAGAAGAATTACTTTCCACCCTCCAACCTCTTTCTCACAGGCAGGATGTGGCAACACTCTCACCGCTCTATCGCTACTTCCATGGAACGTGCTCGGACAAACTACATTCCTTGGTTCCGCCAGGCCTAACCTTCACGGCTAGGACCCGCCATTCCGCTTACATAGTAGCAAGCCATCTACATTCCCTTCATATTCCATCGATGAGAAGTAAGTTCCACTCGAACAGCTTCTTCACGCGAACAAACTCCCAAGAGGATGTTTCACCGAGCACTACAATCTCAATCAGTTCAAGTCGAGAATTAACCGTTATCATCTCCTCATATCTGTATAAACTACCCTTTAACATAACCCTCTACTTGTGCCTTTCCAGATATTGTGGTACTTGTTTGATTTTGGTATTCCCGCTTTGTAATTTGCATGTTGGTCTGCCCCTTTTGCTAACAACCATACATATGTTTAGTTCTTTCTTCCCGCTTTCCTTCACTACCTTCCGTAGAAGCTTTTCTAGTTTTCTTTCCATGTCTGCTATCAACATTGTGTCATCTGCACATCTTATCGTTAACATTGGGGCTGCTAATAATGAAACATGACAGGACTTCTAATTCTCTCAGAATCGTTTCGCTGTATAGGTTGAATATGTCCGGTGAGAAGACACACCCTTGTCTCAATTCCTTTCTATTTTTGTATATCTGCTGAACTCATTTTCTATCCGTATGTAGTCGGTTTGCTTTCAGTATTGTTTCTTGATTATCTTAATATCGTTTCCAAATATGTCAAGATTGCGGAGCAGTTCAAACTGATCTTTGTGGCGTACTTTATTTTATACTAGCCAAGGTACCCAGTGTTGTGTGGGTGTACATGAGTACAATTTCATAACCGTCTTCGCGTGTGTTTGATTGTTCTTAGTAAAAGAATTCCATCGATAAAACCAAATTGTGTGGTCGTTGCTCGGGGTTAAATTGTTTCAATGTTTTAGATATTCAGTAAATTTTCTATGGCGGGAAAAAATTTAAAATATTATGGCATTGTTCCCAAATCTAATAATCAGGGATGAATCGTCAGAGCTTTATTCAGCTGCAAGTGCAAACGCATGAACGTCCCCTCCTTCTTCGCACGTTTACTATAAAACTGGGGTTAATAAGAGGTTCTTCGGGAATTTTTCCCTTTTAACGCTTCAATAACCCTTCTCAAACAGTCTTTGCATCAAACCTTGTTCAAATGCCAATTTAGTATGAAATCATACGGAGAAACTAATGGCTAAATGGTAAAAGCCAATTTTGAACCTAGTTTGTCGCAGATTTCGTACACTTAACTGAAATAATTTAAACCAAACATTCGCGCAAAACAATTTGTGTGTCATATGTAATTTACATGGCAAATTTGGAAGGCATCGGATGAAAAACCAGGGAGTTATGGCAAAAAAGCTGTTTTAACAGTTTTTCGTAGTTTTTCGTTATACGTGGGGAAGTGAGCAGGGCTAAAACCACATTATCTTATTTTTGGCATGATAGTAAATTTTTTGCGACATGTTTGAAGAAAATCAGATGAAAAATGAGGAAGTTATTCAAGTTTTTATTTTAAGTAGTACCCGATTTTTTCATAGATTTTTGCAATTTTTTGTGTGAAGCCAACGTCGCAGGAAAACTATCAAGCACTCTACATAAACCTCGTAACATGAACTGATGTTTTGCATTAAGTGCAAAGAACATCAGCTCATCCAGTAAAAATTCTGTTCGCGTGTAACTGCGTTGGTTTTTGCAAAAAGTCGTACCTCGCTTCAGTTTTATCGATTTTTCTGCCAAACCCGGGATGTGGTGCTGGAGATTGAAAAGTTGATCTTGTCCTACTTTGGTAAATTTACAAGATGTGTGTACATTTTCATTGAAATCGGTCGAGAGATGTGGACGTGCATAAATAGAATAGATAAACACAGACACACACACACACAGACAGATACACAGACAAACACACACACAATCATCTTCTGTTTTATAGATATAGATTCATGGCATATGCATATCAGCTAAAAATAAAAACAAACGTTTGCGCTGAAAGTGTTAAGTCACTAATAACACAGAAATGGCTTCATAGTAAATGTTAGACACACACACACAAAAACTTACCAGCCGGGAGTTTATCAAGGTCGTGTGGGCAGTTTTTCACGCACTCATTGTTTTTTTCATTCAAAATGAATCCAGGTTTACAAACGCAATTCTCAACCGCTGGAAGAGTGCACAGTTCTTTGGCCTTCGGGTTAGCACAAGTCGCCGGGCATCCAGATGAAAACGGGTTGTACCGTTGGCTTGCTGAGCACGGAGCAGCTGTAACATTAAAAAAAAAAAAATGGAGGGTTAATTTTTGCAATTTTATTTGATCCGTAGTTCACAACTGCCATACTAGTAGCTTTGCTCGGATGCTGACCATCAGAACCACGCCCAATACAGGATGGGTTATAAAAAGATATTTTAGGTAAAGAAAAATACCCCCTATCCTAAACCATATACATATATATATATATATATATATGAATCATGTATATGTTGAATTCACTTATTTTGAAAGTATAGAGGCATTAAACCGATGCACGTGTAGCATTGCTCTAATGCTGACCATTAGAACCACGCCCTGGACATGACGGGTTATTTTAGGTAAAATAAAATCATCTATCTATTTATCTATCTCACACACACACACACACACACACACACACACACACACACACACACACACACACACACACACAAAATCATTTCACAATTGATTAAGTCTTTATATAAGCATCCTTTGGTTCTTATAGTAGCTAATTATGAAATGTTTGGAGAAAATTTACCTAGTTGTTACATTTTACTGACTAACAATGACGTCATTTCTTTTGAGGGGTTAAGTCTTTTGTTTGTTTCTACAGCTATTCCATTAAAGAGCCTTGTTTTAGCGTCTTAAATAGTTAAATAATGACATTTCATTTGTAGCTTTCTGAAAGATTTTTTTCTAATCATATTGTAGTGGGAGTTTATTTTAAATAGGATAGTGAAAAGTGGAGACTATAAATTATCTCCTCCTAGACAAGAACAAGAAGGTTCTCCATATTCATTTTGCTGTGACTACGTTATATTTTACAACACTTTTAGCAGTCGAAAAATAGATGAGTTGCTTTTTTTGCATGGTGTGGAAAATTCAATACTATACTTCAGAAATTTGCTTTGTAAAAAAATTTAATATTTTCGATTGGAAAGTCGTATATTGACTGACGTTCATTTTTTTTTTTTTTTTTTTGTCGAAAACTTCTTGAGTTGAAGTATCATCGTGACAAAGAAAAAAGGAACAAACACAGCAGGAATAAAAGAAAGAAATAAAGAAAAACAGAAAGAAATAAAGAAAGAAAGATAGATAGATAGAAGAAAATGAAGAAAGACAGAAAGAAATAAAGAAAGAAATAAAAATAAAGAAAGAATTAAATAAAGAAGAGATAAAGAAAAGATAAACAAAGAAAGAAAGAAAGAAAGAAAGAAAGAAAGAAAGAAAGAAAGCAGGATAAAAGGAAATAAAGTTAGACAGAAAAATAAAGAAAGAATAAATAAATAAAGATAGAAGGAAATGTAGAAAGAAAGAAAGAAAGAAAGAAAGAAGAAATAAAAAAGAACGAAATTAAGACAAAATAAAGAAAAAATAATGAAAAATAAATAACTAAATAGAGAGAAAGAATGAAAAAGAAAAAAACTAAATAGAGAAAGAATGAAAAAGAAAAACGTTCTTAAGTGCGTAAAGCGAATGTACTTAAGATGCTTGAGAGGCCAACTTTTCAACTAGTCATGATTTAGTCATAAAATTATTAACAGTAAAATAAAATATTTAAATGAAAAAAAAATGACTGCGCGCTTCAATGCTGAGTAGATTATTACTACTATAAAGTTTTCGATCCTCACCGAGCGTTTTACATTTATGGCTTTCTTCAAGACTAAGCAAATATTTATACAGTCAAAATAAATTAGACCAAGCAGTTAATCCCTTCATAGATGAAGCTGATGACCACCCAATTAAAATGATGAAACACCCTAAATCTATAATTTTAAGAGGGAGATGCAGAAGCGGTGAACTTACGACAAAAACTCTCTGTTCTCCACAAGACAATGAAACCGTGAGCTGCACAGATTGAAGCTGCAACTTCAAGTTTCGGGCAAGTGACACCTCTTTGGCTTGCTCCAACAATGCAAAACTCCATTTTACAATTCATAAACTGCTGATTCATGATGTCTTGGAGGGAATGGATGCATTCTTTGAAAGGTCCAGCTGTGTCTAACAATTGTCCGCAATTTTTACCCAATCGTGCCAACTTTTCTTGATTTTCTGAACACTTCACGGGTGATAAACCCTCACACCTGAAAATGTGGTAAAATCTGTTATCCGTGTAAGCATATAAACAGATTACCAATTCATAATTTGACATCATTTGTTAGTTAAGTAGTTAACGTATTCTATGGTTTATTTTCCTATTGACATTTAATGTTACAGGATTATGAAGTAAGTATTGGTACAAGTAATGGGACGTCTGGGAAAACATTACCTTAAATTTTTATATAAGTCCTAGGCAATATTTTTAGGATATGGAATTGGTAAAATACTAAACAATACAAATACCACGGTATATGGATCAGTTTTAAGAAATTTAGTATAGGAGATAAGAAAATTGAACATAGGGGTAGTTTTGCACAACACAACAAGTTGCTACCCAGGCAATATTTTTTTTTGTAAATTATTTAGGGTGGGGGTATATATGTCATAAAATACGATACCTTCAAATTAAAAAAACAAAACAAAAGCAAACTATTTTTTATTTATTGATTGTCTTCCTCTTGCGAGTTATTGGAACATTTATAATATGAACAGAGAGAAGCAATTTGATAAGAGACTAGATCTAAGAGATAAAATAAATTCTGTGGATCCAGGAAAAGGTCTCCACTCTTCTTTTAATGAAACTTTGTCATTTGTCAATTTTTTTTCTTTATTTCATTAAATAATAAAACAAAACATGAATATATAAGATTATCTTGGTTAAATCTACTAATGCAATTATAAATCTCAGTGAATTGAAAACTATCATCATGATCATTGTTACAATTCAGTCATTTTTATTTTCTCTATTGAAAAGTATAGAACGTCCATTAATTAGATTAATTAGTGAAGAAAAGGTCACTTTATATCGTTCTCATTGTTTTAATAATGATAAGAAATTAAACCAAGCAATTTACTCACGTTTTCCCGGGTTTATCAGAAGGATCTGGTATTCGCCAAGTATCTCCATACACAATGTGGTCACGGGCCATCAGGCTACTCTCCATCGGTATATCATTTTCTTTGTTACCGTCACAATCGCCGCACATTCCTCGAAGTATTAGACCTGGACTTTGTCGCACAGAAACCACTGCAGTTGTGCCATCAAAGGAGACAGACATGTTGCATGACGTTTGCAAGATTATGCTGCGTCGACCATATAGGTTGGATCTTATCTGATTGCTACCATAATTCTGACCAATCTCCTTGACAACGTTGTTAATCTTTTGGTAAACAGATTAATAACAGTAAGAGGAAATATTAGTTGGATTCATTTTGTTGTTGCTATTGAAAGGGCATTGTGGCTTAACGTAAAACAGAATCAATAAACCAAATCCTGCTTAGACTGTTTTTTATCACCCCACTCCTCAGCTACAGTAATGCTTTTGGTAAATGTGCAATATTATCATTGTACAGTTTAATGAAAATACAAGACTGAATCTCTAATATGTTACATTACACTTTATTCAACTCCGAATTTCGTGAATCTGCCGCCGATAAGAGTTTGAGTGACTCTTGGGTCTTTTCCCATTATGGCCTCTACATTTTTGTTAGGATCTGATATGCCCCGGAAAGGGATATATTTGAAGGAAGTAGCTAAGTGGTTTTGCTACTATAACCAAGTAGAATACGGTAGCAATAATCGACTGGTACGCGTCGTAGTCGCAGGTAAGAAGTGTAGATCAATGGCGTAGTGTAATGGGCGTCGTTATAAACTTAGCTCTCAGACTAAGGCTCTTTGACTCTCCTACACGTCCATTGGTATTCATGACGGACACCAGCTAATCATATTCCAGTGAGGGGGAACACAGGTGTACGCATATTCCATTATATCAGGATCTAAGATACTCTTTTCTCTCTGGGGTGGATATATATATATATATATATATATATATATATATATATATATATATATATATATATATATATATATATGCCATCGGTTTTCCGCACGCGTGCACATCTCAGGCGCAGCTGAGTCGATTACCTGTTTATCTGTCGTAGTCAACCACTGACATCCTGTGAGGTGCAGTTGGGAGCCGGACCTGAATTCTCTGAAGGGCATTGTGTGCAGGTATATTCTGGCACCATCTGAGGTGAGCTACACACTACAAAAATATGAATCCATCACCTATCTTTGTCACTTAACTTGATCAGAGCCTTGTCACTGACATGTCACAATATCAGAAAAGAGTAGGTGGTTAATCCATTCTTTTATAACTAACTTACGTGCTCATATAGTACTTATAAAATATCCTTCGATATTTGGAGGTCAAACATTGTGTTCGTTCTTCTCTTCATTTTATAATTACTTTCTTTTATTGATATTGTTAATACTGTTGTTCAGTCAGTCAGTTATGTGCCATGCGTGATACACGCTTAGGTGATCATGTATCTTTCGATACATGACTGACGAGGCAGATTTTTTTCTGCGGTAGTCCAGTTGCCATCCAAAGCTATAGAACCTTGTCTTTACCCATAGCTGGAGGGAGAAGAAGAGAATTCATAGCTTTCCCAAGGGTATTAGCACGTAAGTGATTGTAATGGATTCGACTGGAATTCGAACTCGGCTTTTCGATTCCTCAGTCTGAGCCGCTATACATTACTCCTCCGTGCCATTAATCAGCTGTTACTATTTTGGGTCTGTCTATATTTCTGAGATGAGGTATTATGTACATTATTTACATTATTCGGACTATTGTCCTCATCTTTGTCGCCATATTTATCACAACGTTTCGGCCGTTGCCCGGCCTTCTTCAGTTTGACATTCCAACCACCTGAAGAAGGCCGGAGCGTACAACGGCCGAAACGTTGTGATAAATATGGCGACAAAGATGAGGACAATAATCCGAATAATGTACATAATACCTCATCTCAGAAATATAGACACATAAATAGATATTGAGAAGCTAAATTAATATATATATATATATAAGGCAATTAAAAAATATATTTGTAATGTCGATATTGTGAAAGATTCTAAGTAAACTGTTTCCATTTTCTTACCAGGTAAAAAAACAACTTACCAAAAGTATTGGACAACTCTTGTTTTTTGGCTTTTCAATGCGATATTTGTTCCCAAACATTTCTAACTCGATCCAAAGAATTCCTGTTCCTTTCAGCTCGTCTCGATATCCATTCTTGGCTGCGATGCGGAAATCACAACGGTCCGCTTCGAGTCTTTGTGTCAGCAGATATCGACAGACTCCCATGTAATGGAACCAGGCACCGTCGTACGTCGCATAGTGGGGGTCACCTGTAGCTCGACAGATACACTGTTCTAGGGTTCAAATAAAAACGGGAAGGTTACACAGATATAGGCTGCCTAAACTTGTGATATGAAATATCGCATTATAATTCTGCTTGTCCCTTAGTTAGTTAGCGCGAGTATTACGCCTTGCCACTACCTCATAAATAATGGACTATTCCGTTTTGATCGCGAGGAAAGACGGAAAAGATATATTAGAGACGCTATTTGGTTTCAGTGAAAGAAAGAAAGAAACAGGGTATAAAAGAAAAACTTTGAAATTTACCTTTTTCCATTTCACTGATGCAGACGTTAAACACATGCAGTGTTATCACATCCTCTGTCTTCTCTTCTCTTTAAGACAGAGGAGGCGATAACACTGTCGTGCATCAGTGAAATGGAAAAAAACTGGTCAATTTCAAATCATTTCTTTAATACCCTGTTATTTCTGTAAATAATGACCTGAATTCACACTTAAGGCTTTTATTGCAATATTTCGTTAGAGTTGTTAAGCTCAAATATGTAACGATAAAATAGGGGGGATTTTATAATCATAGAACTCGGAAGAAGCTTATTCAAGCATTAACTTAATAATTATGTTTTAAGCAGAAATTGAAAAGAGCAAAACCGTGAAATTTTTGTAGGTATTTCTAGTTGTGATTATTTCATGGGTAATTCCGTCTACGATCTTCATTTTTCATTCGATCAAATTCTGACAGGTTCTCCATAATAAAGATTGGGCTGGACCTTGGACTAGTACCTGGTCAGGTTTTGATGCAGTTTCTTGAGTGACTTGACGCAGAAAATCTGGCATGATCGAAAAATGATCTCATTGTCAAGAAAATCATGAACGATGAAAAAACAGCTGAAGGAATGATTCTCGTTTATTCGTGCGATTTGACGATGAGGCGGGACGTCTGCTACTAGATTTTAGAAAATGGCGAAGCCAAGCCTGTCAGATAGGCATCCATCCTCGTAATGCTGAGCTGAGTGGACTGAATAGCAAACAAAACGGTCCCTATTTTATAGAGCATAAACTCCTTGAACAACTTTATTAGGAAATGTCTTTAATCATAGCTCCCAGTCCACACTCGCCTCAGGTCAAAATATTTTATTTATATCTGATCAGAGATAGATAAGTATACCGCACTCAAGTGTTCTTTCATCTGTCGTGCCCAAAACAAAGCGCCATTCTTCTACTCCCAGAAGGTTTAACGAGCATTATCGTATACCACTACGTTGAGATGAGTGTTTTCGCTTATTGTCGTGATATAATTGGCAGTACTTTACCTTGTTTAATATAACTAACGATAAAACAAGCTTCATGAAGTGTTGTGTAAAATCATGTGCACCCGTTACTGTTTTTTAAATGGGGGTGGCACAAACTGACATATTACCATTTAAAAAAAATTATTTCACTCCAAGCAAAGCGATAACGCGACTAAGTTGCAAGGGTTTACTGAAAGTGAAAGAAAATAAGGTTTTAGGAGAAGGAACCAGAAATTCAGTCCTAAACAGGAAACAAGGGATAAACCTTTACTCATGTTCAAGAGTCGGGGAAGGTGTAGGAACCGGGCGAATGGTAAAACTATCTGCTCCTATTAATTATATTCGAAATCTATTTTACTGATAACTCTGTTACTGGTGAAAATAATGGGATGGTATATGGGATCTATCAAAAAAAAAAAAAAAAAAAAAAAAGGAGTTCCAGGTATGCTTCCACCAATAGAAACGAAGCTGGGTAAAGTGTGTGACTTCAGAAGGGGACTACTTTGAAGGAAATTAAATACCGGATTGATATGTATTGTAGTTTTCTTTTTATACCATCAGTCGCGATACTTTTTGATCAGATCTTGTGTGTGTGTGTGTGTGTGTGTGTGTGTGTGTGTGTAAAGATTTGTTTAATCTGGCATAAGACTGAATAGTGGTTAAGAATATTGTGTTGCGTCAATCTTTCAAATGAGGCAAATCAGTATTTAATATTTCATCGTTTATTCGATAGCAGGAATTGAACTATTTCAACTATTAAACAGGTCCATAGATCTTTATACGACATATATTTTGCATGTAAAATTGGACGACTGCATTGTGTTGATCTTCCGAGTTGAAAGAGCCCTGAAAATCAGCACATAAAAACCTGTTTTTTTTTTACCTGCGTTTAAACACTGATCACTGTCTCCTCAGCCACTAAGCAAGACGCAGCCACAAATCGAAATTGGTAACCACCTTAAAGAAATTATGTCAAACAGAGGAGATGGTCTGAGATTAAAAATGGTAAAACTTACTTTCGCAAGAATTCACCCCGTCGCCGTAGAATCCGTTATGACAGACACATTTGTTATGCTTGCAACTGGCCCGTGGGTGACATTTGGGGCAGCTCTCCGACTCAAACATCTGCACATCGGGAAAATGGCTCACTGGAAAAAATGGACAGGACAAAAAGAAAAAATATGTTTGAGAGAAACTCTTCAAACGTGGATAGAAATAGATAAAGTAATGGGCAGAGAGAAACGTATGTAGTAAGAAGGAAATAGATAGATAGATAGATAGATAGATAGATAGATAGATAGATAGATAAACTTCGATTACTGCAATTTTAGGATAGAAAATTCAGTTTATTACGCAGCAGAAATTAATGAGAACCTTCAGTAGGAAAAACAAAGCTAAAGACGTACAAAAGACATTTCGACTAGAAATAAAATTTATTTCATATTAATATAGATTAAGCATATCATATATAACAATATAACTTTTTTAAAAATTTAATAAAATTTAATAAGGGATCCAGTTTTCTATGAAAATTAATTGTAAATTTATTTCCCCACGGAAGCAGAAATAAAATACGTTTATTTCTTAAAATTAAGAAAAAAATTAATATCGTCCGCTATGACATCTCAGTCAGCAACGACTACACACCATTCAAAGGAATATTCACACAGCTCAAAGAAATATTCATAGCCGTGGAAAAAGTAAGTGTGATCATCTATCTGTATGTCCATTTCTTTTTGGAACCACCGTAATCAGATTTCACGTATTAGCACTAACACACACATACGTACACACTTTATATTGACCAAGGCATATGACTTTAAGATCTACCCTTTAACAAATGGAAAATTTTGTCGAACATTTGAACTTTGGATGTTTACGACCAGAACAAACACAATGTTTAGCATGTAAGTACAAATGTTAATGTGTACATAAATATAGCATTATTAAAATCTGGTTTTCAGTTTTGGCTATGTAGAAAAAATCCTTTCTTCGCAATATATTGTATTTGTGGGCACGACACTCAGATTTTAATTTCTCACTTTTAATCCGGCTAGACTGACCCTAAAGACGATATAAGTGATTAGCTGAGCTAACACTACGACTTTAACAAGGCTTTCGATGGTCTAGATTGGTAGACATTAATTTCGTCGTTTGAAACCACCTTTTAGCCATATCTATTTTACCGATTCGGCCACAGATGGCTCCACGGCAAGGCAAAGCTTAAGTATCATCTCTAGGAAAGGCACATGGTTCATTTCAAAGTCTATATCTGATAACGCTTTCGCACCCAAAACATAGACAAAACAATTAGAGGCAATTAATGGATTTTAAAAAGTCCAGTATTATTTCTTATTATTATAGACACCCTTGTTTTTTTACAAAACAATGAGATTAACATCTACCGACATAGAACATTGGAAGTCTTACTAAAGAAAATGTACATTTCGGCAAAAATTGAACATGCATTCCCTTTACCCAAGGAAGCCATCTTTTAGCCAAGCGTGCCTTACCGTTTCGGCTACAGATGTCTCTACGGAAAGGCCAGGTTCAAATAGCCTTTTTTTTTCTTTTAGAAATCCACACCTCTCGTTGGCACTTTTCGTAGTCTGTACCAATTTTGTTTACGTACTCGAAACTTAAACAAAATAATTTAGGCAATGAATGCATTTTTTTTTTATCCGAGATTATTTCTTATTCCTTGAATGTACAATTTATTTTTTTTTTTTTTTGTGTGCGTGTATTTTTAGTTAAAAATGCTTCATGATTGCATGTAATAAAAGGGAGAAGTCACTCCGTATTATTACACACCATACCACAGAGAATGAAGTTGGACGCGTGTTGGCAGTCTCTAATTCAACGTTTTTGGTGGGATGTCCATATTTCCGGTAGGAACAGTTTTTGTTGGATGCTGGGAGAACTTTTTATTATTTTTATTTTTTACTTAATTTATTTTAAAGAAGGTTTAAATATTGTTGTTTTATTTTATTTTATTTATAATTTTCATTATTATTATTTTATTTTTTATTTTTATTTATAATAATAATATCCCTACATACTACAAACGCTATTTCAGTTGGGAAACGTATTTGAAAGACATCCCAGATTTTTTCAATTAAATTTTCTTACATTTTTTTTAAATAGGATTTTCGTTGCTCTAGACCGGTAGACTTTAATTTCGTTGTTAAAAAAAACGGTGACGTTTACTCAAACACTCGTGCCCACTAATATAACGCTGTAGTTGTAAATAAACCTGAGTTGGGCTCAAATATCCTTTTTTAAGAAATGCACAACTCTCGTTGGCACATTCCGTAGTCTGTATCAATTTTGTTTACGTACCCGAAACTTGCATTAATTTAGGCAATGAATACATTTTTTATCCGTACCTGTTCTTACTTTTTTATTACTACATAAACGTTATTTCAATGGGGAGATGCATTCGAAAGCCATCCTTGATTTTTTCAGTCAATTTTTCTTACATTTTTTAAATGAAGGTTTTTGATGTTCAATACCGGTAGACGTTAAGTATATAAATAAAACAAAGTTCTGCTCAAATTATCAGAATTCTTAGATGAAGTAGTTTCATTATGAAGTTTTGATTGTTTTCTTTTTTTCTTCTTTCATTTCATTACTATCTTTTTATCACAGCATTTAATTAACAGCCACTACGGAAATCAGCGTGAACCTGGAAATAAAGAAGCCACCACCGTTGAAATGAGGACTTGAATCCCATATCCCGAGAGCACGTCCAATATGAACGTCGCCTTTGTTATGATTTATCTACGGAGCCTTGACGGGTAATTAGAATTAAACCTATAGTCAAAATAATTACTCGTTTTACTTTACCGGTCGTAGAATTTAACGAATTGAGCATTGGGATAAAAAGAAGAACAGGACAACAAAAAGGCTATTAAAATACATCAATTAAGTTTCATCCTCATAGAGAGCTATATAAATGTAGCCTTGTGTCAGAATTGAATGGGCACGAAAAAACATAACTAGAACTCCATAACCAAATTTAATGGATCGTACCTGTGCTTACTTTACAATGTGTATATCCGTTTCCGGTGTAGCCTTCTTGACATGTACAGCCGAATGTTTGGTTTGCAAAAACTGTGCAACGAGCATTCTGAACGCACACGATTTTGCCTTCACTGACAAGACTAGCTTTCCCATTTAGCATCTGACATTCAAATTTCTCGCAGATGGTTGACACAAATTTCGAACCAAGCTGCACAAAAAGAAAAGAAAAACTGTTTAACAATATTAAGCTTAAAATGTAAAATTAACGTTACCTAAATTTGCAGACCTAATTTTTGTTTTTTGCTCTTACGAGACATTACATCTTTTTAACTCCTTTCTTTACGATTTTACAACAACCCCATTCAGTAATCCTCAACCCTGGGTGGCTCTTGGACCTTGTAATAGGTGAATAATAAAAAAATAAAAATAAAAAGGCAATGCCGCTACTGATTTTCTGCGGTTAGGTTATCACTATGTGAAAATCCAATTCACAGTTAAAGATGATCCTAAGAAATCTAGAAAGATTTATTATTGGCGGCCATAATCTCAACATAAGATACACTGTACTGATGGCAGACTCAGAAGGAAAACTAGAAACACTGATAGAGAACTTAGTCCTTTCTTCTAGCTTTCTTTTGCTATCTATTAACTATAGTGTTCGCAGAAGTGGGGCTTCAGATAGACCTTTTCTAAACTAAAACTAGGATCTGAAATTGGAATGAAAATGGGACATACTCTGAATCTATCATAAACATGCAGAATGTGAGGTTCGTCATAACCACGTAAAACCCTTGGGGTTGTAGGGGAGACCACATCTACTGCAGCAATGGCGTGTCCTTGGTTGGAGCCCATTCCGTCTTCAGGATGGTTTGAATTCAGTTTTCTTTCTCCTAGACTGGTTTCCAACCAAGGCTACAGGGCCCAATCTATTCTGCTATTTATTTATAGTGGGAGAAGATAGATGCATACCAAAGTTATTAGCACATAAGTGAATAGAAGTAACGCGACTGGAATTTAAATTCGGCTCCGCAGTTTCTCAATCTGAGCCGCAAGCCATCACTCCGCTGTGCCGCCTAATTAGTAAATTCTGAATACTCTAAATACTTCGGAGTATAGATCAGTTATAATAGTTTTAGGTTAGGGGGAAAAGAAATTGACATTGTAACATCACTGCTGTAGTAGAGTTGGTGCCCCTACGACCCTAAGGGGTTACAGGATTCGTGATGATAATGATGATGATGATGATGATGATGACTCTCACATTTTGAATTTAGGTTAGATATTTAACGCAACGTTAAATCTATTATTAATTATAAAAGTCGGTTATTAATTGTAGGTTCTTAAAAAATCCTGTATTAATCATAGGTTTCTACTTATAATGTATTAATACCAACCGTCCTAATTTTGTTAATTTAACATAAATATTTGAAATGTTAAGAGAAAACCACTTGATAAAATCTATTGAGTAGTAAAAATGTTTACTAAGTTTTGCTTACTGGCACATAGTCTCCAGTTTTGTTATTAAAACATCCACATTGATTGGACTTGACGCATTTGTGTCCACTGATGACATATCCAGTCGTGCAGATGCAGCCCTCGGAATTAATTCGATCACATGACTGAGGATTTGGTTCCGCACACGACGGTAGGCATCCTGGGGTCCAACTCTTATATTCCATACCTTCTGCGCAATTAGCACCTATCAAGGGACCAAAAACATAATCAATACATAAAGTTAATCAAATTTTGAAAAGAAACTCACCGGTCTTTACAAGTCGTATGGAAATTATAAAATTATAAGTTCTCGTAAAAGAAACTGTATTTTTTTTTAATATTGACAATGCTACATTTATGAATATACAGCAAACGCACATACAACCATACAAACACATATATGAAAGCTTCGAGTGTGTTGGTAAGGAAATACACTGCTTCTACGGTCCAATGTTAATTTATTACTCACGGATCTCTTAATGATTCTACTGCGATTGAAAGTAACTGTATCATTTAATGATAATAAAGCTTGCCATAATCTTTCGATTAAATTGGAATATTCTTTCGACAACTTGTAATGGTTGGCAACCATTAATCTGGGAATCGCTAATCTCGTTAAATCAGTAGTCCGGCACTAATTTTTCCGAGAGCATTTTCAAACTTCCCAGTTCCGCGCACGGACCTGCCATTATTGTTTGATGGCGTTTGCTGCAGCATCGGCTATTTTTGGTAATACTTTTTAATACTTTTAAGGCAGTTCTGCTTGTCTTGCGAAGTTTTATATATAATCTGCTAACATTTAATCGCAGTCATGGTTCCTTCTGGTGATGCGAAACGAAAACTCAATACGTCGTTCATAACAGATAACTTAAAATTTTTGAAGAAAAAACTTGATAGCAGTGTGTCTGTGAAACTTGTATCCTTCAGATAGCATTGGCTCAACTAGAGTTTCTGACATAAAGAAATAGAGAGAAAAATTAACGTAACTATCAGTAATTCAACAAAATCATTTATACTGTCAATATGTGAATAGTGTTTTTTTATCCAATGCCAGTATAAAATCTGAGACACTTTTTAGCCTTTTATCGTCATATTTTATATACCTGTCTTTTGTGAAGTTTTATATATACCTGCTGACATTTTTACTTCAACTATCAGTAATACGACAACATCATTTATACCGTCAATGTGTGAATAATGTTTTTTATCTAATGTTAGTTTAAAATTTCAGACGCTTTTTAGTCTTTTATCGTCATATTTTATATACGAAGTGCGTTCAAAAGTATCCAACCTTTGCGTATAAAACTATCAATTTTGTACATTTCATAAATTTTATTTAATCACCTTTAAAACACTCCCCTTGAATGTTCACACGCTTCTCCCAGTGGTTCTGCTACAACTGGTTACATATCTGGAACGCCATCTTTGGAATGCTATGGAGCTCTGCCTTGGCTTTTCTTATAATTTCCTCTTGCGCCTCAAATCCCTTTCACCGTAGCTTTCAGATTGGGGAAGAGCCAGAAGTCACACGGTGCCAAGTCGAGAGAGTAGGGACCTGTTGAACATGTAATGTTTTGTTCTTGACCAGGAAAGTTTTTATTGTATTGTACGTGGGCGGAATGAGCGGGAAAATTTTACCGACACTCGCCACATGTACAAATCTTCCGGTAAAATGGAATGCACTGATCCTGTGCTTATTTCCACTTCATAAGCAATTTCCTGGATTGTCACACGACAGTCTTTCATGACTATTCGCTGAACATTCTCAAAAAGTTCCTCGCTTCAGCTTCTGCCTGAACGTATCCCGCTCTTCACTGAGGTGCAGCCATATTTGAAGTGTACCACACTTTGATCTGAAATTTGTCCATGGTATCATCGTCAAAGATCTGCTGAATCTTCTGGGTGTTTTGAACTTGAGTATCACCAATCTTTTTGTAAAACTTGATCCAATATCTCTGTTCGATGCGTTCGCTCATCTTGAATGAAAAGAAAATCTAACGAGCGCACACTACATGTCTGTACTCTAGGCGTAACTACCGGAAACTTACGCGGCCTACTAGCGCGAAAGTTTTCACGCATGCGCAGGGAGGATAGCGTCACATTCCACCCAAAGGATTTTGCTCACGCAGCACTAGATTTGGCGTGAAAAAAGTCGAATACTTTTTAAAGGCACCTCGTATGTGTTTTATTATCTATTTTGCGCGTTTTTTTTTTTTTGCTTTCATTACAAACTGAAACTTGTCCAAATCATGCTTGAAATAAGAACAGTTTTTAAGTAACAAGAGACGTGCTTTAAATAGAGCACATATGTTCGGCCATATTGTTGCTTTTCAACACACATTGATAAAGAGTTCCGAATAACCAGTGGAAATGCCAAATGCAGTCTTTTGATATTTGTGTCAACCCGGAAGTGATTGGTTAAACTGGTTTATTGCATGTGGAATGTATAATCTATTCATGGGCAAATATCTTATTTTTTAATGTAAAATAGTGGCGTTGATTATGTAAGCAGTACATATTTTTTATTATAAGTTTCTAATTTTAAATTTATCTTCATAAATAGCACTTTTCTTATTAGTTAATTCATTAAGAGAAGAAAAAAGACCAAGTTATCTAATTAAAGATTTTATCTAATTTTAAATATTATCAATTTGAAAAAATATCTTAAGTGAGATCATGTGACCCTGCATATGTGGTAGATAGGCGCCTACCATTGGTCACAATGGCTTTTTATTGAAGTATTAAATAACACTATGAGTATTCGATTAGAGTATCTACTGCTGAATTGATGTAGACAATGGAACATACGATAAAAGCGTAACGCGCATATACCGGGACGAATGAGGAAAAGAAGAAAACTCGGTAATAATGCCAGCACTTGACAAAGTCTCATAGATTGTTATTTTAATGACAACACATACTGTCTAAGCCTGACTTATTTTCAGCAATAACTGCTCTGCATCTCTCACTCTCTTTCTCTCTATTCTTCACACCCACTCTCTTTGTGTGATTCTCTCTCAGTTTCATTCTACCACTCTCTCACTCTCTCTTACTCTCTATCACGTTCTCAGTTTCACACACACACACTCTCTCTCTCTAACACACACACACACACTCTCTCTCAATTTCATTATCTCTCATTATTATCACTCTTTCTTTCTCACACTAATTCTCTTTCAGTTTCACTCTCACACGCTTTTTCACATTTTCCCTCAATTTCTCTCTCTCGCACCCATTTCCTCAATTTCTCACTCACTCTCACTCTATCTCATTCTTTCACGTTCTCTCACTCCTTCTTTTTCTTAATTTCATACTCTCACTATCTCTCACCTCACTCACCCTCTCCCCCCTCTCTCTCTCTCACATGCACATTCACTATCTCAATCTCTTTCACTTTCTCTCTCACACACAGTCACCCTCTTTCACTTTCTCTCTCTCTCACTCTCACACACACTCTCAATTTCATTCCCTCTTTATTTTCTTTTTACTTACGGCAAAATTTTTCGTTTCTCCATTGAGCAGGAAAACCCAGCGTTGCGCATGTGTCTGCGAAAGCGTTGAGCTTCCGACAAACAATGTCCTGGTTGCTACCATGCACGCAGAGATCACGCCAGCAGGCATTGAAGAACTGATCAGCCAAGTCCGGAGCGTTCTCTATACATTGTCTGAAAGGGCCACGCGCATCTTCCATTAGGCCGCATTTGTCATGCGTTTTGACAGAAGATCGGCTCATCTTGCTACACATGATCGGCTCGGGACCGCGACAACTGTAAAGGTCGTAACATATCAAGAGATATAGGCACACATGTTTTTTTTTTCAGAGATAGAGACAAATAGAGTGACAATAAAAGAGGTAGATAAGTTAATGAATTAGCAATGTGGCACGCGCGTTTTAGGGCCGGTCGAGTGTGGCTTCAAGAAAATAAGCGTTAAGAGCGACCAATCATCAGCGAAACGATATCTTCTTCTATGTGCCATGTCCCGTTAGGATATTTGGCGACCATGGCTTTCCACAATTACTTATCCTTTGTGACTCTTTGTAAATTCCGTCTTTTTACTCTCATAAACCTTTTTTTTACCTACTACTTACACAAGTTCGTTTAGTAGGTTATGAGCTGTTTTCCTTTCTTCCGCTTGCCTTCAATATCTCCTGCGTGTGTCAAATTTTCCAAACCCTCTTTCCTTCTTATGTGCACTAGAAATTTCAACTGTCGCTTTCTGATGTTAAGTATAAGTATCCTTTTTCTTTCTATTTTCTCTAAAACTTTGCTGTTATTCACACGTTCAGCCTATGGTATTCTCAGCGTCCTTCTGGCGAGCCATATTTATATTGCTTCAAGTCTCTTCTTCATCTATGAGGAAATTGTTCAGCATTCACTACAAAATAGGAGGATTGACATTGCGTAACAATTCAGTATTCTTTTCTTTGTTTCTAATGAAATTTTTACGTTTCTTAATACTTTGCTTAACTTTTGGAAGGCAACTTTCGTTATCCCAATACACCATGGAATTTCGGTGTCACACTTTACGTCGTCTGTTAAAGCGTTTCCCAGATATTTATATTTTTGTACTTGTTTAATTTTGATATTTCCAATCCACAATGTGGAATAAAATTCAGTAACTCTACGATAAGGATCTTTGTTGAACAATTTATCACCTGTCTCTCATAATGGGAAGCAGTTAAAGAGTCTGGCACGAGATCTTAAGCAGAGTTTTCAATTATATATATATATATATATATATATATATATATATATATATATATATATATATAGGACTCTCCCGTCGAATTCGACGTATGAGGGTCAAGTTGATCATAGGAAACCGACAGCCCGACACCAGCATATGAGATTTGATTATAGTGGGTAAGGTTTTGTGCAGGACCATCCACAATTTTTGAAGGACCGAATACAGAGACTTGGTGCCACAAGGCCCCCAAACGACCATCCGCAGGTTTTGAATTCAGAGTTGTCCTTCTTCTAGACCAGTTGCCATCCAAGGATATAGAACCCAGTCTGTCCTGCTATATATATATATGCACTATTACATTAGAACATGCAAGTTACTACTACAAAATTGTACATTTTGTTTCGACGTTGAATAAACGAAGTCTCATCAGGTAGTTAACTACCTGATGAAACATTGTTTATTTTTACCTAACTTTTGTAGTAGTAACTTACATGTTCTAATGTAAGAGTGTATAATATAAATATTTATTGCTCTACTCTTGTATTGAGCCCTGTTTTAAATTAATGTTTTGAACGTTGTAATTTTATTCTTTGTTCTTTTTACACACACACACACACACACATATATATATATATATATATATATATATATATATATATATATATATATATATATATATATATGGAAATAAACGACAGGTCAGAAAACTGTGCTGTGACATGTCTCTTTCCGAAAAGAACGTCTTTGGATGATATAAAATTTTATTGATGAAATCACTCCAATATCTACCCCCAAGTAAAAATAAAACAAATGTCGACTACAATTTCCTAATACAAGATATTCATGTGTTTGAATAAACAAAAAGAAAAACAATAGTTGCCTGAATAAGGTCGGAGGATACAGCTTTTACAACAAAAATATGAGAACAGTACTTCGAATAACTCTTGAATGAGAACACATTAGTGAAAGACGACCGAACTTAATGTTACGCGGCTTGTGCCACATATTAACATTGGTATTTCTCTTTCAGATATATCGAGAATATTAACGTGTTATTTTCCAAGATGTGCCTTTTTTTATTTCTTTTATCAGAATACAAAAAGTAAAAAAGGCACGCTGTGCCCGTGGAACTAGTCGCCAACCACAGAGACCCGGAGACAGCGAGCTTCCTAAAAGTGATTAGATTAACAGGCGGAAAGATAAGTAGCTCAAAACTGACCCCAAAGAGATACCCACAGTGATTTACGTCACCTGTGATGGTCCTGGATGTTGTGATCAATGAGGGCACTTCAACAGACAAAGTGGCGAGGCGGTAGATCACTCCCACCGAAATATGGCCTCCTGATTTGAATCCCCAGCCTACCGCACCTGAGCATCACGAGAAGGTGACCAAGCAACTATCCCATAATACCAAGAACTCACTAAAGAATTAGAATGGCGAAAGAGGCTCAGCAGTATGTTAATACATAAGAATATTTCTTTAGAACCAAAGGAAAGATTGCTTAACTGAAATGTCATATCGATTCTCTGGCAATGAGTGCTGCACAATTTCTTCACAGATGAAGAACAAGAGAGAAGTGATTCTATAGAAGTTTTTTATTTATTTATTCGTTTTCTACAGCCTATCGACCTGTCGATGGTTATTTAAAGTCATAAAATATTTTTAGATTGTAAGAATCTTTATTTTCTTTGAAGATAATAATGATTTCATACCTTTCCCAATGGCATTTGTTCGGAAGCGAATATAACGAAGCCAACGAGAATTAGACCTCCGTTCTCCGATTAACAATTCCGTGTCATTATCCATTAGACCACCCGCACATCCAAGCTTACAGCACCTGGTATTCCCAAGCGATCAACCAATCTAGATACTGACCAGGCTGGACGTTGCTTAATTTCGGTACGAGTACCGGTGTTTCAACGTGATATAGCCGTAAGCCAAATTCTACAGATGGATACTGAGAATAACATGGACGGAAGATGCGAGAAATGAGGAAGTTTTGAAGAAAATTGGAACTAGAAATACACTCATATTTAAAATTTAAAAAAAATCACAATTGAAATTTCTGCGACTCGGTATGAGGAAGCAGGGCTTGGAAAACTTAATACTTACAGGATGTGCTAAGGGAAGGATTGGTTGATTCGTTTTTTACGGCTTATCAACTTTTGCAGGTTATTTAAAGTCAGAAAATATTTTCAAATTAAAAGAATTTTTTTTTAAAGATAATAATGTTTTATTGATACAAACCCTACGAATTAACCCATAGCTGGTGGGGGAGAAAAGGTGGATTCATAGCTTTCCCAAGGGTATTTGGACGGAAGGCAAAAATAACGAACCCGACTGGAATTGGAACTCGGCTCTCTGATTTCCAATTACAAGCCATTATCCATTACACCACTAGCACATCCAAGCTTACACCTGGTATTCCCAAGCGGCCACCCATCTAGGTACTGCCCATGCTCGACGTTGCTTAACTTCGGTGATCGTACAATCTCTGAAGAAGGAGCGGTAGAGGGAAACAACGAACAGTTTACCTAATAAGTTTGTGTGAATAGATGGACAAGACGGATGATAAAGGGTAAGTAATTGCTTAGAGCTACAAGGGATAGAAAGTTAGGGAGAACCATGATCATCCATGTCCTGAAGGGACACGGCCCATAACGGATGAGTATGAACCCCAACAGAAATTCGAGTTCACTTATTTTCCAAGTCGCTTCTTTTCATGTACATATTGATTGATTGAATTCCTTTCAAGGTTTCCTATGGAGGTACCAGCTTTGTTCTGCTACTGTCACGGGGAAGTGGTTTGTCCAAATGTTCACTTATCCGCTCATCGTTATGTACCAGTGACGATATATTTGAAGGTATCTGACTAAGGGAAAATTAATGGATTTTATTCTAAGTCTGATATTATTAGACTTACTACTTACTTAATATTCTAATAGTTTCAGAATAAAATCCATTACGAGGGCGGGATGACTCTGAAGGAATTTGGTTAGAGCTGTGGAATCTTGCATGAATTAATTCCAACTCTTTTTATTAATAACTGTATTTTTTTCAGGTAAACTGACATCTGAATGTTCAAAGAGGACTTCAAATGTAACGTAGCGACTTCTCTTGAAAATGGACAAAATTTGGCATCGCGCGGTGTTATCAAGTACCTTCAGAAAACGGGTTTTGTACCCAAGGACATTCATGTTGACATGGTTACTACATTAGGGGATGACGCTCCGGCTTTATCAACAGTGCAAAAGAGGGCAGCTGAATTTAGGTGGGGAGGGAGATTCTTGAAGATGATCCAAAGTCTGGGCGTCCTGCTCATGCCACTATCGAGAAAAGCATTGATCGTGTTCACTACATGGTGATAGATAACAGGCGAATCAATATAATCAAATAGTCAATGCTATTAGCACATACAGTCAGAGAATTGTGAATAATCTGCACAAGGAACTTGGCGTAATAAAGGTTTCAACGCGGTGGGTGCCACGTCTTCTGACACCTGCTCAAAAGCGCACCAGGCTGATCATATCACGGGGAAATTTGACATTGTTTGAGGCAGATTCAGCTGGTTTCCTTGAACGATTCCTAACCCAAGATGAGTGTTAAGTTGATCACTTTGAGTTGGAGACGAAGTTAATTCATGCAGTGGAAACAACCACTCACCAAAGAATACTCCATTGTCGTTTTATCTGCAGAGAAGGTGATGGCCTTATTTCTTTGGGGCGTAAAAGGCATTATGTCTATTGACTATCTTCAAAAGGCCCACGCCATTAATGGGGAGTACTATGCCAAGTTGTTGAGGCAGTTACGAAAGGCTATCAAAACGAAACGCCCAAGGAAACTGACAAAACGGGTCTCGTTTCATCAGGTCAATGCTCCAGCGCATAAGTTCTTGGTTTCGATGGCTGCTGTGTGTGATTATGGCTTTGAACTGGTTGATCACCCTCCCTATTCTCCTGATTCGACTATCATCTGTTCACCAGCATGAAAAAAAAAAACAATTGGCTGGGAACAAGTGTCATATCTGCTGTTGTGACATTTTTTTACCAACAGGATGAATAGTCTTCTTTGAACTGTCAGATATCAGTTTATCTGGAAATAAACACTGCATTGATTAATAAGGTTTGAAATTAATCCATGGAAGGTGTCACAGTTCTAGCATGACTCCTTCAGAGTCAGCCTTCGAACTTTTCAGCCCGTCTTCGTAATTCTTTAAACATTGCTGTTTACGTTTTGTAGAATAATTATATGATGGAAAAAATGCAAGAGTGGACAGAAAAGTTCATAGGCTGACTATGAATGAGTGATGCTAGAACTATGAAATCTTGCATGCATTAATTTCAACTTATTATTAATATTAAGAAGAATTGAAATTAATGCATGCAAGGTTTCACAGTTCTGGCATCATTCCTTCATAGTCAAATTATGAACTTTTCAGCACATCCTCGTAGTTACAAACTTGTATAATTTTTCAAAATGGCGATTGCTCTACTTACTGTTCGTCGTCACGGTTCTCCCACGCAATGTAGCTGTCTCCGACAAGATTATCTTTTTGAGGATAGTTGGCGACATTTGTGCCATTGAGCAATCGGAAGTCATCATGGGCGTGGTTACAGTCTCCGCAGAGTCCGATCACCTTTTGCGAATAGAACCTTGGGATCACCACCTTGACACTGTGGAACGAACTGAAAAGAACCTGAATGCCGCATTTGGTTGAAATGCCGTTCGAGTTTCCCGAACGAAAAATGTGTACATTACCATTCAGGTGAATTGATGGCGGATACTTGAATTGGTCATCGACCTGTGATATAATGCAACAAGATTATTTTTGTTTTGTTCTAAGATATTTTGTAATACAAGGAAATTAATATAGAAAAAATAACATGTATGAAAGATTTTCGTAACATATTTCTTTAATAAACCGAAAGAAAAAATTTGTTAGGTAAAAATAAAAGATATTAACTTTCCTGAATAACGTATTTACCGTTTTCTTCAATTATCTTCTGCTACTTTTCAGGTAATTTCATAATTTCTGTTCTTTCAGAACTTTTCTCTTTCTGAGTAAAGAACTACGCTAAATGGTTTTATATTATCTCAGATAATATTTTTAAAAGATATTTCAGTAAAGACCAAAATAAATGTCTTGGTTGGTCAGTTTATTAATTTAGCGATATAATGTCGAATATAAAAATTTATAGAACAAAAATCACAATTAGGTAGAAATAGGTCTGGTTTACACTTGAGACAAAGATAAATATTGGGCGTTAGGGATAAAATTAGTTCCTCTATGCAACATTAGCCTCTTTTTTGATGCCGCATTCGAACGAAAGCTGACCAAGCGTAGCAGAGGTCGTATTCATTCGGGTGTACAAATAGTAGGAGTTTCATTGTGAATTTGGATTCAAAAGCAGACCCCGGTCGTATGTATACACACTTTTAGGATAGTGCGATCCAGTTTGAATTCAGAATTTCCTCCTCCTAAACTGGTTGACACTTAAGGCTATAGAATGCAGACTGCGATGCTAATTTATGCATAAAAAAGATGGATTCATGCATTTCCAAGGATATTATCACGTAAGTGAATGTAATGAATTTGAATGGAATTCGATGTCGGCTCATCGATTTACCAATCCGAGCCGCTAACCATTACTCTTATGTGCCTCCATAAATTTAACCTATTGGAAACTTAGTAAGTTTCAAGACGCAAGGTGATTTTTTTAGTTATTAACCATATAAGACACACTTTTAAAAAACAGAATAAAAAAAGGCACAGGGTCTTAAAAATATATGCCGTAAAATATAGTCATTCTGGTTTTATTATGCATTGATCTCTCCAGGCTAGTGTTCTCACTGTGAATTTCCTCTGGTAGCGTTGGCTAATAAGGTTGTTAATCAACGTTCTACAGCAATGGAGATATTAGTCAGAAGTTGTCTCACTCAATTCACCCTCTCCGTCTCGGACAAGTAATCGGCTAATTTTCCCTGCTGGAGATAATAAAAGTATACAATGCAGACCATATGCGTTGTGCTATGTGTTGTTCTTTCTCTTGGTGAAAAGACGGTCTATTTGATTTCCAATAAGCAACGGAGACCGTACAACTTTGGTGTATTGATCTGATGACAGCTGTGGAAACTAATGCAGCGACAAAACCGAGATGGCTCACTACGGAACAACGACCGTAGTCGTCAAACATTACTTCGAGCCACAAATGATGCCTTGACAATGTCACATTTAGCGAGTTGATTCCATTCATAAAGCTTGAATCGGCTTGTAGTATAGTTTTCAGACACTTTCTAACGGTACTGCACGTTGGTGTCACCTTCCGAGGCCAATATTATCAGGAAGCCAACTTCTTGACAAATTGACTTTGATCCGATTCGAATTCTGATCTCATGGAAGGCTAATGTTCTAACCAGTCTGCCACTTGGATTTTTATTTATTAATACGATTGATTTTATTACTTAAATGTTATTTTTAGTGGATACCTATATTTGAGTAGACGCTCCGTTTATTTATGAAATAGTATATAAAATTTATTTTCCTCTACCGGCCTAAATATTCGAGACATATTTTTCTAAGTAAGTTTTCTAAAAGGCGGATAGTCGAAAATAAATAGATATACTGTTTAATAAATAAACGGGGCATCTACTACCCCCCCATTCTTTATCAAGAGAAACCATCGTTAGATCCACTCGGACAGGAAAGGTTTCGCCGATCAAGCAAAGCCGAATAGTGGCTTTAAGCGCAAAGATGGTTTTGCTAAGTCTCGACGTTGCTTAACTTCGGCGATCGCAGTTGACTGAATAGTTAGCGTTATTGTCCTTATAAAATCATTTTCTTAAAACAATTTTTTTTCTTCGGGAAATTACTTCTTACGGCCAACATCACGTTCAAACGTCGAGCCTAGTCAGTACTTAGACGGGTGGCCGTTTGGGAATACCAGGTGGTGAAAGTTTGGATGTGCGGGTGGTGTAATGTATAATGGCACGTAATGCAGGGTTTCAATTCTCATTGGTTTCGTTATATTCCCTTACGCGCAAAATACCCATGGGAAAGGTATGAATACACTTATTCTCCCCCAGCTATAGGTTAATTAGTAAGGCTTGTATCACTAAGCCATTATTATCTCAAAAATAAATTCTTACAATCTAAAACTGTTTTCTGGCTTTAAATAACCTGCAAAGGGTTGATAAGCCACAGAAAAGGACTTAATTCTCAAGTCCTCTAACCGTTATAGTTCTTTCTAATATCGACTGGAGATTGATAAGGAGGGTTGATAAGCCATAGAAAATGACTCAATCAATCAATTCTTTTATAGTTTTTTTTTAATATCCACTTGAGATTCCTTTCAAACCTTCTGTTTTTGGTAATGCAAAAAGTTAACACCTTGATTATGTCATTATTTTCTCTTCTCGTTACATGTGCTATGAATCCAATCAATTGGTTATCAGAAAGTAAAATCTAAATCAGGAAAGTACGCAAAACTCAACAGTATAGAAGTGCTGTTTAGACGTGGCACAAGACCGAAAGTATGGAGCACCCTGTGAGGATCGAACTCACTACTCAGTCGTAATTGATCTAGCGAAAGAAAATTGCTAACCTTTACACCACGTCGAAGGAAATGATTTTCTAAGCGTACCTTAGATGTGGCATGCGGCGAAATGTGTGGAGCACCCAGTGAGGACCAAACTCGCTACTCTGTCGTGACTGATCTAGCGACACAAGCTTACTAAACCTTACACCACGTCGAAGTGCCCAGCAAACTGTACAGTATAACTACAAGTATGTAAACTTCAAAGGGACCATGTCGAAAAAGGAAAATTCAGATAGATTTATCATTGGCTGGAAGCTGTTCATTGTTTGCAAATAAATATTTAAATTATTGTGAATGATTTCGTTTATATGCAGGACAAAATATTAAGGGAACGACAAAACAAAGCATCATTATTAAAACAGGTTATTAAACTGTACGTGGTAATTCATACGTAAGTCTCGTTCTTCGAGATGTAGTATCTATGGCCGTATATTTCCAAACGGATTTGTTCTGGAATCACGGTTCTTGGACGATCAGTGAGCAACTTGTTCTTGATATGTATCTGAAATTCGCAAGGATCTCCCAGGACAGTGGACTTAGACAGCAAATAGGAACACGGACCTTGGTAGTTAATCAACTGCCCGTCAAAAGTGATGTAGTGAGGGTCTCCACTGACCGTGCAGAAACATTTATCTAGAATTAAAAAAAATAAATAAAATGGAGAAAAAAAAATGTCTGTATAATCAGAAAGACGAAACAGTAGACATGATGATAAGCAAAACTGGCAAATGTCTATAAAGTTATATGACAAGTCATGTGATATTACCTTCGCAGGCTGTGACACCGTCACCAAGGAAACCGGGTTTGCAGACGCAGCGTCCGTCTAAACAGTCAGCTTTTGGATGACAGTTATTACACTTCTTGGGGGAGTCGCCTAACACTGAAAGAGACACTAGATCAATAACCACGAAAAACAAACGTATTTTCAAACGCTTCTTTACACGGCTAACGCAAACACGAACGCACGCACACAAACACATACACGCACGCACGCACACACACACACACATGCACAGGACGCATCATCATAGAGCAATGGTTAGTCTAGTTGACCATTACTACTGAGTAGTGAGTTCGATCCTCACTGGGTGCCTAATACAAAACTCGACATTAAATCTCTAAACAGTTGTTGGCATGTCGTATAATCAACCATAGTAACCATTGCTACTACGTAGTGAGTTCGATCCTCACTGGGTGCCCAATACAAAAATCGACATTAAATAACCAAACAAGTGTTGGCATGACGTGCAATCAACCAACCTCAAACTGATTAGCCAGTTTGTCCCTCACTAGGTGCCCCATACAAAAGTTGCCATTGAACAACTAAGGAAGGGCTCGCATATCGTATAATCATCGAAACTAACCGTTACTACTGATTAGTGAGTTCGATCTTCACTAGACGCTTCATACGAAACTCGATATTAAATAAATAAACAAGTCTTGATAGTAATCTTCTAAGCACAGCTTAGATGTGGCACAAGTAGGAGGCACCCAGTGAGGATCGAACTCACTACTCAGTCGTAAATGTTCTAACGAGACAAGCTTGGTAACCATTACACCACGTGGAGGTGCCCAAGTCTTGATATATCCTACAACCAACCAACCAACATACGCATATGTACACACAGATCTATCAATATATATAAGGAGTCAAATATTTGTCCCGAACAGAAAGAATATAATAATTGAACCACAAAGTAAATGTGTGTAAATTTTTTGAAGCAGTTTGAAATTTGTCATTTACCAAGTTTCGAATGCGAGGAATTAGAAAATTATCATCAGGGATCATTTACTTGAGAAATAAGAATAATGGGAGAAAAAAGTATACGTAACATTTAAGAAATCATTAATAAATGCATAACATTGTAATAATTATTTAAAATTACTGAGTTTACCATAATTAAATGGATGAAAGAATAATAGTCTGAGAATCTAAGATACAGTTTTATATCAATTGAAAACCGAAAGTACACGCGTGGCAATCTAGATTAACCAGAAAAGCTCGGATTTGAAACCAAACGGCTTGCTCCTAATATAGATATTTTACTTGTTAATTAGTATCATTATATAATGATAATAAATGGGTAATTAAAATAATCAAGACTTCACATTTAAAATACAACATCGCTTTCTTTGAGCAATGAAAAAGAAACAGCGACTTAATATGTAATGAAAACTGCTAAAAATACTTACTTATATCCTTTGGACCTTTGGCTGAAATAAGAAGATAAAATACAGATTTATACGCTGGCGTTAAAAAGCAACATTTCTCAAATCAATGTCATATTTCTAAAAAAATAATTAATAAATAAAATTAACCAAATTCCAGCTGATGACAAAGTAAATATATAATTTAAATATCTGGGAAGTATTTTAACGGAAGACCGAAAGTGCGACACCGTAATCCGAAGGCGCGTTGGGATAGAGAAAGATGTCTTCCAAAAGCTAAGTAAATATTAAGAAACAAGAAAATCTTATTAGAAACGAAGAAAAGAGTACTGAACTGTTATGTAATATCAAGCCTCATAATGTAACAATATCTCCTCTTTGACTTCTTTTCAAGGCAGAAAATAAAGATTGACATTGCATTTAAATATTTGAAGATCGAAGTTGACTGTAAAGTAGGAAGAGTGGACATTATCTGATACTTGGAGGCAATCTTCAGGCCATTTATCTATCTATCTATCTATCTATCTATCTATCTATCTATCTCTCTCTCTCTCTCTCTCTCTCTCTCTCTATATATATATATATATATATATATATATATATATATATATATAGATAGATAGATAGATAGATAATATTAGTGGTAAATATACATACATATGCAAAATATATAAATACCCATACATGTATATTTTTTTAATAAAAATTCCAAGAGGATAGGATCCAGGTATAACTCAATGTCCAGGACAGAGTAAGGATATAATAAAAAGGCTTAAAAACACTAATATTCCATGGTCATAATTTATTCCATTGGAATCGTAAATATGATCCAATTCATCAGACCTACAAATTCAAAAGATATATATATATATATATATATAAATATATATATATATATATATATATATATATATATATATATATCGAGATGTTTTGTTAAATACAATCAATTATATACAAGATAAAGTTATTATCTATTATATTTAAAGCATGGTACCAAAGGAAGGTTTCTTTCCTTTAAATCTAGAGATCTTTTGTCAATGTAAGTTTTTTTCTTTAATATTATATACAATGGTGATTAATAAAACTTGAATCAAAAGAAATATTGTTCTACAGAAGGATGCTGAGAATACCATGGACTGAACACATGCACAATGACGAAGTTTTATAGAAAATGGAAACAAAAACAATATTTATACTTAACACCCGAAATAGTTGAAATTTCCACATAATGAGGAATGGTTTGGTAAATTTCTTACTCACAAGGCATATTGAGCGCGCGAGGAACGGACGTAAACAGCACATAATCTGCTTAAGGATCTCGTGTAAATGTTTAGCAGAACATAGATTAGGAGAGATAGCAAAAAGACAAAATTTACCAAGAGCTACAAAGGACAGGAAATTATGGAGAGCCATGATCATCAACATCCTGAAGGGCCATGGGACAACTGTATATGTAGAGCGTAGCATGCTGACAATTTATTGCCTGTGGTCGTTATGGACTTTTCGTTGTAGTCAATGGATATAGTTAGAGTCCGGATAAAAGCCAGGATTTATAAATAATGGCTTTAGTAGAAGTTAGTTTCAATTCGGAAGATTCGTATAACACACTCTTCCTTTTTGTTGTCTCACCTTGTGTATGAATAAGAAAAGGTTAAGTGTTTTAACAAATGAGAGACAATGTGACGACGACAACCTAAGGCGTATTTCAATAGCAAAAAATTACATCCTAAAAGCTAAGCAAAGTATTAAGAAACAAGAAAATTTTATTAGAAACTAAAAAAAGAGTGTTGAAAAACTATATATATATATATATATATATATATATATATATATATATATATATATATATATATATCAAGTCATCCCATAAGTTCTGTCCGAATTTTAACTTTTTGTTAAAATGAACGAAATTTAAAGAGTATTTTATAATGTCTAATGGAGCTGAACATTATTTTTATGTTTAGATGCATTTAAACTGATCAAATTTTATTTCAGAGAACAATAAAATTAAATTTTGTTTGATTAAAGCCCTGCTAACATGGAAATACCCAAGAATCATTTGAGGCACATAATGCTTTATGAGTTCAAGAAAGAAAACTCTGCAGCTGAATCAGCTAGAAACATTCACTCAGTTTATGGAGAGGAATGTGTGAATGAAAGAACTTGCAGAAGATGGTTTGCAAAATTCAGAGGTGGAGATTTCACCCTTGAAGATGAAGATTGAACTGGACGTCCAGTTGAGTTTGATGAAAAGCTTCTTGAAGCAGCCCTTGAAGAAAATCCTGCTTTATCAGTTGAGGAATTGACAGTGGTTCTCAGTTCAAACCATACAACTGTTCATCGTCATGTTCAACAACTTCCACAGCCGAGAAGGGAACTTCATGTGCAAAAGGTTCTTCTTTCAATCTGGTGGGATCGCCAAGGAATAATCCACTTTGAATTCTTACCACCTAATGCAATAATTAATGCTCAAATATACTGTCAGCATTTAGAGCGTTTGAACCAAGCTTTGAGGAAAAAAGACATGCTCTAGTGAATCGAAAAGGGGTGATGTTTCATCAGGACAATGTGCGACCCCACACAGCAAGAATCACGTCACAAAAGATCGAAGAACTTGGTTGGGTGAAAATTCCTCATCCACCTTATTCTCCTGATCTTGCTCCTTCAGACTACCATTTGTTTCGTAGCTTACAGAATCATTTGGAAGAAACAGCTTTTATAACACAGGAAGAGGTTAAAACTGATATTTGTGAGTTCTTCGAATCAAAGCCAAAAGAATTTTACAGTAATGGAATTAGTAAGCTTGTTAATAGATGGAAGGAAGTAATAGATAATCAGGGAAAGTACATTGTTGATTGAATCTGTAATTAAATATAACATTTGGTCACTTGTTTTCTTTATTCAAAATTCGGACAGAACTTATGGGATGACCTGATATAATCTGTGTATTTAGACAGCAAATGTTCGTTATGGGTTAAGCCACTGTCTAGATGCATTTCTTAAAAACTTCAAACAGAAACCTGTAGCAGCAGGGAATGATTAAAACTGGATAATTTCGGATGCCTCAATCTTGGTGGGGTATGACTGTAGAATCCACAATGAAGGATGAACTTTTCCGCATTAAATTTAAAAGAAAGGCACAAGGCAGAAAGACTTTAGAAACAAGACCAACTGTAACAAAAGAAAAACTCTTCAGTGAGTACAGTCAAGCGTGATAAGCATCGGTTCAGGAATTTTGGAGACATAGTAATTGTGAGTTCAATCCCTAACCCGGGCTGTGTGCCCTTGGACTCGAAACATGGCGAATAATAACTGGGCAATACTAAAAATAAGAAGTAGACGAGGCATCCTTCGACATGGGCAGTGGAACGGGAACAGTCTAACCCCTTAGGTTAAATAATGGATTCAGTTCGGAATTCCCTGTATGTTACCTGGATCGACATACCCTCGATGAAAGTCCAAGTCCCCAACGGCTGAAAAATTATGGTAACAACATGAAGACAATAGTAAATAATTAAAAAAAATTATTTCATAATTTTCTAGTTTTATAAATTGTTTCATTGCATGTTCTTTCGGGTCCCCTTCTGTCATTGTTGTTCCATCTGCTGAAGGGGCGAGGGGGGGCCATTTGGTGGTCGGTGGGGGGATGTACTTCGTCACGGCTCTGGATATAATATAATCGATCATCTTTTTGAAAGTCTGGTTAATACAGTTAAGAATGAAACTTAAAACTTACAGCATCGAACGTACGGGTCACCCACGTACCCCGGATTGCACGCGCAATGGTAGAGCCCGGATGTTTTGGGGACGCAACTGGCCTGGCTTCCACATGCTTGATTCTTCATGTTAGTTAATCGAGCTTTACCGTTTATCCGCTCGCAGATTATTGCATGGCGACAGTCGGGTGACATTTTCTTGGCGCCAACCTGAAAACACAGATCTGTATATATTTATCAGGGTTAGGTCATAATATTCAGTTAGTTCGTAAGAAGGGATTTCCAGTAACATTAGTTATATTGCTAAATTTTGCTCTATGGTAGGGACTTTTTATTAATTGCGTTTATATCTTTCTGGAACTAGGTCACTCGATCGAACTAGTTATGGTCAGCAAGTTTAACCTGTTAATTAAGCATATATATATATATACATATATTTAAAAAATTAATCAGTTTGTCTGACGATCGCAAAAGCGTGAAACCCAGGGTCACAAACTCAGATCAACCAACCAAATATGTTAGCTCTATCTCTGATATTGAGCGCTCTAATAAATATGCATATATATATAAATAATATATGTATATATATATATATATATATATATATATATATTTATTTTATTTATACACACACACACACATATATATATATATATATATATATATATATATATATATATATATATATATATATATATATATATATATATATATATATATATATATATATATATATATATATATATATATTAATATATATATATATATATATATATATATATATATATATATATATATATATATATATATATATATTAATCATTTTATACCCAGCAAGATGGTAATACCACTAGTACGCATGATCGGTACAGGGAATGAAAGTGAAAAGAATGACGAGAATAGGGAGAATTGAGGGAAGAACAAAAATGGAAAAGGTTCAAGAAGATAGAAGATGGCGATTGACATTGCATTTAAATTTTTGAAGATTGTAATTATCGGGGAAGCAAGAAAACAGAAGGGAGTTCTACAGGTGAGAAGTGCTGGAAAAGAATCTGTTGGAGTAGAATTTCAATAATAAAACAGTGAGAACTAGATGTTAATCTAGTAGCACGCTTAAATTCATATAGTCAGAGCACCAGGGAAAAGCTCATCAGAGCAATTACCATGAAAATATTTGTAGAAAAGACAGAGGGAAGCCACGTCACGTCGTTCACAAAGTGACTGAAGTTGAGATGAATGGTCAGGATCGATTACATTACAAACCCTTCTTTGGATTTTCTCAAGAATCTCAACATGTACAGCAAAAGCAACATACCAGATATGGCAACAGTAATCAATGTACTGACAAATGGTAAATTTACAAATGTGAAAGATGGATTCTGACGAGGAAACCTTTCTTGCAGTGAAACAATATGGCGGTCAATACAGCATGCCGTGACAGCAAATATGGATAAGAAGATATGGACCACAAAAATAAGACGAAAAGAGATGAGCTTGCTAATTATGGCTTTACAAAAAGCGTTCAACACAGATGCATGTAAATTGAAATATATATGTCAACCAAAGACGAGTTCTCCCGAACGGAAGTGCAACGTTATCGAAGTACAGATTAATGAAAACAAAAATTAATCTTTCACACGTAAAACAATTATTTATTCAACTCTAGATTTCCTCGGTTACAATCGGCGAGTGACTGTGTGGCTTCAAGTTTCGTGTTTTTCCTTTCGCTTGTGCTTCTAGGCATCGTGGAGAGACGGTCGTCTGTCAGCAAGAAGGTGAGTGTCCTGGCGGAGAGATATCTCGTGGTCTCTGAGAGTGTCTGTCACTGAGTCGCTCCAGCGTCTTTTTGGTCTGCCTCTCGCTTTCCAGCCAGAATACCTGAGGTTGTATGCTCGCAGGGCTCCTTGGTTGATATATATACATTGCTTCTACCATATCTCTTATTGCCTCATCCCTGATCTTGTCTCGCCTGGTCTTTGTTCACTGCTTTCCTCAAGCATTTCACCTCACAAGTTATCCTCTCAAGTGGTTTTGTTAGGGGCCATGTCTGGCACTGGTATGTCAACGTTGGTAGGAAAATGGCGTTGATGAGAATTACCTTGGTGCTCATGGAAATGCTAGGATGTTTTAGAAGAGGAGCAAGTTGGTAACTGACTGCGTTGACTTTCTGATATCTGGTCTCCATTTCTCTCTCTAGTTTGCCGTTTCAGTAAATATGCTGCCTAGATATTTGAATTCAAGGATTTTGTTTTCAAGGATTTTCTCTAAATATGGATTCTACATTCACGTGAAGATACCAGCGTCTCACTTCGTCCCCCTTTTTGTTGAGTGCTTATATATAATTCGGTTTGTTCCACTTATGCACATCCTAGAAGTAGACCGCATGTTTACGTGTTGGGAAGCAACTGTTGATATCTGGTAGCGAGAAGATTGACTTTCTGATGCATCTGGCTTCTCTGAAGCTCTGGTATAACACTGAGTACAAAGTATATTCTGGTAACACCTGGAGTGATTGATATACTTCAGGAGTTGCTTTGGAAAACGACTGCTTTGCATTTTTGTCATCCAATCGTAGTAGCAAATATTCAACAATTGTGGTTCTGACAAAGGTGAGAACCTCAATATTAGTAATGAAGAATGTACCCATGACTGTAACCAAGGGGACTGGCGCGGCACTATCATTTAAAATTAGTTAGTTTTGTGACAGTCGCAGCTAAGATTAGTAGAAAAGAATTGAGAGCTGCTTGTTGGGTTATATTTTCGTATAATTCACATCGGTGGTCGGTGTTCAAACCCAGTTAAAAACTAATATTTAAACTGCTGATTTTCAAAGCAATACACGTTCTCGTCGCAAGAAAAATAGGGCACTACTATAGCGTGAGGCCTAAATCAGTAGGTCGTTCCCTCCCCTTTATGAGTTCTAACATGGATATTTATATCTGTCTCACATTTTCTAAACACGTGAAACAGGAGGTAGACCTCACGCTATATTGAGATAGACCTCACGCTATAGTAACACCATATTATTGTCGTAGTTGATCTTTAATTATTAGTAATAATGCTTACTAAATTTCAGGCTAATAGCCGCAACTTTTGAATTAGGTTTTTGATTTAGTTTACATAAATTCGACATTTTTTTCTGAAGAATTGATCGCTTTTATATTTCACTGGGTATGGTAAATTTTATTTTTTATTCAACTCCGCAAGAATGAAGTCGTAATAATACATGAGAAAATAAAGCGTAATAATACATGAGAAAATAAGGCGTAATAATATATGAGAAAATAAATCGTAATAATATATGAGAAAATAAAGCGTAACTATACATGAGTCCGCTTGGTGATGATGGAACGTCACTAATTTGAATTCTAGGCATTGAATGTGACGAGGCAGTTTTTCCATCACTGAGCTATTAAAGCTAGATCACTGGTTTAAAATATTATTATGTGCTACTATAGCGTGAGGTCTACCTCAATATGTCGTGTCCCTCCCTTCACGGTACCATCAGGTCAGATGAGATCTAACATGGATATTTATATCTGTATTACATTTTCTAAACACGTAAAACGGTAGATAGACCTCGCACTATATTGAGGTAGACCTCACGCTATAGTAGTGCCAAGAATGGTTAAGTACACGGATTCTACTCCATTTCCTAACTTTGCTTTTCTTTTCTGTATTTATTTATGTATTTGAACGCCATGTCCGTTTATGATGTGGGTGATAATAGCTTTTCACAAGAATCTCCTTCTTTATTGTCTATCAGTTTTCCAGGGCTTCTTGGGAAAGATAGTGGAGTTGTTTCTTGTTGCTTTCTCTACGATTTTGAACTACGAGTATTGCCTTTTTCAGATTGGCCTCTACCCAAAGCTACATAAACCTGTTTCCTGTACAACTTATACTATAGCTAGTGGGAAGTAGGGGAATTATACCTTTCCAAAAGGGGGTTTGTTGTGAGAAATTGAACGCAACAGATTAAACCGGAATTGGAAATCAGCTCGCAGATTCCAACTTCCGCTTTGGTATCCTTTACTCCACCCGCATAGTTTCTCCTTGTTTTTACCAAACTTAGCGAAACAGCAATTATCCATGAATTTCAATAAGGTATCCTTTATTTCTGGTTGGCAGATCTGACACCATGATATCATTTTATTTATTTATTTTTTTTTTTTTGTTCAAAATTTCTTTCAAAGTATTTTTTCCATAAAGAAATAATTAAACAAGATGAAAATTTCGAATAATACCTTAGCATGTTTAAAAAAATGTCCTTCCGTTTACTTTTTCGATCGTTCTTAAAGTTTCTTCACTAATACTTTTCAAATATTTCCTTGAGAATAAACAGAAATATTATTCAATAACAACGCCAACAAAAACATTTTCCTCATAACTAAGAAGTAAAATTGTTCTTAACAAGAAAATACTTCTTACTTTCCAGTCAAATTTGATTGATTAATTCGTTTTCTATGGTTTATCAGCCCTTTGCAGGTTAATTAAAGCCAGGAAATATTTTTAGATTGAAAGAACTTTTTTTTATTTTGAAATAATAATGATTTAATGATACAAATCATACAAATTAATCCATAGCTGGGTAAGAAGAGGTGAATTCCTAACTTTCCCAAGGCTATTTGAGCGTAAGTGAATATCTCGAAGTTAACGGGAATTTGAACTTGTCTCTCCGATTAACAATTTCGAGCTATTATCCCTTACACCACCCGCACATCTAAGCTTACAGCACCTGATATTGACAAGCGGTCACCCATCCAGGTACTAGCCAGGCTCGGTTATCGTACGGCAAACGGGTCTTTCAGCATGATATAGCCGTAAGTCATTCAAACATTTTAATACAATATCAATCATTTATCGTCCGCCTTCTTTATTCCTGTTCCTTTATTGTTCTCTCTTCTCAACAATGTTTTCTTTTTCTCATATACTCTCACACTCAATAACCCCTTGCGTCTTTTTTTTTTTTTAATTTTTTAAAATCAATTTACCCCAAGCAAGGCGATAATGCCGCTAAGACGCAAAGGGGTTTCTGGGAATAAAATAGAATGAAAAGGCAGTAGAAGGAACCGGAAACCCAATCCTAAATATAAAACAAGAGATAAACCTCTACTCATGTTCAAAAGATTGGGGAGGAGTGTGAACAGGATGATAGGCGAAATTATCTGCTCTATGATGGGGGTGAAATACATACAATTGAATAAATTATTTATTTTCTTTAAGAATATATTTGCTGAACAAAACCGAGAATTATTTATGACCCAACCTAATATATATAGACTTACCGCTTTAAACGTTTATTTTTAGTGGATATTCGTATTTGAGTAGACGCTCCGTTTATTTATTAAACAGTATATTTATTTATTTTCGCTTACCCGTCTGAATATCCAAGAAATCCTATTAAAGAAAAACTTGACAGGAATCGAACCTGCGTCCCTCAAGGTAGAGGAAGCCACCGTTTATCCCGGAGCGCCTTACCGCTTGGCCATGGAGAAATAGAGGGTTAGGCGAAGCTGATTTCATGCTTTCAAGCGAAATTTCTTCCGTCATAGATCTAAGTTTTTTCATATCTGCACATAGTTTCGTATCCAAACTTAAAAAAAGAAAATTTTCTTTTTTTTTTAAAAATGGATTTTTATTAATCCAACAGATTCGTATCACCTTAAAGTGGATACCCGTATTTAGTGGATACCCGTATTTAGTGGATACCCGTATTTAGTAGATACCCATATTTAGTGGATAGCCGTATTTGAGTAGGCGCTCCGTTTATTTATTAAACGTATAATTTATTTATTAACAATTACAAATTTCTGTACACTATTTACATTGCTCGGACTATCATCCTCATCTTTGTTGCCATATTTATCACGTTTCGGCCCTTGTACGCTCCGGCCTTCTTCAGGTGGTTGGAATGTCGAACTGAACCGTTTATTTCGCTCGCTAGGGTAGACTGTTCTAGTTCCAGGTGCCATGTCTAATGGATGTCAGGGACACATGGAACAGTGGATAAAGGCGTTAGTTAGATCCAGTGATAGACCCAAAGAGCGTGAGTTCAATACCTGGTTAAGGCGGTGAAGAACTTGGAGAGGGGAATTAACAGGTGATAACTGATAACTGGCATCCATTAGACATGACACGTGAAACTAGAACAGTCTACCCCAGCGAGCGAAATGAAGGGTTTAGTTCGACATTCCAACCACCTGAAGAAGGCCGGAGCGTACAACGGTCGAAATGTTGTGATAACTATAGCAACAAAGACGATGATAATAGTTCGAGCAATGTAAATAGTGTACATAATACCTCATCTCAGAAATATAAACCGATACAAATTTCTGTATTTCGCATTTTACTTTGCTATTTTCGCTTGAGAGAAGAAAAAAAAGAGTTCGACTCACAGGAAGATAGTTTCCATTTGGATCTTTGCAACCACATCTGGACGGTTCTACACAAACGTTGTCACTCAGCAAAAGTCCTGGGACACACTGACAACCCTCCCTATCCGGCTGATTACAACTCTTGGGAGCATCAGGATCAAAGCAGGTGGCTGGACATCCTGTCATGCGGTAACTGTAAGTGGTATTTACACTGGGACATAATATAGCTGAAGAAAAACAAAATAGGTTCTATCTTTTAAAAATATATATATATTTATCAGAATAAGGACACTTATACTTAACACCAGGAAAAGACTAGAGCACAACGAGGAAAGAGTGCCTGGAAAATTTGATACTCGCAAGACAGATTGAAGGTAAGAGGTACAGGAGAAAACAATGCATAACCTACCAAGCTAGCTTGATAAGTGGAAAGTCAGAACAAGGATTCGGAGAGCTAACAAAATGAGACAATTTATTAAGAGCTACAAAGGGTAGGAAATTGGAGAGAATCATGACCGTCTGCGTCCTTTAAACTAGGTGCTGCCACAGATTCGCTAAAAATGAGCATACCTTGATGAAAAAATTACCCAATGTTAATAAAAACAAAGTTTTATCGTCAAAATCTTTATGTTATTATTAAGAGGAAAGACCAAAGAATTTTTTAATTATTAAATTATATTTTTTGATCCTTTTTAGAATGTTCGAAATTTTGTTTTTCTTGCGTTAGCACGGGAACCAAAGATTTGTATTGAAAATTTTAGCGTCTTTTTTGCGTTAAGAATATACTGATTTGGAAATTCTTGCAAAAATCAAAGAAATGTCAGATTATTATGAAACTTTCAGGACTTATTCACAAATGAATGAAAATATTTTAGAAATGTTTCTTTTTCAGAAAATCTCGATAAAAAACATTTATTTACATCTGTTACCACCCTCACATTTAATTTTATGAAATTTCGAGAAATTCATTTTTGTATAGTTGAATGATTATATTAGTTATACGTAAAACTCCTTGAACAATTTAAATTATTGACTTTTTTATTTTTTGAAAAACAGGACACCCAGTTAAATCTGTCCTGAATCGTAAAATAAAATAAAAAACGCAATAATACTAAGACATTATTTAATTAGAAAAGCTTTTAAATTCTTTTATGAATAAGATATATTATGGACACTTGCCTTAAGAAAAAAAAATTAATGAATAATGAACTTTTTCAAGAACTGTTTCCAATTTTTTTTAGTTTTAATTACAATAATTTATAAAGATTTAAATCCTTTAAATTTCTGTATTAATTTTTACCGTTTAGATGATATTGTTAAGTAAAAACTATATTTATTAATCATAAATAAAAAGGTTTACTACAATTCAGCTTCTAATATTTTAAAAAGAATTTTGGATTTTTGTGTGTGCATAAACGTGCTTTTTGTAAATACAGACGACATTATCAGAAAATAAGAGCGATGACTATAGTAAAGTTAAAGCAAAAATACCTAAAATTAAAAAAGATCATGAGATTACAGAGAATATTTTCCTAAATTTTAAAGATTAACTCAGTAGTTAAAAATTATATAAAAAGGCGTTCACGTTATATTCCTCCAGTAATTTTTACAGATATTTCGTCCGTGGAAAAAAAAAAATAGACAAACTTCAGCCTGTCAGTCAGCTATCATCCTGTCAACACCTTAAATAAACACCTACCTCCGTGTTAAAAATGCATTTCTACGAAATTTTAAACCAAAAGTAAATTATATTTGTTTCAAATTAGATTAATTAAACTTAAAATCGTCTAATAATTCTCAAATAACGTTTCAAAAAAGTATATTTTATTTTTGGAAGATTTTTTAATAAAAAGAATTACATTGTGCTGACAGATCAGCGAATGTTATTGATTTCAAAACGAAAACGCCTTCCAGTCAATTTAAATTAGTTTTGAAATACAGCAACTTATTTTGCTTTTTGGAAATATTAAATTTAATCTATTGAAAATTAAAAATTAAAATATTTAATCTACTGTAATTAGAACTAAAATAAAAAGTTCAAGAAAGATTTTTTATTTTTAAAAATTCATTTTAAACCTTAGGCATAACAATTCTCTGAAAGTATCGAATTTACTCCATAAAAACTTAAAGAAAAAACAATAAATTAAAGGGCTTAGAGCAGTCCACTATTGAATTAAAGACAAAGAACAGTGTAAAGAATGAAGGCAAAGAAAGCGTTTCAAGAGAATCTTTATTCAACTCGACTCGCAGTACAATATATCGAAGGGCTGAGGGATTTAATATGCTTTGAGATGGACACATGAAGATTTACATAAGCGGGAGATTATCAGAAGGGTCTATTTTACAACACACAGCAACATTTAGCAAGTAAACTTTCGTCTTGATCCTAGGACTCGAAGCCTGAAGGGTCGGATGACGAATGATAACTTGGCAAATATCGCTGTGTTCTTTATTTTTAATTCGATCTTCTCTCTCTTTATCCTATCTATCTTTCTTTCTCTCTCTCTCTCTCTCTCTCTCTCTCTCTATATATATATATATATATATATATATATATATTGTTTATTTCTTTCTTTTATACACATTTTACTGCATTTCACAAACGAAAAACATCTTATATGGTTTTAATTTTGTTTTTCTAATATACTTACAGCTTTCCATAAAACTTAATCCCAAAAAAAAGTAAACTGTAAGAACATTGGAAAAACTGAAAAAAATATTAATAAAATTTTCCTTATCCGTCACAATCAATGAACACACACACACACACACACACACACACACACACACACACACACACACGCACAGAGAGTGAGAGAGGGAGAGAGAGAGAGAGGCCTGAAGATAGATAGATAGATAGATTGGTAGATAGATTTAAACAACACGAACAGGTAGATAGGTAGATAGATTGATAGATGGATAGGTCTTTACTTACTGTACTGTTTAAATAAATCTCTTGCCCTATTTCCTTAATATATGAGTCAGATTCTGTCGCGACAGTCTTACACTTTCAATACAGAAATAAATATAGACATACATTCCTTCCTTTGCAAGTATATACTTGCATTTATTCTACTTACGACAAAACTCTGATGTCCTCCAGTTAGCAAGAACGCCATTTTCTTCGCAAGCGTCCGCCATAGAACTGACTGCATCGCACCCAACTTCGTCAATCATGAATACATTTTGTTGATAGGAACAGACATCTATTCGGCAAGTTTCATAGTATTCCTCTGCGATATCAGGAATGGCCTCGATGCACTTGCGGAATGGGCCGGTCCGATTTCGAATGATGTCACAGTAACTCTCTATGACCACATCGTCGATACAATTAGAGTTCACTGGGTAAGCAAAGCAACTGAAAGTAATTTAAAAATATATAATAATAATACAGAGAATGTCTTGCTAATCAACGAATTGCATCTGACACACAAACATCGATTTTTAGTATTCTTATTGGACTTCATGCAGCCAAGTCCTCAGGGGTATCGAGATTAGTCTTCCTACCTATAAGTTTACAATTTTAATTTCCATGTGTATATAGAAAATAGAATTAAAAATAGATGCTATCATTTTGTAGGTGCGGATGGTGTAATGGATATTGGCGCGGAAGATAAATTAGATGTGTCGAGTTCAATCCCCGTGCGATTCTGTTTTGTTCATTTCGCGCTAATGCCCTTAAACAAAGATATGAATCCATTCTCCTCCAGCTATGAGTTAAATAGCAGGGCAGATCCGGCAGACCCTGATGTGTTAACCAATGTAGGTAAAGGAAAATAATAATAATAATTATTATTATTATTATTATATGGCCGAATGGTTAGAACGTTCGATTTCCCACCATGAGACCCGGGTTCGAATTTCACCATGATTGATTTGTCCAGGTGACTTATTGATTTTATCAGCCTGGGGAAAATGTCCGAAAACCATAGACGGGTTGACCCAAACCGTGTGCGCGAAATTGTGCAGGTGGAACTATTTTGGAGCCGTCGATGGTTGTGCTAGCAAGAAGTTCCAAGTCATCGTGATCGAGGGTTTGAGCGTACTGGTCTTGTTCAGAGTGTTGAACACGTCAGAAAGTGTGCTCTCTCCCAGAAACTATATAGTAGCAGTATAAACCACAGCTGGGCTCTGTGCGTGTTGAACAAACACAAATGTGTCTGAGCAGGCACCTACAACAGGGATTGGCTTGCCGTCTTCGTAGACAGGCATACTCAGATATAAGAGACCAGGTGATTATTATTATTAGAATCTGTGTTGTTTTGGATGATGATCATATATCATTTAGAGAGACAGCTCTTTCCGTAACACATGAGCTGTTCCAAGTAGCGCTGCCACCTGTACACTTCTAGTGATGTCAGATATCCCGAAAGCGTTCTGGGAATTAGAAAGGTTCGTGGAAATAGTCATGAGTGCGCCAAGGAAATCTTCAACTGCTGCATGGTGTATTTCTCAGATTTGCTCTGCCATGTTTTGGTCCTTCTGTATTTTCGTCTGCTCTTCTTTTACGATGTTCTTATTCTAAGGTAAAGCAACGTCTATCATAATGCAGTCAAGCCTGTTCTTGTGCTCAAGTATGAGATCAGGGCGATTGCCCCTAATCGCTTGTAAGTCAAAATGGTTTGTATCCCCATTTGCACAATCCAAGTTATTATTATTATTATTATAAATTTTTGAAATCATCTCAATATAATTCATAGCATTAAATAACTGATAGAGGGGAACATATAAAATAAAAGTGACAGAACATATAAATAGTCGAAGTGATCCAAGTGTGAATATGAGTACCAAATCAGAAAAGGAGTTCAGGAAAGCTAAAAAGCTGAATCAGAATAGTATCCATTTCAGTTTTCCATTTTGAGTTTTTTTTATAAGAATACTTCCCAGGCATATTACATTAAATAAGCAATATTTCAATACGGAAAGCCTGGATTTTTCTCAGCCTGACTCGTTATCAGCACCATTCGCATCCGAGCATCGGGATCATCAACTTTTTCATCCTCTCTCCCTATTTCATTTCTCCGCCCCACCACTCGACTCTAGTGGCAGAGATGGTTGTAAATCAAAGAGTTTGACGAAGCCATTTGCGTGAATTTGATTTTGGTGGACAACTCTGGGCGCGACAGAGAAGCCCACACACTTGGCCAGAAGCGTCTCCCTCGCGGCTCAAGGAGCATTGAGACAGGCGAGATCTGATAAACCTGGTTGAATTGGGCTGTCGGATGCTTGATTTGTCAAGGTCCGCCTTGGTTACGCCAACCCGACTGACACTGCCCTCTTCCGCCGGTTTGGTCATTGAGATCGTGTAGATCTTTGCCTATTCTGCCGTTGATTGTCTTCGGGGGTTGGTCGCATTCAGTATGGTCTCTTCTCCTCGACCTTACCGCCAGGAGTTGGAACTCCACACGGCTTCGTTCTTGGGGTCCCTGGGACACGCAAGCCCTCTACCATGACAAGGAACGACCAAACAAGTTATATTTTAACAAGTATGCATGGCCCCGGGGATTCAAATCCTGCGGTAGCACCTTCATCATTGCGTTAAAAAGAAATGGTTGGTAGATATAATAATATTAGTTGCGTTTTAGGATAGATTTTAGGATAGATAGATAGATAGATAGATAGATAGATAGATAGATAGATAGATAGATAGATATGAACAGACTGAGATATGTATGAAGACACTGATAGATAAATAAATACATATGAACAAACTGATATAAGTACGAAGGGGCTGATAGATAATAGAAACAGACTGACATACGTGTGAACAGGCTGAGATAGATAGATAGATAGATAGATAGATAGATAGATAGATATGAACAGATTGGGATGAGATAGATAGATAGATAGATAGATAGATAGATAGATAGATAGATAGATATGAACAGACTAATATCAATACGAACAAGCTGAGATAGTGTTATGGTCCAGGTTAGGACCAAGAAAGAACAACACGAACACAAGAGTAGAAATAACGAAGGTATATTACACGAAATAATAATACAAGATGTGTATGACTGTCAGTCTGGTTTGGAGTGAACTACTATCGGCTCGACTCGATTCGGTATCTAGAGGGTTGCATGTGGCACAAGGCCGAGTTTAACGTGGGTTTCCCGAGCCCGTAGGCTCGGCCAAAAAATGCCCGTAGAACCTGTATAAACGGGATCGGGTTGGTCAGCCTCCCTGAACGAGGCTCTGCCCTTCGGCGGAGCCTCGTCCGGTTCCTCTCTGCTCAGAGACAGAGAGTTCGACCGTCAAGCCGAGAAGCTCGGCTCGATTCAGTATCTAGCCACCCCCCCCACGAGGGTTGCATGCGACACAAGGTCATTTTTATCGTGGGTTTCCTGAGCCCGTAGGCTCAGCCAAAAAATATGCCCGTATAACTCGTAAAAACGAGATAGGGTAGGTCATTCACCCCTGAACGAGATTCTGCCCTTCGGCGGAACCTCGTCCGGGTTCCTTTCTGCTCAAAAGCAGAGAGTTCGACCGTCAAGTCGAGAAGCTCGGCTTGATTCAGTATCTAGCCACCCCCCCACGAGGGTTGCATGCGACACAAGGTCATTTTTTATCGTGGGTTTCCTGAGCCCGTAGGCTCAGCCAAAAAAATATGCCCGTATGACTCGTAAAAACGAGATAGGGTAGGTCATTCACCCCGAACGAGATTCTGCCCTTCGGCGGAACCTCGTCCGGGTTCCTTTCTGCTCAAAAGCAGAGAGTTCGACCATCAAGCCGAAAAGCTCGGCTTGATTCAGTATCTAGCCACCCCCCCCACGAGGGTTGCATGCGACACAAGGTCATTTTTTATCGTGGGTTTCTGAGCCCGTAGGCTCAGCCAAAAATATGCCTGTATGACTCGTAAAAACGAGATAGGGTAGGTCATTCACCCCGAACGAGATTCTGCCCTTCGGCGGAACCTCGTCCGGGTTCCTTTCTGCTCAAAAGCAGAGAGTTCGACCGTCAAGTCGAAATGATCGGCTTGATTCGACTCTGTCTCTTGAGAGGCGTAGTATACATAGTGTTAGGAAGAGTTCATTCTGTAGTTATAGGTACGGACCCATGATAGATAGATAGATAGATAGATAGATAGATAGATAGATATTAAATGTAGCTTTAAAAGTACGATACAAGAACAGAAGTTTAAAAATACTACCGTAGCCAGCATCTAAAGGACCAAATTTTAGTCGTCGCTCTGCGAAAGGCCTCAAATTAAAAGAAAAAATATAATTGCTGCTAATATTACTGCTTTTATATAAAAGTAAAAATTGTTTACTCTTGAGGTGGTTTGTCTCCATCCATGGACTCCCGATACGAATCAGCAACTAGCGTGTCCGCGTTGGCCATCTTTCTGACATCTGTTCCGTTTTTAAGTCTCTTGTCGTTCTTTATGCCATCGCAGTCCCCACAGATACCCGTCATCATTCGGCTCAAACTGGAAGGTGCTACGACTTTGACGATATGCACGCCGTCAAAACCAACTTGTAGACCACACTCGGCTGATACAACCATGTGCTTCCCCGTTCGGAACATGTGAATTTTCCCGTCAAGTTCACTTGATGGCAAATAACGAACTTCATCGTTAACCTGCACAGGAAACAAAACATATGGAAAGTAGTAATTCTTGAGAACATATATATGAAACAAAATATTAATAAATTGTCCGTGACAATATACGAGGTCTGATAAAAAAAAAATATCGGGTTTGTTGCTATGGTAATGGAGGTAAAGTACGCAGAGTGAAGACTCTTGGCACAGATTGACATTGAAGTCTGTCGCGCATAAACACTAAGTTATAACGTTCTCGCTCACTTGTTTACAGCAATGCTTGGAAGGAAAGTGTGTAGAGTGTGGTCGTCTCGCCATACCAGAGAAGTTCCATCAGTACCACGGCTTGTTTTGGGCTAAGCACAACATTCCCTAGGTCCGACAAGCACTATATTCCCCAGATCCCGCTCCTTGCTACTTTTTGCTTTTCAAAAATCAAGTCCCACTTGAAAGTAACAAAATTTCAAGACGTCAAGGAAATCCATGAGAATGTGACGAGGCAGCTGCTCGCTATCCTCGAAATGGAGTTCCAGTAATACTTCGATAAATGGAAACGACGCTGGATAACGAAAAAAAGTCACTTCAGAAAGTGACTACTTCGAAGGAGATTAAATACTGAATTGATATGTGTTGTAGTTTTCTTTTTACAGCACCAGTCCTGATACTTGTTTTATCAGACCTCGTATATGTATCTATTATGAGTTTAATGCTTCTTATAAAAACACATGGGTTCCTTTAAGAGTTCGTGCCTGCCTTTCCACAGAACGTTTTCACTGTTTCTTATTGCAGTTGCTTTTTACCGTAACCTCTCAGACAGTCTTTCTCGTCCTTTAAAGTGTGGACGCAAAGAATAAGACTCTGAGGAGACTCGAATTCGAATACCTCTTTTTCTCTCAGGAAGAATATCTTAGCATAACAATACACCAGGTGGTGTGCTGCTGATGGCTGTGCGATGGCAGTTTGAGAAGTTGCAATAAAAAGCAACTGAAATAAAGATAAAAAAAACTACTAGTCGAAAATTTCATAATTGGCAATTCTTTGTCTTATAATAAATTCATTTTAGTGTTTTTATCGAGGAATTCTTTCATAGAGGAATATTAAAGAATGCCTATTCGAATGCAGTTCCCCAAGACAACACTAGATATACTGCCACAAGTCCCTTAGTCATAGATCTTTTAATGATTATATTTGGATTGGATAGTTAAAAGTACAAATAAAATCTAAAACCGAAATTTCAATAATGTTGGCTACGAAAGCCATATTGACAGCCATCTCCTTTATAATTCTGTTGCACCATTGTGGGTTGACAATCAAGTGTGAGAATGATGCTCTGCAGATATTTTTCCCATATTCAACGCACATGCAAATGTCAGTCCTCAATAAATAAAAACTGAAGTCAGGTTTAAAAGACAAATATTACTAAATATGGATTGGACACAAAATGTAACCCGATGAGGACGTTAACGGGATCTAATCTGATTGTCGTAAGCCCTCTCCCCAAAATGTCAAATTTTAAATTTTATAGGCTATTTTGATTATGCCTTTTTTTTTTCGTTCTGGGAATATTCTTCAAACCTCGTCGACTGGCGCAACAAATTCACAAAGATCTGTATCAAAGAACAGAAATCACGTCACTTGAGGACTACCAACAGCAGCAACAACTAAAAAGGATAGCACATGTAACATGAAGAGAAAATAATGATATAATCGATGCTTACGGTCTTATCACGCTGAAACACCGATTCCCGTACGATCACCGAAGTTAAGCAACATGAGACTTGTCAGTACGTAGATGAGTCACCGCTTGGGAATAGTAGTTGGTGTAAGTTTGGACATGTGGGTGGTATGAAGGGCTTTCAGCCGCGTCACGTTGAAACACCAGTTCCTGTACGATAACCGAGGTTAAGTAACGTCGAGCCTGGTCAGTACCTAGATGGGCGACGGCTTGGAAATACCCGGTGCTGTAAGCTTGAATATGTGGGTGGTGTAGTGGATAATAGCTCGAAATTGGAAATTGGAGAGTCAAGTTCCAATTCCTGTTAGGTTCGTTATATTCACTTACTCACAAATACCGTTGTGAAAGATATGAATCCACCTCTTCTCCCCCATCTATAGGTTAATTAGTAAGAATTGTATTCTGAAACCATTAATATCTTAAAAAATAATATATTAATATCATTGAAAAAATATCCTATGCTGGGGCGCACCCACCTTCTAACTAGAAATGGACTGGTCCCTCTTATATAAGTCATCTCTAGAGAGAGGACAGCAAGAGCGTCAGCAGTCCAGATAAGGTTACCCGTTACATACCGTTGGACTATAGACTTTGGATATTGTTTCGTACTAACCAACCTTCGTTCTACTAATCACTCTATTGTTAATTGCTTTTACAAATATACCAGTATTTTCCCCTACAACTGTGTTTGTCTTGATTCGTACACCCGCACGCGGGAAAACTCTCAACATCTCAACATCCTACAGTCTAAAAATATTTCCTGGCTTTAAATAACCTACAAAGGATTGATAAACGAAATAAATCTGTAAAAAATTGATAAACAAAAACGAATCAATCACTGCTCTCCATAATTTTCTGTCCTTTCAAACTCTTAGTAAAGTTTATCATTTTGCTATCTCACCTAATTCCTATGCTGTCAACCATTAATAACAGCTTGTTAGGTAGGTTATGAGTTGCTTTCCAATGTCCCTCTTACCTTCAATATGTCCTGTGAGGGTGAAGCCTTTTTTTTCTCACCCTAGAAACTGTCACTTTTTGATGCTAAATATAAGTGTCCTTTTGTTTTCATTTCCTCTATAACCATTCTATATAACACATTGCAGTCAATCGATAATGGCATAATCAAGATGTTGACGTTCCACGATTTTTTCTTTGCTATTGTTCACCCCATACAAAACCCAAGAGCCACTCAATGTAAAGGGTTACTGAGTGGTGTTGTATGAGGGTAAGAAAAAGCAAGAAATGAAGTTCATGAGGTTATGTAGCACATAGGATAACAGTTACTCTAGACTTGAAGAGGTCAAGATTGTAGCGATTGGGAAAACATCCTGCACAAAACAACAGATTTGGGGTAGAGCCTCTTCGAGTGGAACTTACTTCTTGTTAATGGAATACGAGGGGAATGGAGATGATTCACCATTGTGTATGTGGCATGGTGGCTCCCAGCTGCAAAGGTCGGGGCTGATGAGACCAAGAAATATAGCTCGTCAGAACAATTGCCAGGAAAATGGAGATAGAGCAGCGAGAGGATTGCGACATTTCGTCTGTGGAAAGGGGGTTGTAGGGTAGCTATTGTTTCCAACAAAAGGTTAAGAAGGCCACCTTCAATATTGGAAAGAGCAATAACAGTTAGTGGACTTGAAACCTATTTTCCTGAAAACAAATTTTAATAGAAACATTTTATAAATTTCTACCAACAATAGCACTGGCTGTTCGATCAAACGGCTAATATTACCATTACTATATATTTACTGAAATCAATAAATATCGATGTTATATTGACACAGTGATATGTCTTCATAGTTACATGGATATAGATACACAGTTTTCCCTCGTTAGGTTATTTTGACTTAACAATATCAAAACAACGTTTTTCTGCTTATTTGTTTTAACGTTTCTACCAAACCGTTGGTTGGAAAGAATTAAAGTTTCTCAGAAGCTTTAGTCCTCTTTTCTAATCATCATGCTAAGTAATATAAAAATGCAGACTCACGTAGATTTTTTGAGAAAAATCAATCCGAATGTGCAGCTTGTAGATGTAAATGTCCACCGCTTTTGTCCAGGTGGCTTTTCCAATGCCACCGCGTTTTTCGTTAGTGACCAAAACCCGGAATTGACACTGAGTGGCTCCCGGCGTTGTGGCGGTCAACAGATACTGGCATGGTCCCATGAAAGTGATCATCTCCCCATCGTATGTCCTGTAATGTGGATCTCCTTTCGCAGAGCAAATGCAGACGTCTAAAACATTGAAAACGTAACAATAAACAGCTTAAATGATCATTAAATGATAATTCCGCTTTCTCTTAATTCCTTAGCGCGGACATTACGCCCTGCCAGTAACTCATAAATATTGGATTACGAGAAAAGACGAGAAAGGCATAAAAAAATTCCGAAAAAAAAAAGAAAAATAGAAAGAAAGAAGAGAGGAGGCAATAACGCTCTCATGTGTGTAACGTATAGCGTGTCAATTTTAAATATTTTCATTTGTACTCTCTTATTTCTTTAAACAATGACCTGCATTCATATTTATGATTGTGTTGTAACCTAGGGAAGGGTTACTGAATGAGGAATAAACAAAACGGAGGTTTGAAATGAAATGGTAATCTTTATAACATCAACAAAATACAATACTCGCCAGCGGTGTGAAGTAGGTAAACCACTGCTAGGACTACTTAGCATATTTCCCCAATTTAAAATAGTGTCCAATGTATTCATGAGGATTGGAACACACCCATTAGCGTTCATAGGTACGGCATATAACGCTCCTCCTCCTCCTCCTTCTTCCCTTACTCATCCTTTTTCTTCTTCTTGCCATACTTCTCCTCCTCCTTCTTCTTCTGCTACTCCTCTCCTTTTTCCTTTGTTCCTCCCTTACTCTTTGTTGTAATCGAGAAAAGGTTATTGAATGAGGAATAACCGAAACGGAGGTTGGAAACAGAAATGGTAATCTTTATAACATCAGCAAAATACAATACTCGCCAGCGGCATGAAGTAGGCAAACCACTTCTAGTAGTGGACTACTTAGACAGCATATTACCCCCATTTACAATAGTGTCTAATGCATTTATGAGGATTGGGACATACCCATTAGTGTTCATAGGTACGGTTTATAAAAAATTGTTGTTGCAATATTTTGTTAAGCGTATTTAACGATGGAAATTTTTACGGGTATTTTATAGTCTTAGAATTCGCAAGCGACTATTCAATCATTAACTTAAAAATTATGATCTGTGAGAAAATTCAGACAACAGAACCGCAAAATTTTCACGGGCACTTCCTCTTCTTCTACCTGCCGTGTGCTTCCAGGACGTTGGTGATCATGTCTCTCCACAATTTCCTATCCTTTGTAACTCTTAATGAATTTTGTTTTTTGTTATTCCTCTTAAACCATGTTCCACTATCCATTTACTCAAGCTTACTAGGTAGGTTATGCGTTGTTTTCCTCTGTCTCTCTTGCTTTCAATCTGTCTTGTGAGTATCAAATTTTCCAAGCCCTCTTTCTTCATTGTGTACCGTAGAAATTTCAACAGTCTCTTCCTGGTGTTAAGTATAATTGTTATCATCTTTTCTCATGTTTGGCCCATGGTATTCATAGCATCTTTCTGTATAACCACACTGTTGTTGCTTCAAGTCTCTGCTTCACCCGTGAGGAGATTGTTCAGCATTCACTGCAATATTGGAGGAATGATATTATATAACAGTTCAGGACTCTCCTTTATTTCTAACGAAATTGTCTCTGTTTCTTAATACTTTTCTTAGCTTATGGAAGGCATCTTTCACTATCCCAATGCACCTTCGTGTTTCAGTGCCACTCTTTCCGTCCTCTGTTAAAAAAATTCCCAGATGTTTAAATTTTTGTATTTATTTCATTATGGTATCTGCATTTGTAATTTGCATTTTGAGATGCTCCTTTTGCCGACAACCATGCATTTTGTTTTTTGCAATTAATGATTAGTCCTTTCTTCTCGCTTTCCTTCACTACTTGGGAGTTCTTGTCGTTTCCTCTGTGTTAGCTACCTAAATATAAATTTCCTGAAGAAAGTGCAAGTCTTGTAGAATGTCATTAATTTTTACACGCGGTTTGTTGCCCTCATTTGTTGTTGCTATCACAACGTTTCAGTCATTTCAGGTGTTCGTAGATTTGGGTAACTTTCAGAGAAATTCGAAGATGAGAACATTGGTCCTCGTGTTAATAATGTCAATGATAATTCTTCATTCCATAAATTCAGAGGAACGCTACGGTTTTCTTTATGGGGAATTAATGTCCAAAAATATTTCTTTAAGTTAAAAGTAGAAGCTAGATTCTGGGAAGTTATGTAGTCAGTATTTGTTTTACAGATTACTTTCTTCTTCTTCTTCTTCTTCTTCTTCTTCTTCTTCTTCTTCTTCTTCTTCTATATGCCACGTCTCTTGAGAACATGGTCGATCACAGCTATCCACAACTTCCTATCCTTTATAGATCTTAGCAAATTTTGTCATTTTATTATCCCTCTCATTCGTGTTCTGCCATACATTTACACAAGATATTTTGGTAAGTTACACCCTGTTTTAACTCTGTCCCTCTTTCTTGACACATGTCCTGCGAGTTTCAAATTTTCCAAGCCCGCTTTCCTCATTTCACTTTCTTCAGGAAATTTCAGCTTTCTCTTTCCGTTTTTAAGTACAAGTATCCGTTTTTTTTTTGGAGGGGTACCATTTTCCTTAAAACTTCCTTGTTGCTCATATGCTCTGTCGATGTTTTTCTCAGCATTCGCTACATTGACTCAAGTTTCTTCAGTGAATGCTGGGCAATTTCGTCACAGGTAAATATGTGAGGAAATTATCTAGCATTCGCTATCCATATAGGAGGCGGGTGTATTATATAGCAGTTCAGCACTCCTTTCTTCGTTTGTAACGAAATGTCCCTATTTCTTGATATTTTATTTAGGTTTTTGTTATTCCAAATGCGTCTTGGGATTTCGCTGTCATATTTTCTATCGTCTGTTAAAATAATTCACAGATATATAAATGTCTGTACTTGCATGATTTTTACACCTCCAATTCGTAGCCAGTATCTGGAGTTGTAACTCTTCCGACCATGCATTTTGTCTTCTTACAATTGATGGTTTGTCCTTTTTTCCTGCTTTTTATTCACTATCTTGTCAAAGAGTTCGTATAGTTTTCTCTCTATGTCTGCCATCAACACGGTGTCAAATGTGTGTTTCTTCTGCTACTAAGTTTATTCTTTTGGTATCTGTTTAATTTTTCTTTTGTTTTGAAGGTTCTTTAATAAATTTCCCCAAATAAAAAGTTAGATAAACATGTCCTTCATTGATTTTTATCTTCTTGTACACTGTAATACAAATGTCAAACAATTAATTGACACCGGTAAAAATGGGTGTTACCTTGACAGGTTGGTTGGTTCATTTTGTTTAGCGGAATTTCAACCTCTATAAGTTATTTAATGCCGAAATATTTTAACACAATTTTATGGCCTCAACTAAATATATTTTCAATATAATTGTATGCCTTCAACTACAGATTAAGTGTATTGCTGGTCATTTTATTATGAATATGGCTTGATGGTATTTTTACTATAAATATGTATCGCTGGTAGTCATACTATAAAAATGTATTTTTATACTTTTATAGTGTTTTGTTTTTGTTTGGAGGGGTTCACTACTTGCCCATAGCTGGGACCCTAACAGGTGCTACCACACGGTCACTTTGACTCACCGTGTACGTAAGTGTATAACCTTACAATTTAAGAATAAAAACAGAAATTAATGATTTTTTTTTTCGATGATCTCTGCTCTGTTTCTTTCTCAATACTGGACAATCTCTTCAGAGATGAAGAAGAGACTTGGAGCAGCAGAAATGTGGTTCTACAGAAGGATGCTGAGAATATTATGGACCGATCATGAGAAAAGATGAGAATACTTATACTTAACACCAGGAAGAGAAAGCTGAAATTTATAGGGCACATAACGAGGGAAGAGTGCTTGGAAAATTTGATACTCACAGGACATATCGAAGGCAAGAGGGACAGAGAAAAACAACATATAATCTACCTGACGAACTTTAGTAAGTGGATGACAGAGCAAGGTTTAGTTGAGATGACAAAAAGACAAAATTTATTAAGAGCTACGAGAGATAGGAAATTGTGAAAAGCCATGATCACCTACGCACTAAAGAGACAGGCCATATAAAAGACGAAGATTTTAAATCGAAATTACACCTGCTTTTGATCGAAACATTACAGACCGTTTTTCTACGGCCATCAACAGGCAGCGCGGATTAGCAGGAAAGAATACGTCACTTTATTCTTTATTCTCAAGTCGTTGAAATTCGGATGGGAAATATTCGAAAAAGAAATAATAATTGAGATTGCTTTATGTTGTGGATTCCGGGATGAAATCCGGTCTCAAAATGAATGACAAACGCAGGAATGAATTTAGCAAATAAATGTATTGACGCAATAATACAATTGGTAATACGGTTAGTAGATCCAGAAATGCGGTTAGTAGCAATAATCATATATATATAGTCTGGGAAATTAAGTATCGAAGTAGGACTTCCTTCTGAGTCTACGTGCTCGAAACTGTGACTCCTACAAAACGGTTACCTCACACTCTTACTCTCTTACTGTTCACTGTATCACTCTATCAGTGTATCTCTCTTACTTCCGGGTATTCATCGGCAGTAGTACAAGTACACACTAGGCGAGTCCACTTGTATGAAAAAGGGGTGGACCCCTTAACACTTTAGCCAATAATACATTCAAGATAACACACCAAATGATCCATATATTAGTACCGAAAAAAATCCGTTATTTATGGTTAAAAACTTGTCAACTAATGTATAAAATGAGACAGCGAACGACACCGTTATGTTTTATTGAGAACTTACCTATTTTCAAGAACTTTGCAAAACAATTATCATTTCTTTTTGTTTTCTTTTGCCATATATAATTACCTGAGCAGCTGTATTACTTTAGGTTTTATATGTATCATACAGGGACGTACCGTCAAGATAGCAAGGTACGCAGTACCTACCATGAATAAAATAGATTAGTAGCTTTATTTTCCTCCTGTAGCATAATCTGCACCTAATTCAGCAAAATAATGAAGATTACTCTGGTTGTTATGCATAAAAAACAAAATATTTATAAATTTATTTTTTTGTAAATTTGTTACATAAAGCCCACAAGTTGCCCATCCTGAGTAATTACTAGCGGCACGGGCATGGTGTCATATGATAGGTGCCTACTATCGTGTTTTGTGTTTGAATCTCGGTCGTGTTCTATACATTCACTTTCAAATAGTCTTGGGAAAAGTATGAATCCTCTTTCCATCTATGTGTTAAATAGCAGAACAGACTAGAATATTTAGTCGCAGTCGTGGTTCGCAGCCAGTCAAGGCTAAGTGTTAAAGAATGAATAGGCTAGCCAAACAAATATCAATTCCGACCGTACTAGTCAGGACTTTATTTAAGTTTTTGATTTGACGGAAAATGTATGAAAATGGTTAGAATTGTTGCAGAAATCGAAGCTCACAGATTCCTTGGCCTGCTGTGGATTCAACAGAAGAAGACAAGCTATCAAGTTGTGATGAGATGTTTACCGACTTTATAACATCCGTTCCTTCTACATCCCCCTTTGGCTTCCTCCAAGAAATGCTGCCGACTATGTCCTCTCCCCACTGTAATAACGCGAGGAAAGTTAACCTGAAGAAAATTGTCAGTCTTTTATTTAGTCTGTGATGCAACACTGGGGGTCCTTACATGACGAATTACCGACAGACAACTAGAATCCAAGACAACAAAGAACGCAACAAAAAGACAACTTTGAACTCAAGACTGTATGTAGCACTGTCGAAGCATATATTATACAGCCATCGAAAAGAATATAGAGTTCACAATTAAATGCCGCGGCGAAGTTAGACAAAATGATCTCGACTGCCGAAGTGCAGAAACTCGACGCGGCATCAATTTCACATGCTCGGAAGACCCCTTGAGAGATATTGAACCATAACGTCTCGTTAATTGTCAAAAATTCCATGATATTTATAGATTTGGGATCTTTTGTGCAAACAAGCCTCTCCACCACGCCCTTCAATGGCGTTCGCATCGAACGAACGTAGTGAACACAAGTATCATCGAAAAAAGCTCCAGAATGTTCCTAAAACCAATTCTGGGCAACTTGGACCTGATGGGAAGGCGGATTATCCTTCTAGAGTAGCCCATCATTGTTGGGTTATATGGTAATGTTAGCCGTTTCCCTACAAAGAAAATTTGACATTCATTGACCGAATAGCCAGTATTGTTTTCGGTTGAAATTTATAAAATCTTTCTCTTAAAACACCCTTTTAGGAAATCAGTAGCTGTTATCGCGCTTTCCGCTGTTAATAAGGGTTTCCTTCCGAACCTTTGGTTTAAAGTGGTGAGGAATGTTAGCATCTTGATTATCTCATTATTTTCACTTCGAAGTGCATGTGCTATCCATTTTAGTTGTTGCTAGTGTTGGTAGTCGTCAAGAGATGCAGTTTCTGTTACTTAGGACAGTTCTTTGTTTGAGATTCTGCAGCGCCTATCCATAATGATCAAAGGAGGAGGATCTTTGCCAGGTCCACTTCATTCGCTCAAACCCTTTTTTCACCATTGATCTTAGAAGCGGTTGTATACAGCTGACAGTTTAGACATTTCCGAACAGTTTTGTCGTCAGTGCATAGCATCCATATGAATCGATCTGACTAAGAACAGAACTCGAGTTTTCAGGTTGCTGTTTTAGTTTCGTAGCAATTTGCGGTGTAGGGCGAAAGTACCTCTGGCACAGCCTATTCTATGTTCAATTACTTTTTTCTTCTATACTTAAGTTATTATAGCTGATCCTTACGCCGAGGTATCTGAAGTATTTAGTATTTCCTAATTCCACATGCTGTATTTTTATGATGGATTCAGGTGCTTTCATTCCAATTCCAGCTCATAGTTTCTGTTTTGGAAAGTTTAATCTTGAGTCTCATTTCTTGGAATACTTGATAGAGGATGTTGATTTTCTTTTCAAGATGAACACCTATCTCATCACATAAAGGGGTGTAAATGTGTGTAAATGGCCCCAGTGTAGTGCTAAGTAGCAGTTACAACGAGTTTAGGCAGACAAGCGAATTCAACCCATGATCCATGAATATATGCAACATTATTATACAACTATCACCAGCCAGCGTGTTGCCAAGTGGAGTCCAAAATCTTATAGGTTCTGCGCTTACATGCGAACTTTATCATAAATCCCAAACAACCGGAACCAGAAATCATTGAACTACGCCATATGTTACCAGTCTAATTAGTGACATCACAAGTCCAAATAAGGCGCTGTGTCCAGTGTCGGTTTCAGCAGGGGTAACCGGGAGGGTCTTCTGCTCCTGTACTCAATGGAAGCTCAACTGACCCGCTAGATATGCGCCATGCACGTCTTGCGTGTGAATGTGAATATTATTTGAGCTACCACCGACAATTCTAGTTAGACACCATTGGTGACGATAATTAAGAAGGCGTGGTCGGACACAGCGCTGTCCACGGTGGACATCAGGTATTCCCGGCGTACACTTGACACAGTAGATCATCCGGTAGAATTTTAGAAATAGTATAATCCATCCATTTAACACCAACTAGCATACCTCGTTCGAATTTCGATAATTCATGTCGTGTTGGCATGGGTAGCTAAGTCGATGTTTATTTTGACACACCAGATGTTAGAATACAACAAATATCGATCTAGGAACTTTCATGATTGCGTGCTACCGACCATTACCTTTACAGACTTCGATTCCCTGACTTTTGGCACGCAAGTGTATTATAACGTCGCTGGTGTAGAAAAGGTTGTCCGTAACTGAATATTAGTGTATATATATACATATTATAAATTAATTAATTTAAAATATGTTTTTTTCGCAAATTAATTTATAATATTAATGCTCTGTAAATATACATTGAGCACTATTTTGTAAAAATAAAAATATCTATAAGAACACCGGATTATATATCTTACTGTTTTTTTTTTCTTTTTATTTATATACATATATATATATATATATATATATATATATATATATATATATATATATATATATATATATAAGAAAATAAGGGATATTTACCAAATATTAAAATTTGTTGATATTTTGTTCACAATCAAGTATTAACAAGATCGTTCATTAACTTTTGTCCAGGAGCTTATTTCCTTTGTTCCATTTAATCTTTATTTTTAAAAAAAACTATTATATAAATTTTTGTAACTTTGTATAGTATTTATGCATTACACCCTAATCTTTATTCGGTAAAAATTTCATTGTTAATCATGCATTACTTTTTAAGTAATACACATATTTATGTCTTTGTTGTTTCCGTTCCTTATATTATGGCGGCTACTGTATACATTCTATGAAACATACAGACCCACACACACGCACACACAGAATATTGCGTTCAAACATAAGCAGACTGTTGGTCCTTAGTATTAACATCAGTCACTTGTTATAGCCCTGATATTGGGCAGTTTTACCCCATACTTATAGCATACCTTAAAACAATATTTTTATCATATATATATATATATATATATATATATGATAAAACATAGTTTTTAAGGTATGCTATATTTAGGAGAGAAAGGGCTCGGTATCAGGAATAAAGCGTATGCCAATATAAAAGTTCAAAACTAAGGTCAACAGTGTTTGAACGCAGACTTCAGGCCATATATATATATATATATATATATATATATATATATATATATATATAGTGCTGGTATTAATAATATAATGTATTAATAAATATACATATTATTCCTCAACGGTGCTATCAGTGAGCAGTGAGGAATAAATTTATTAATATATATATATATATATATATATATATATATATATATATTTAAGTTACGAAGAACTTGGTAAACTGAATGGGTAATTCCAAGGTGGATGAAATCCTGAGAGCTCAATGTGAATACAGAGAATATTTAATGAAAAAAAACAGACCACTTATAGGTACCATTACAATAATTTATTTCACCAAAATCGTTTTTAAAAAGAATTTTGGTGATATAAATTATTGTAATGGTACTTTTAAAGTGGTCTGTTTTTTCATTAAATATTTTATATATATATATATATATATATATATATATATATATATGCATTCGATCGTTGTAGAATGTTTGGCGTGGATATTATTTATTTTCAATAGATGGCGTTAGGAGAGACATTAACTTTAATGGAATCCTTACTGGATCCATGAACTGAAATTTTCCCACGCATACAAATCTGAATAAGTTGTTATTGATTCATAGAATTCATTATAATAAAAAGGTAGAGCTTACCATCACATGTTTTGACTCCATCTCCATGTAGGCCTGGTTTACAAATGCACCTGTCGTTCATACACTGAGCATTTGGATGGCAAACGTTCTGCCCGCATTTGACTTTTTTGGGCGTCCTATGATTAGCATAAGAAGCGTCTGCTTCTGTGTAATAAGATAAAAGAAAAAGCATCAACAGAATGGTTTAGACCAAAGCACATTAATGTGTTAGAATTACTCAGTCAAAGCCCAGACATATATCCAATTAAGAATCTGTGACAAAACTTGAAAATTGGTGTTCACAGATGGTCGCCATTCAATCTGAATGTACTTGAGCTATTTTGCAAAGAAGAATGGACACAAATTTAAGTCTCTAGATGTGCCAAACTAGTAGAGAATATCCCAAAAGACATGCAGCTGTAAAAGGTGGTTGTACAAAGTATAGACTCAGGGGTTGATAAATACTTATACTTCAAACAGAAGACTGCTCCGTTACAATAAAATGTATTTTTCACCTTCAAAGCACTATGCATTTTGAAATTGTTTGGGCGATATAAGCTTTTTTTTAAAAAGGAAATTTTTTTTTAATTAATAAATTAATGATAATTAAGTTTTGAAAGCAACAGAATAAAAAAAAATATTCGGTGGGTGAAATTTTCATCACTGTCTTCTTTATAAAGGATGTTCCAATAACTTGGACCGATTTTAAATGTGAATTAAGTTTAAAATCGGCCCAAGTTATTGGAACACCCTTTATAATTCTAATTAACCTTTGAGAAAATAACGAATTCCTCTCTCCCAACTTAAATGACAAAACTTGTATCTAGAAAAAACTATAGTTATTCTCAGAAAATTGTTAATGCAAGCTTCACTGACAAACGAAAAATAATTATTATATTCTTACAACTCAAAATATATTTCGGCTTTAAATAACCCACAAAGGGTAGATAAACCGTAAAAAACAAATCCAATCTTTATCTTCTTTATAAAAAAATATTTTATAACATTAATTGTTCGACCAAATAATCAAGTTAAATGAAAAATATTTGAAAGGCTCGGGTTTAATTATTTTTCTGGTTCTATTAATATAAAAAATAATTTCAATTTATTCCACTGACAAATTCTTAGGATTTATTCACATTATTTACATGCCGACTATTGTCCTCATCTTTGTTATTGTTATCACAATGTTACAGCCGTTTTATGAATCCCCCTCCCACCCTATTTTCACCAAGTGTATGTCGTTCTGATTAATCTATTGGGAATATCGTATCTAATTTAAAAATTAATTACTGTTTTTATTTAGTAATATATACTCGGTCCTAGTTTGTTGCCGTAGTATGTACTTTTCTTAAAATATATATATATATATATATATATATATATATATATATATATATATATATATATATATATATATATAGTTCAACTTAAAAATCCAAGTAGGAAGTGACTGACCACAACTGCTAGTTTCATGCGTTTTCATCAGGCGGTCGGTTGCCGTAGTATGTACTTTTCTTAAAATTATATATAAACTATTAAACTATTAAACTATATATATATATATATATATATATATATATATATATATATATATATATATGTATATATATATATATATTCATGAATTATTCACACAAAATCAAATGCAAAGGTTAATGATTTAATTGGCGAGAAATCCATCGTCGCAAACAATTCAAATAATATACAAAAACCTCCGAACCTGTTATGAATGAAAAGATCCTTGTTTCGATAAATTTCTGCCGTATTAGTTCTTATTTTTACTACAAGCTTTCGTCTGTTCCTACAGACATCTTCAGGTATGGAATAGATGTTGTTCTTGTTTTTTCTCTCAGTAATAAGAGGACAACGAAAATATATGTATTGTTGTATCCGAAAATGCCATTGGAAATGAGTTATTGTTTTTGGAAAGTGCAGTAGCAACGCTGAGTTTGCTTTTAAATTTTTATATATATATATATATATATAATTATTTATTTAAAAATATGATTCCAAATCGCTACATAAGAGGTCTCATGTTTCAAAACTGATAAAGAACTATTTTCTATATATTTTCACACACATATATATATATATATATATATATATATATATATATATATATATATATACAAACAAAACATATATATATATATATATATATATATATATATATATATATATATACAAACAAAACTACATATAAACATATACATAATAGCTTCTTTTTAATACGCCCTTTATCGGTGTGTTTGATTATTGAGAAATTTTGGGATATACTAAGAATAAGTAGACAAGACTTGTCTAAATTGTTTAATGAGACATGTCTTAATGAAAACATGCTGCCAAGATAGAGATATGTCTCAAATACGAGTATCCAAAAAATGACGTTTACAGTGACATATATATATATATATATATATATATATATATATATATATATATATATATATATATATATATATATATATAATTTTTTATATAGACAAAAATAGATGCAACTTCGTTTCGGTGCATTTCAATTGCACCTCGACTGGTGAGAACCAAAAATGGTTACCTCTTTTGAATAAATGGTGTGAACGTTAGAGTTTATATATTATTTTTCGTTCTCAATCGGATATATATATATATATATATATATTGCGATAAAATCTTTATCAAAGATGATAAATATCTATTTATCTATCACTCTCTCTATATATATATATAGATAAATATCTATCTATCTATCTATATATATCTATATATATATATATATATATATATATATATACACGATTTAGAATTATTATGAGTAAAAGTTTGTCAATTAGCTGATTGTAAAGGTAACATCAATCAGCTAAGTGACAAACCTTTACTAAAATTAATACTATTAATGCTCTATCTTTGATATCGATCACTTTATTGCAAAGACTGCTTGCATTAAATTTCTTTTCTCTCAGATCCCTTTCACTATCAGTATTTTATTCATGCTATATTTGATATCGCTATATATGATTTATATAGATAAGCATAAACATTTATATATATTAGCATTAAATCTTCATCAAACATTATATATATATATATATATATATATATATATATATATATATATATATATATATATGTTCACGATCAGAGTAAAAAACCGCCAATACCTTTAGAGCACCTCTATCGCAATTTTGTCCGCATTGGCAGAGACAGTATGTGTTAGGTTAACCATTACTACCGTGTAATGAATGAGATCTTCACTGGTACCACATACATGTGGCCTTGTGCCAAAGTTATGCCTAGTAATTATTTTGGTTCTTTTAATGTTTCTTTGAATTTGAATTTCAAACGCTGGAGAAAGTAAACATCTAACCAATCCCTCCACAGATTCGCTAGGAATTGAGTATATCTTGATGAAAAAAATGGCCCAAACTTCATAAAAACATCAAAATCTTTAATTTATTAAGTATAAAGATTAAATCCCTTTTGGCGTATTAAATTATATCTTTGATCCTTTTTAGAAACGTCGAATTCTTAGTTAAAATTCTTGATTTTCTTGCGTCAGCGATAGGGTAGGGGTGGATCAAATATTAATATAGGAAATTGAAGCGTCTTTTTCGAGAAGAAAACATATATTTGGAAATTCAAAAAAAAAAAAAATAACTATCGGATTTTAATGAAACTTTTAAGACTTATTCCCAAATAAATGACATTATTTTTGTAATGTCAATCATTTAGAAAATCTTGGTAAAAACACTTTTTTACATCTGTTACCATCCTTACTTATTTAATTTTATGAAATTTCGAGAAATTGTTTTTTGTACTGCTTAATGTTTATATTAGTTATATACGGAATTCTTTTGAGAATTTGTCATTTTTTGTTACTGAAAATCTGCTCTGAATCGTAAAATAAAAAATGTAATAAAACTAAAACATTATTCATTTAGAAAACCTTTTAATTGCTTTTATGAATAAAATATATTACTGACACTATTGTCTTAAGAAAAAAAAATGTCGATGATTAATGAATCTTAACAATTTATAAAGTTTTAAATCTTTTAAATTTCTATATTAATTTGTACCGGTTAGGTGATATATTAATAAAGTAAAAACTATATTTACATTTTTACATATATCCACCGTAGAAAAAAAAATAGATAAACATCCGTCTGTCAGTCAAGCTTTCAACACCTTAAATAAACATCTACTTCTGTGTTTAAAATGCATTCCTGCTATTTTTTAACTAAAAGCAAGTAGTGTTTCTTTCAAATTAGATTAATTAAACTTTAAATCAGCGAATATTCAGCAGATAAAGTTTCGTAAATGTCTCTCATCTCTCTCCCCTCTCTCTCCCCCCTCTCTCCCCCCTCTCTCTCTCTCTATATATATATATATATATATATATATATATATGCAGTGGTGTATTTTATGTGCCTTTCTCTTTGTGTGATATTGGGGAGGGGTGAATGTGTTTTTCCTGTTTTCTACAATAGACTTCACCTTTGAACCTGTAGCAAACTACACTAGTCCCTTCCTGCACATCATGTTACACAGAAACAATAACGAAGTTTGACGTTTACAGAAACCAGAATGACCTGGTCAATTTTTATTTCCATTACTCTAAGATTAAATCTCGTATAATTGTAGATTTTTACTTACCAGCATTAACAATCTGCGGCCCCCAATACAAAAAAAAAAAAAAACACATAGCAGACACATTAAAAAACCTCCAATATCCTTATCACTTCATATATATATATATATATATATATATATATGTGTGTGTGTGTGTGTGTGTGTGTGTGTGTGTGTGTGTGTGTTTGAAGATTCGTTAAGATTCTATTATTATTTACAGTAGAGCTAATGGCCCCATCTTTTAAACTATTATCACAACGTTTCGGCCGTTGTGCGTGCCGGCATTCTTCAGGTATCTAACAAAAATAGTACAAAACGGGCTATCTCGAGAGATGAACTGAGAAACGAGAACAATCGCTCCCTCTAGATTAAATAAAGTGTAGCTCAAAATTCCATGAATGCCACCGGTATTGACAGGTACCTAGAGAAGGTCGGAGTGTACAACGGCCGAAGCGTCGTGGAAATAGCAACAAAGATGAGGACATAAATCCGACAGTAAATAATGATAAATCCATTTCACAGAAATTTAGACGGAAATCCATCTCAATATATAAGTGTTGATGAATAATTATTTTTCTCACTCTGATGAGTGAGAAAAATAATTATTCATCAATACACTTCATCTGTTGTATGGCCGTACGAATAATATTACTAATCAACCATTCGCTCACTTCTTACTCTTCCTGAGAAAATACTCACGTGGTCGATCGTCAATTTTGGAATGTTTATCTGCAAGAACAAAAATAAAAGAAAAAGATTGTTTTAGACCATTCCATTTATTTTACATCTTTTTTTTTATTTTACCCAATATTAGTCTCGAGAGCCACTCAGGGTAGAGCAATAAAGTCGAAACGTTGAATGAGGCGTGTTATGTTAATGGAAGCGAAAGGTGTATGAATCAAAGATTATGAAAGAAAAATAATGATTGATTCTTTACATGGAGAGATCAAGATTGAAGGATGCAGAAAAGCCCCCCACGAGTGAGTCTGTTGCACAAAGTAGGAGTTCTTGGGAGAGCTATGAGTGGAACTGTGTTCCTACATTTGGAACACTGATGAAATGAGAATGATTGGACTCCGTGAATAGAGAAATATAAAAACACACACATATGCATATATATATATATATATATATATATATATATATATATATATATATAAAGGGTGTTCCAATAACTTGGACCGATTTTAAAAGTGAATTAAGTATAAAATCGGTCGAAGTTATTGGAACACACTTTTATATATTCAGACATATTTCATTGGATAATATAGACAAATTGTGTTCTAATCAATCATTTTCTAGATCGAAAGTACCTGGGTAAAAAAAAAAAAAACTACGGTGCCTTCCTTGATGAATTTCATCTTAACATCAAGAAAGATTCGACAAATGGAAAGGATCAGTACAGAAATAAGGAGACACAATATGTCTATATTATTCAACGAAACATGATTGAATGAACAAATGCTGCCTATATATTTATATATATATATATATATATATATATATATATATATATATATATATATATATATATATATATATATATTCACAATTGTAAACGAAAACGAAAACTGGAACTAAGAGTAAAGAAAAAATATCAGAATAAATATTAACGTTTTAAAAAGTCATCCATTTTTTTCTCTTTTAATCACGAGAAACGCCAGCTTAGGAAAAAAGTACTAAGATTCATTATTTAAGTATACACAAATACACATGCACGCATTTCTTTGGATCTGATGGAGGCTTGAATGGCGAAATGCATTATCAAATCTATTTTTAATCAAATCTATTTTCATGAAACGTTTGCAATTGTTAAAATTCAAAAACTTTGTCGGGATTTCCATATCCTAATTTTAAAACACGTACGCAAACACGCACATATATACCGGTTGTAACAGCAAAATTGTCCAAATCGTTGTAACAACATAGGATAATTGTCCATCCCACAAAATGTTTAATATAAAAAAAAAAAAAAACACTAAACTAATTGAACTTCTTTTTACAGGCTTTCATATTAGAAGTGAAGCCATCTTGACACTATTTGTAGTAAGAATCACTGAAAAACTGTTATTCAGCTCGAAAGAGTACAGGTTAAAATCATTTTGTGTCAGCCACACTATGTCTTCCTAATTGAGCAATGGTGAGACGAAAAAGTTAATTCAGGCCTTCAATAATGGGTACCAACATTAATACCCTGGCTTCCATCTTTAAAGTCCATACAAGAAACATCAACATAACGGTAAATAAGTTTAAAACAAAGGGAATAGTAGAGAGGAAAACTGGATCAGGAGGTCACAACAGCAAGATGGATCATCATTTCAACTCAGAGCTAAATACATTCATATCGTTCAGAGTCCAATAGCGTGATAAAAAACTCTGAGAATTCCAGTAAGATATCTTTAACCATTTCGACGATACAACAGTTCAAAGCTTAATCTAATTTAATTCAATTTAATTGGATAATTTTGCTGTTACACCCGGTATGTATGTGTGTGTTTGTGTGTGTGTGTGTGTGTGTTTGCGTGTGTATGTATAAAAGTAAAAGATAAACATTTTTATATATAAATATAGTTTACAGGTAAGTTCACTGTCATAAAATCACTGCAAAGAATGTTAAACGCAAGGAAAGGTCACCATGAAAAAAGTTCACATCGGGGAAAGTTCCCTGTAAAAAGATAAAAATTAAATAATTTTTTTAATTGCTTCTAATTTCATTGATGAACGTATCTAAAGCATTTTAAAATTTGGGTAAATATAATGTCAATCGTTATCTTCTGAAGGTTTGCATCAGCTATGATGGAAAACAAAAAGGTGTTTATCTCTCTCTCTCTCTCTCTCTCTCTCTCTCTCTCTCGATATATATCTAAACTCGACCATGTCTCTCATACCATCCCTCACCACACTCTATGTTAACTTATATAAGCTTAATACTGCCCGTCAAAAGTGTAAATTTTAAATTCATTTTTCGTTTCACCTTTTGAAAGTAAAGTCTGAAGATCCAGAGAAAAATAAAATTCTCTGGTGAGATAAATTATTACAAATGGATCCTTAAAGTGGTCTTTTTTCTTTAAATTAATATATATATATATATATATATATATATATATATATATATAAAGAGAGAGAGAGAGAGAGAGAAAGAGAGAGAGATTCCTTTTCTGTTTTCCATCATGGCCGATATTAATCTCCAGAAGAGTGACACGTTGCGCTTTCTCAGGCTAATATTTTCCGCTGACATGAAGTGGAAAAGATTATAGTGAATCAATCGTTAGGTCTGCTGCTAGGAAAGTTGATTCACTGTGTCGTGCTAGACAATTTTCTCGCCAGAATCTATCTTACATATTTATAAGTATACCATTCCTCCATGCATTAAATATTGCTGCCACATAGAATCTATTGATCCTGATATACATTTAGAGATTCTTGATAAAATCAAAAGAGGAATCTGCAATGTTATTAGACCTGACCGGGCAACAAGGCTTCAGCCACTTTCAACCGCCATAATGTATTGGGTTGGTGAATAATTATCAGGCGTTTTTAAACAATATTTATTATGATAAAGAAACATAACAATTCAACAATAACATTTTTAAATGATTATTCCGGAGCGTATAATTATCGACACGCATTTTTATAACATGAAAATAAAATGATATTTTTTTCTTAAAAAAAGTAAACAAAGCAGCAATTTTTATTAACAAATAACTCGCCTACAAAAACGCCTGATAATTATGCACCAACCCAATAGCTTCTGTGTGCCTTTTCTATAAATACTTTCATCGTAATTTTTCTGATGAACTTTCCTCAATGGTACCCAGACTTTATGAATTTAAGCGCAATACTAGATTGGCTGCAAGGTCACATCATTTTACACTTGAAATGGCAAGATGTATCCGTAAGTTCTATGCTAACAGTATCTTCTATCGTACTTCTCGCTTGTAAAACTCTCTTCTGCCTTCTAGCTTCCCAGTCAACTTTGATCTTCAAAAATTTAAATGCAATGTCAATCGTTATTTTCTGTCTCCTTAATTCTTGTTCTTTTATTATTCTCTCTCCTTAATGGTATTTTTCTTTTTTTCACATACTCTCTAGCACTCAGTAAGCCCTTACATCTCAGTGGCTTTATTGCCTTGCTTGGGGTAAAAATTATTAAAACTAAAAAAGGTAAATAGATATGAGCATATCAACGTATTGATTTACATTGTATTTGATTTGAAAGGTTTAAAAAAAAAAAAACGAAAATGTTGATTCTCACCTGCCTTGCTGTTTAAGCCACAACTGGTGTAGCCATCACCAACATAACCCGACTTGCATTTGCACATGCGTTGCCCGCCATCAATGACGCACTGAGCATTCGCGTGACACTTTAGCTCTTTGTAAACCACCAACTGGGGATGATCCGACTTCTTGGTGCATTTCAGTACTTGACTACAATTCTCGGTCATTTTTTCTTCACCAATCTAGAAACAGAATGATGTGGTTGAACAGCCATTATCACTTAGGGAAAAATAACACAAAAGTTAGCCATTCAAAACTTAATAAAGCAGAATGGCCTCTGGAAAGCTGAGAGACAGAGCCAATAACGTATGATTTTATTTTTCAGTTATACAATTATAATTGTATGCAGTCCTGGCGAAACACATATGAAGTCATCGACAAGATCAGAGTTCACAATGATTCTGCGTTCGACCTACGACGGCTTCCATGTATTATTATTATTATTATCATTATTATTATTATTATTATTATTATTATTATTATTATTATTATTATCCTACTATAATTGTGTTTGTTCTTCCCTTCGTTAGTTTGAGCGGTCGTTACACTCTGCCAACACCTAATAAATAATAGACTGTTACGTTTAATTCGTGTAGAAAAAGGAGAAAAAAACGCAACTTAGTTTCAGTGAGAAATGAAGGAAGAAGGGAAGACAGAAGTGGAAAGAATCAGATAACACTGATAAGAACAGATACTACACTTTGATCTTAGTCAAAGAGCCGAAAAGGGATTGTATTTTTTTTTTTTTTTTTTTTTGCTGCTGCTGCACAGTGCCAGGATGTGACATAAGGGCGATTCAATGAGCGCGTACACCTGGGCCACATCCCAAAATAGCCCAGCCTCTTCAATCGTCTGTTGCACTAGCATAAGTATTACCACCCTCTTTAGTGCAATAAGTGACGTACTGCCGCGGGCAGCTGTTTACCGAAACCGGGAAGGTCTCAATAATATTTTCGATTGCGCTCTATCCCCATACAGAGACACAACTGAGCTGCTATCTGTCCGAAGACAGAGATACAATTGAGAGATAAAATACAGTTTATCCGCCCGACTGCAGATACTGCACTTTGATCTCAGTCAAAAGCCCGAGAAACGATAGCGACTGCGATAAAAATCGAACGACGGAAACTGATTAAGACAATCTCCAAAATCCAGTTACCATAAATAAAATAACATCGTCTGCTGAACTATTTTAAAATTATTATTAAAAGAAATGATTGTAAGACGGTGATTGGCTAGTTATTATTTATTTTGTTGTAAGGGTATTATTATTATTATTATTATTATTATTATTATTGTTGTTGTTGTTGTTGTTGTTGCTGTTGGTGGTGGTGATAGTGGAGGTGTAATGAATAGCAGTTCGGGAGAATTGGAGAAGGAGTTCTAATTCCACTCCGATCCATTACATACATATATATGCTAATACCCTTGGAAAAGGTATGAATCCTCTTATTCACCCCCACCCACCAGCTATGGGTAAATTTAAATAGTAGGACAGACTGGGTTCTATAGCCTTGGGTGGCAACCGGTCTAGGAGAAGGAAACTCTAAATTCAAAACCAGCCTGGAGAGCGTTGGGCTCCGTCAGACTATATTGCCCAAGAGAGACCAGTACATGTGGCGTCTCTACGAGCCTGATGGCTCACGAGATTCGCGCGCGAATGTTATTGTAGTTACTGAAATATACGAAAAGAATTTGTTGAATTGGTAAATTCTGTGGATCCCAGAAAATAGCATGATTTTATTACTTTTATTGAAAAGTAATAAAATAATTCTACTCTCTGGGATCCACAGAATTTTATTTTACATCTGGCACCAATTGGAAAAGTGTTCCAGCGAATTAAGTATATTTTTACTACTCAAAGCATTTTCTTAAGGACAATGTTTTATTCTCAACTAATAGAAATATTTAATCAGTTAAAACTGATCTATAAATAAATATTGACTGTCTTAATATAAGATGGTATATAGTAGGCATGTTCAGAGTCTAATATGACATTATAAAAAGAAACTGATATTCTTAATTAAAGCTGGTTTGTCACATTTAATGGAAATGGTTGATATCAAATTAGTAATAGTAATAGCGATTAGCAAACTGCACCTAGAACGGAATAACATTTCAGAATAATCGCAACAGGCTGAATATTTTGCTCTCAGTTTATAAATACCACTTTGAGGCAAAACATTATCTTAAAAGACCTAAGATATAACAAATATGATATATAATATAACCATATAAGGAAAAAATTCTCAGAGTTAACCTGTAGAAAAAGACAATATATATAAAGGTAAAAGACAATAGGAAAACTGTATTATTAGCCGACACGTTTCGTCCAATGTGGACATTTTCAAGGCAAAAGCGAAATGAATTTATTGAAAACAAAGTAACAATTAACAACAAACAAAATGTTCTTAGCAAATAGAAGAATTTAGAAGACGCTATTGTATTCATATTGTAATTTTCAGTTGACAATATCAATACAATAGCGTTTTCCAAGTTCTACTAGTTGCTAAGGATATTTTGTTTGTTGTTAATTTTTACTTTGTTTTCAATAAATTCATTTTGTTTTTGGCTTGAAAATGTCCACATTGGACGAAACGTGTCGGCTAATAATACATATTTTCTATTGTCTTTTACCTTTATATATGGTTATATATGTGGCTATATGTTTAGACATCTGAATATGGGGTAACGATATATAAATTGTTATATATCAAGAACAGTTTTGGAGGAAAGATGTTGATAACACGTTCGTCCATTAGGACGTCATCAGACTAGGTTTGTCGAAGCAACTACACATGCGCATGAAGGAGAGACGCTGGGAATTTAAACCAATATAACTATATAACACTATAACCATATAACAGATATTACTTCACACCACTCGAAATACGATTTCCATTGGTATATTATTTCCTATTTTCCCTTTGGAAAATCTCTCCTTTTATTCTTAGTCTAATCGCTATTTTACCACTTGATAGTGCTACAAAATCACACAGATCTTTACCAAATAACAAAAACCGCATCACTTGAATACTTCTAACAGTAGCAACAACCAAAATGAGTAGCACATTGGAAAATAATGAGATAATCAAGATGTTGACTTCCCACTCTACATTAAAAGAAATATATGAAAAGGGGACACCCACCAATACTAGATCAGCGATAATAATTAGTAAACTACTCTAATTTCCATAAAATATCTGTTTCAATGAAAAGATTTTATAAATTTCAACCGACCGTTTTAGCTGTTCGATCAATGAATACCGAATGTTTCCAGTATGGAAACGGTTATTTTCACCATTAGCATTAACCAATTTATAATAGATCTTCATATAATAATTAAGAGAGCATACTCACGGGAGTGTAGTCCCCATTTTGATCGAAGCAACCACAGTCGGAGACGTAAGCGCAGGTCTTGCCGTTCAGCACCATACCATCATCACACGCACATCCTTCGTTTGATGGAAGTGTGCACGTGCTTGGCGCTTCCGGTTGCATACAAGACGCTGGACATCCGGACACCTCTGCGCTGTAATGCATGTTGGGTCCGCATTTAATGGCTATGAAAAGAAGAAAAGAGAAAATATACTCGGTGGTGGTAGTAACGATAGCAAAAGAAATAGAAAAACGGGAATAAGACAAGAAAATTGTGGTTTCGTTAAAGACACCGGAACAATAAATACGGGTTCAAAGTTTTCTCTATGGTTATATGTTGTTGTTTTTTTTTTTATCATTTCACCCCAAGCAAGGCAATAAAGCCACTAAGACGCAAGCGGTACTGAGTGTTAGAGAATATGAGAAAAAACACTATGAAGAAGAGGGAACAATAAAAAAAGGGGAATTAAGAAAACAAAAGATAACCATTGAAATTGCATATAAATTTTTGAAGATCAAAGTTGACTGGGAAGAAAGTAACCGAAAGAGCGTTCCACAAGCGGGAAGTGCGATAGAAGTAACTATTGTCGTAGAACTTATTGTTACATCTAGGCATTTCAACTATAATACGATAAGACATTGCCGCCATTGTAGTACTATGCTTAAATTCATAAATTCTAGGTGCTATAGAGGAATGTTCATTAAAACAATTACCAGAAAAGTATTTATAGCAAAGAAGAGAGCTAGATTATGGCGGAGGAAAAGTGACTTAAGGCGAGATGCCTGGTCATGATCAATAACAGTACAGATTCTTCTTTGAATTTTATCAAGAATCTCTAAATGTATAGCAGGATCATCAGACCAGATATGGCAACAATATTCAAATCAAGGATGAATGCTAAACATATAAATATGTAAGATAGATTCTGCCGAGAAAAATTGTCTATCACGATACAGTGAACCAACTTCCCTAGCAGTAGGCTTATCAATTGATTCAGTATAATCTTTCTAATCTATGTCAACGGAAAACGTTAGCTCGAGAAGGCTATCTATTCTCATCTGTTATTGTTGCTATTCTGTTCTCTCTTCATTTGATATGGGAGAAGGCGTCCGGTCCTATGGCAAGACCTTCCTCATTTTACTAAGAGATGTTAGGCCGATGTAATATTGATGTCAACCTGAAAATGATTGCGGGGACTAGGAAAATCTTTTGCTAGGTCCATATCGATATGCATGCGTATGGGCACCTCACAAAAAAACGAGCTTGTGTCACATCCTCCCTTAGGGGATGTCAGGTAAATATCATCGCTTCTCGGCCTTTTGCCCAGACGAAAGCGTAGTATCTGTTCAAGTAAATAAATGATATGTATGATCAAAATTATATCTGAGCGAGCTGTACAAACACAGAAGGAATTATATCTACGTTTCATAGACTACGGAAAAGCATTAAATTAGGTACGACACGTAGATATATTTGAACTGCTAGGAAAACTTGATTTATCTGAAAAATATGTTAGAATAATCTAGAATATTTACTGGTAGCAAGAAACATTCGGTATTCATTGATCGAACAGCTAAAACGTTACTATTGATTAAAAATTCCTAAAATCTTGTCATTTAAACAGTTTTTGTATGGAAAAATGACAGAAAATGAATTGAGCAAGTACATAAAAACAGAATGGGGTTATAAAACAAATATATGTTTTATCGCTGGATTTATATAAACATTACAGCAATGCTGCCCGAGACAACCCAGTGGCGAAGTGTCAAGGGAGAAGAAAACGTTTTTGATACTAATCCTCACTTTAAACACGGCCTTGTGTTATATCCCGTTTGAGTGGGTGTACGGATAAAAACCTATTTTAGTCTTGTTGCATAGCCATGAAAATATAACGTTTTTAATTGTTGTCATAAAATCACGTACGCCATAGCAACTGTGAATATTAATGTGAGAAACGCATATTATTACTGTCTTTATTTTTAAAAAAAGTTTAGTTTATCACAAGGCTACATGAGATAAGTATCCAACGAGTTCCACCTGCCATGCTCTATCTTTACAAGCGTCAGATCAGACCAAAAAGGGAGTATTGCTGCCATATATGGACAGAAGCTTCCCAGTCCCCTCTTTTCATACTTGAGAGAGTTCAAAAGCGTTTACGCGACATTGTGAGGGATTAGTTTTTTTACACCCTACAGCCCGTTTCCATACTCGATCGCAGTTTCTATGGAAAATGTTCAAACGAGCTAAATTCCTTAGTTCCGCTAGTTCACACCTTTACAGCTAAGAACCGCTAAGCTATGTATACAGAAGCGAAATATCCTTATTCTTTTCGGATACTATTGCTAAACAGGGAGTTCCGTTCGGACAGCTTCAATCCAAGAGCTTTGTGGGACAGACTCCTGAGAGGATGAGTCCTTGACTACTAGAATTTTAGCCTCTTCAAGTTAAGAGTCAACCCATATCTATCCTCATAAACTACAATTTTATGTTCATAATACAACCCTAATTAGTAACTGTTGTAACCTAGTAAAGGTTGGCAATGAACGATAATACTTAGGACAAGAACAACACATATAAGATTCGCCAGCGGCGCGTAGAAGTAGTCAACTGCGAGAAGTGAGTCAAGTGAATTCCACAATGAATCTCCAACTGCAGGATATCTACCAACCGCCCCACGCGGTCAGATGTGGCACAAGGTCGAATTTAATGTGGGGTATTCGAGCCCGTAGGCTCGGCCAAAAATTCCCCGCAGATCCCGCATAAAACAGGGCCGGGTAGCTGTTTCTCGAGACGTGACTCTGCCCTTCGACATAGCCTCGCCTGGGGATCCTGTCTGCCCTGAGGCAGAGAGTTTGACCAGTACAGGTGGAAACGAATTTCCGACTGCAGGATATCTACTAACTGCCCCACGCGATCAGATGTAGCACAAGGCCGAATTTAATGTGGGGTGTCCGAGCCCGTAGGATTGGCCAAAAATTCTCCGTAGATCCCGTATAAAACAGGGCCGGGTAGACTCTGCCCTTCGAAGAAGCCTCGTCTGGAGATTCTCTCTGCTCGGAGGCTGAGAGTTTGACCAGCATAGCTGGAGACGAATCTCCGACTACATACCAACATACCGTATTTTCTACTGTATTTATGTGAATGGGGACATACTTATTATGGTCCTTAGGTATGCTACAACAGTAAACCTTTACTTTAGTTGGCTCTTGGGATTTGTTTTGGATGAACAATAGCGTAAAAAATCCTTATTCAGTAGCAATGGACATCGTGACTAGTTCGCTATCCTTTGCCCAACTCCGAAGCACCCAACGCATATCAGTGTTATTAATTGGTATTGATTGCAAAATTAGCATCTCGTCTATGTGTGTCTGACTTATCTTCTTCTTTTTTGCATTATCAGTTTTTTCTATTTATGCCAATGCTAAAAATATAAACCATTCAGTCTTAGATTAATGTTAAAACGAGTTGAACTCACGGACATAAACACAAGCGATGATGAATCTGAAATTAGAATGTTGATTACTACACTTTAGGGTCACACGTTTATTTTAAGTAGCATCCACAGCTGGTTTTACAACTACAACAACAGTTACTACTACTACTACTACTACTACGACTACTACGACTATTACTATTACTACTACTTTGTCCTAGGTATGACGATAAACTACATCCGACAGCAAGACCTCTGATCGGAAGATTTTAAGGAGCGTAGAAACAGCTCTTAATTGCTATTGTTCTCAGGTTCACTTTGGCTCCGGGTGGTAGCACCTGTAAGGGTCCCAGCTATGGGCAAAGTGTAAACTCCCAAACTGAGGTCAGAACATGAATATATAAAAATACATTTAAAAAATTATCAGCATTACATTTTTGGAAAAAAAATCCCCTATCGCATCGTTAAATATTTGTGCTAAACAACCTTAACAAAATATTGCTATAACAACGATAAATATGAATGCTGGTCGTTATCGTAAGAAGTAAGGAGGTACAAATGAAAAAAGTTGCCAAT